TCTGTGTCAGGCAGCTCATGTTTAAGTGACTTCTTGATTGAAACAGGTGTGGCAGTAATCAGGCTTGGGGGTGGCTACAGAAATTGAACTCAGGTGTGAAACACCACAGTTGGGTTATTTTTTAACAAGGGGGACAATTACTTTTTCACACAGGGCAAAGTAAGTTTGGATTTTGTTCTCTCCCTAAATAATAAAAACCATCATTTCAAAAGTGCATTTTGTGTTTACTTGTGTTATCTTTGACTAACGGTTAAATGTGTTTGATGATCAGAAACATTTTGTGTGACAAACATGCAAAAGAATAAGAAATCAGGATGGGGGCCAATAGTTTTTCACACCACTGTACTTGTAGATGGTCATCTCCTGAGACGACCCGGTCCTTAGCAGCTGCGTTTAGCAGATACGTGCACTGCTACCAAACAGCGCAGGGACTACCTTTTACAGGAACATGCCCCTATGGTCAAACATTTCCATCCTTTTTATTCAAGCCAGTTTCATTAGGTTTTAATTACTTAAGCTGCTCTGCTGAGCCACAAATGAAAAGAAATGTCTCTTTTTCAACACACGTCTTGCTAAAACTAATAATTTCATCAAATCAATAGCAGTAACATCACCAGCTCGGGGCAAGGTAAGACCCAGATTTATAGAGGATCAAGCTGGGGTCAGCGTCTCCTATCACACCAAATGTAATGGAGGTGCGTCAAAAAGTTTTGACTGACAACACAAAGTACTTTACCGCAGTCAGACAAAAGCAGTCTAACAGGAAGTGATGTCATGTCTCAGTAACGGTTTTAGCTTTTGAGCTTCAGCTTGACTCATGGATGCCTTTCTGGGGGACCTCAAATGTTTTAGCAGCTATTGACGAAGAGGCTGCTTTGCAATAAGCAAATAACTGGATGTGTTTGCCTTCAACAAATACTTCTCCAGCAATAATACTGGGCCAATCCATGTCGGCATGTCCTGTCAACGGATCGTTAAATGGATTTTTGGTTAAATGTGTTTTTCCACCCACCACTTTTTTATTAGGGAAAATTAGCAAGCTTCTCAAAAGTGATAACATCTGATTTAGGCTTGAAGGCCATTTGCTATGGATGGACAGATCACTGGTGAGGCAGAAAAATGGTGCATCTGTGAAATAAAATGTGTTGGATCAATGAAAAGGGGGCGCAAAATTATAAAGTTGATTTTTATGTATTTGGTAGACGCTTTTTGCCGTAGTGACCCACAAAAGAGGATAACGGTGCAGTTACGATCAAAGATAACGATACACTTCTTAGAGAGGGAAGAACATAGTCGGGCTGTGAGAGGTAAAGCCAGAGCAGGCGTTGATGGAAGAGCTCAGAGAAAATGCAGCAGAGTTGGGAAATGGACGTCCAGGGTAGGAGATCAACTTTAACCAGTCAAAACTAAATAAACGTGAATCCTTTGTTAAAAGGAGTTCAGTAGGTTAAATATTAGAAAAAGAACAAAGTAAATGAAGTCCATTATTATTTAAAACTGAAATTTTAGAATTAGAACAACTAAAACTGCATAATCATTAATATAACCAAACTACAGAAATAACAAAAAGGGAAAAGAAACCACCTTCAGGCTATTATAATGTTATTTTTATCTTTAACAATCATTCGTTTTGCTTCTAGAACGGAATAATGTGATTCAATGTTTTGATTATCCTGGGATATTTTAGCTTAAGTCTATTTGAGTCCCTATTTGTTCCAGTAGGTCAGGTGGTTTTTATTGAAAAGGCTAAGGCTGCATGAGGATGTCATTAGGTAGGAGACGACTACAGAATAGTAATGAGCAGCGGTGGGAGATGAAAGTGATGCTATTGTGGTGCTGTTTAACATTCGGAAGCCACGTTTTTCATTTTGCAATTCATGACCAAAACAGCAACTCATACGTAAACAGGAACTAAACGACGTGAGTGTACCCGGGGCTGTGCTGCTCCAGTTTAAAGATATGGACAGTCTCAGTGTTGCTGGAGGCACACAGGAACTGAGCGTCTGCACTGAAGGACAAGGAGCTGATGCTGACATATCTGAAACACAAGCACACAAAACCTCAATGCTGGCAAAAAGAAGATGTAAAGGAAGCATAATACTCCGCAGTAACCCTAACTCAACCGCAAAAGAAGAATAAACTCTAACCTCTTCATTCCTCGCCGGAATTCAAACAACCTCTGACCCTCAGGAATGCTGAAAACTCTGATAACGGTACCCTGAACAGGTGAAGAAGTTCACACTTACTGGTAAATCACACAAACAGAATGAAGCATTAAAGTTCTTTCACCTTCTCAGATGCGCTGGCGAGTTTGGAGCCAGAGACGTTGAAGGCCAGGGCTGCGAGAGGACTGTCGTGAGCCTGGATTAGAGTCACCGTGCTCTAAACCAGGAAAACACTGTGTTTTGCAGGTGCAGCAACACTTTAAGCTCTGTATTCTCATGCCAGCAGCCATGAGTTTTCCCCTGACGAGTGTCTCACCAGGTTGTTGGCGTCGTAGACCGTGATCTCTCCGATGGTGGCGCTGCCGGGATAGGCAAGGTAGGAGTTTCCATGGTTGACAGACAGTGCACACAGACCTAAACACAATCACAAAGAACCATTTGTAATGTATTTTACATCAACTGGATCAAATTCAACATAAGTTTTCCTGTCTAAGATGTGATGGTTTAGTTCTTGTTATGTCTAAGTGATGTAACGAGTCGTTGGTTACATCTTAAGTAATGAAAATGTGAGATTCCACAGGAAACATGAAATCAATTTGATGGATCTTTGAGTATTAATTTAAGCAGAAGATCGGAACTTTTTATTGCAGGGATTAGATAACACTTCGTATTAACCCAGAGACGAGAGAGAGAGAGAGAGAGAGAGAGAGAGAGAGAGAGAGAGAGAGAGAGAGAGAGAGAGAGAGAGAGAGAGAGAGAGAGAGAGAGAGAGAGAGAGAGAGAGAGAGAGAGAGAGAGAGAGAGAGAGAGAGAGAGAGAGAGAGAGAGAGAGAGAGGAGAGAGAGAGAGAGAGAGAGAGAGAGAGAGAGAGAGAGAGAGAGAGAGAGAGAGAGAGAGAGAGAGAGAGAGAGAGAGAGAGAGAGAGAGAAGTTTAAGAAGATTTATTTCTAAACAATTTAAACAAGACTAACTTTAAACACTATGTGTATGATGTACACATAGTGGAGTAAGAGTGAGGATGGTTTGTGTGTGAAAAATGTTCAGAACTACCAAATCCAGAGAGACTATTAGTTCTGAGTGGGAGTGAAAGGGTGTTTCGCTCTAAGCTTTGGTTTGGAGATTATAACCAGGTGTGCACATAAGTCGTCCGCAGGTGTGCATGCGCTGTCAAAATAAACAATGCGCACCTGAAAAAAAGCTGCAACACGCATTTGCGCACCTAAGACTTTGTGGAGGAAGGAAGACATTTCTGGAGCATTTTAAAGATGTCCAAGAAGCAAGCTCCATTAAGTAATTATTTTGGTGTCCCTCCGCCTCCAAAACAACGTCAGACTGAGTCGGAACCGCAAAAGAAAAGAGTATTCGCGGAGAAGTGGCTGCAGGAGGTCAGCTGGCTTCAAACCAATGATGAACGCACAGAGATTTGGTGCAGAGCCGTGAAAATCCCACAAAAACAGCGCCTTTTACATAAGCACTAAAAACTTCAATCGTCCAGCGTTTGATAAACATACTAACAGCAGAGAACATCAGAAAGTTGTTCGGGAAGTCAATAATGAAGCTGAACGCAGTCAGGACCATGATGAGGGTGATGAGAGTCTGTAGAAATAAAAACGGCATTCATGCCATTTAAAAAACGCCAGTGCTCTGAAAGAGTCATTTTGTTAAGTGCTTTAAAATTTATTTTATTTGATTTTTGTTATCACAAAAGCAGCTGTTTATACATTGTGTTTTACATTCAGACAATTCAGTCATGTTATTTGAAAATTAGAAGGTTTAAGTTAAGCTGGCAATATGTACCTGTTGTGCTTGTTGTTTTCAGACAAAATTAAAATATGTTGCATTGTCAATGCGTTACTCTGTTTTGTTCCTATTGTGAGTTGAGTTAAGAATTAAGTGCATTAAAAAATGTGAGGACCAAGCAGCAACCATAGGATCTCCCCTGAGTGCCAACCCAAAAATATTATGTGCACCCCTGATTATAACACACATTGAGACGCCTCTGTCGGTCTGCGTACCCCAACGGAAGTCCCCGTTTAGATCCGGAATGTCGGGGGTCCAACTTTAGACCCTCTTGGAACCGACGCCTGTAGATATGCAGCGGTTGCCAACCCTCACAGTCTTGAGATACTCCCAGGTCACGACAGTTTTATTGGCATCAGCGAGACCCTGAAGGGGTCGTGAGGTTCAGCTTTTATTCTGAAGGAACCGTTGCAGCAGGTGGAACATGCAACAGATTTAATCCAGCTTGTCGTTAGGTTCTTTCGGCTTTAAGGGGAAAGTTACGGATTGGCCACTCCGATAACTTCTCTAGAACGCTTTGAACTGAAGTTAAGATGACGTGGGGCATAGTTTTATAATTTGGATGTTTTGATTTACTGTCGAATCAGAATTTGCCAACAAAAGGGGATTATACAAGCACCAACAAAACCACGCCTCGCATCAGATCTGGAAGGTTCTGATTGGATCAGAAAAAGGAAATGTGTCATGTGACTTAGCATTACGTGTGATCATCAGTCTAGTGTAAATATTTAAAGTTATATTACTTATTATCATAGGATTATAATATCAAGTAATTAATATTCTCATTTCACAGATTGATTGAACATTAGGCTTCACATGATTATTTGGACTAACAGACGTTATTTAATTATTATTATTTAATAAAGTTCTTGGTCTTCTTTCTTCTTTCTTGTGCTGTCCGAGGAAGCAACAATTTAGATAAGCGCACAAAGCATGGGTGGCCTTGGCCCATATCTTGCAGATTGGGCTTGTGTTAGAAACTTATGGTTTTGCTTGGGCAGAGCAAATAGAGCAGGGCCTTTTGGTCAGAAATGGACAATTCATCACGCTACAGTGACAATCATTCATTTATCCTCCTCAGCTTATCCAAGGCCAGGTCACAGAGATAAAAGGTCCAGGAGGTCCTGACTTCTTTCTCCATAGCAACACTCCGGCTCTACATGGGGATCGAAATCTTGACCAGACCTCATGATCATAGCTGAGGGAAAGTAGATGGACCAGTAAGTGCATTTCCATTCAAATCAGCACCTAGATCACCACTACGGGTAAATTGTCTTGCTTCCATGTTAGAAGAAGACATTTTTTCTACACTGTTGGTATAGACATTGCAATTTATTTTTAACTGTAAAACCTACTAAAGACTTTTTCATTAAAGCTGTGCACTTATCACCTGTTTCTTAGAGTGGACGGACACCTGACTGCATGGACCATCACGTACGTGAGGCTGTGTAAAGGCATGTCTGAGGTGGTTCTGTGCAGTACTGGAGCTCCGCAGGGTACGGTGCTCTCACGCTTTCTCTTCGCCTTCTACACCTCGGACTTCACCTACAACACCAGCAGCTGTCACCTCCAGAGTGATGACTCGGCCATTGTTGGCTGTGTGTCTGGGGGGAATGACCTGGAGTACAGGTCAGTCATCATGGAATTTGTGGACTAGTGTGAGCGTAACCACCAGTAAGATAGAGGAAATGGTGAATGAATTCCTGAGAAATAGTCCAGCTCACTCACCAGTAAACATCCATCCATCACTGATGCAAAGAAAGCTTTCTACACTGACAAAATTCTCAGCTCTACTGACTCTCAGAAACTATTTTCAACATTCAAAACTCTGCTCTACCCTCCGTCTCCACCTCCTACCAACAATCTATCAGCTGACACCTTTGCCTCATTCTTCACTGACAAAGTGGAAGCTATAAGCAAACAGTTTACTCAACTGGCCACTCCTGAAAATTCGCTACCACAAACTCCTTCTAGCCCAACCATCTCAGCCCCTACTACTTCATTTTCCTCTTTTTCCCCTCTCACTGAGAACTGTGTGTCCAAGCTTCTCACATGCAGCCGCCCTACTACATGCCCACTCGACCCCATTGCGACTAAGCTGCTCCAAGCTATTGCTCCTACAGTAGCCGCAGCAGTCACACATGTGATCAAAGCTTCACTGACATCCGGTACATTTCCCACCTCTCTCAAGCATGCTCAGGTTAAACCGCTGCTAAAAATCAATCAGTCAAATTTATTTCCAAACCGCTTTGTGGAAAAGCATGATCTGTTGGCAAATTGCCAGTATGGGTTTAGAAATAACAGATCAACAGTTTTGGCATTGATGGATTTAATGGAAGAAATAACTGAATGTATGGATAACAAGAAGTATGCACTTGGAGTTTTTCTAGATCTAAAAAAAGCATTTGATACTGTTGACCACAAAATTTTAATAATCAAACTGGAGAAATATGGGTTTAGGGGTGTGGTATTGGATTGGATAAAAATCTATGTGATGAATCGACAGCAATATGTACAAATAAATGAGTTTAAATCTACATTGATGGATATTGAATGTGGAGTACCTCAAGGATCAGTATTGGGACCAAAATTGTTTATAATGTATATAAATGATATTTGTAAAGTATCGAAGATCCTAAAGTTTGTAATTTTTGCAGATGATACCAATATACTTTGTTCAAGTGGGGAATTTCAACAGGTTGTGGAGGTGATCACACAGGAGTTAAAGATATTAAAGACGTGGTTTGATAGAAACAAATTGTCCTTAAATTTAAATAAAACAAAATTTATGTTATTCTGAAACCATAAGAAAGATATTAACATTGAAATTTGTGTTGATAATGTATATCTAGAAAGGGTTAATACCATAAAAATTCTTGGTGTGATCATTGATCATAAGGCCTGTTGGAAATCACACATCACTTATGTGAGGGGAAAGTTAGCACGGGGCATTGCTGTCTTGGGGAAAGTGAAACATTTTCTGGATAGGAAAACATTATATATGTTATATTGTGCTTTCACATTACCATACATGAGTTATTGTGTAGAAGTTTGGGGAAACACATATAAAAGTAATATTCAGACTATAATCATAATGCAGAAAAGGGCTATTAGACTAATAAATCAGGAGGGGTATAGGGCTCACACAAACGCACTCTTTATTAAGACGCAAGCTTTAAAATTCCAGGACCTGGTCAAGTTTAAAACTGTGCAAATAATATATAAGGTAAGGAAAGGGATGCTCCCAATTCAAATAAGTAAATGGTTCTTAGAAAGAGAAGGGAGGTATAATTTTAGAGGGAAGTGGAATTTAAAAGTACAAAGAGTAAGAACAACATTGAAAAGGATGTCTATTTCAATAGCGGGCGTTAAATTCTGGAATGAGTTAACAGAAGAAATAAAGGATAGTAGTAATGTAAACCAGTTTAAAATAAAACTCAAAAAAGAAATGTTAAATAAGTATAAGACTGAAGAAAATGCAATTAACCCAGGACGGCATGCAAACTGATGTTTAATCTCTTCTACAAATTAGAAAATCTAAATATAGTTCTAGTTGAACATGAGAATTTAATTTATTTATTATTATTGCTTTTTTTTTTTTTTTTTTTGGTTTTTTTTTTTGAAGGCATTGTAACTGTTTTGTTGTTTACATTTTGATGATGAGGATGTAAACCTGAGGGGGTAGGGCTAAATAAGTATACACTTCTCCCTACTCCTTTTCAAACAATTGCGTGGAATGATTTTTATGAAATGTTGGTGAATGTATATGTTTGAAATAAAGTGAACTGAACTGAACTGAACTTTTCAAACAAAGTGTGATTCAAAGTGCTTTACAAAATGACCCCAGATTCCCATAACAGGTTAAAAACATTAACAAACATATGCAAGCACACACACACACACACACACACACACACACACACACACACACACACACACACACACACACACACACACACACACACACACACACACACACACACACACACACACACACAGACTCCAAATCATGTGGAGAACTACAGACCTATCTCTCTCCTCCTTTTTCTGTCCAAAATCATTGAAAGGGTGGCTTTCAAGCAGATCACAGAATACCTCTCACAAAACTGTCTGCTTGACCCTTACCGATCTGGGTTCAAAAAGGGCCACTCCACTGAAACTACTCTGTTAGCAGTGACTGAATCCTTAAAAGAAGCTAGAGCGACTGCCAAATCCTCAGTGCTTATCCTGCTTGACTTCTCGGCTGCCTTTGACACTGTCAACCATGGCTTCCATTTGTCCACACTCTCTAGCTCTCTTCTATTTTTATAATTTTTTTTGATTACTGAAGGTTACGGTAATAGCCTTGTGTATCTTCCTGTATTCGTTTTTCCTAATCTTTAAACGTTTGTGCTGCCTTAACAGGGAATTTCCCCACTGTGGGATCAATAAAGTCTATTCTATTGTTTTCTATTCTAGTTTGCTGTGGTGGCCATTTTCAAAGAGCTTGACTCTGTATGTCGTAAATGTTCCTCCATTGAAGACTTTTGGGGTGTTTATACAAATTTACACAATTTCTAATTTAAGAAACTCAAACGGACTCTTGGATCAAAAGAACGTGTTTTGCATTTACAAACATCTGTGACCCTGACTTGCAGCAACCTGTTTAGTCAACATCTGTTTCACACAGTAAAATGTTCCCTTTTCCCAGCAGCGGCTGTACCATACCCGACAGGTTGACGGGCGTGTTCAGCAGGGTCTTGAGCAGCTTCATGTCCCTGATGTTGTGGATGTAGATCGACTCCTCCAGGCACACCACAAGCCGCTGACGCCGGCGCAAGAGGAGACCGAAACAGATGAGGAAATCAGCACAACACGTGAAACAAGAGAGGCTTACATGTAGGGACGGGTCAGTGTCCAGTTCTCACCTGCCTGTTGAGCTTGACAGAGAGGATGTTGTTGGAGTAGCTGTAGTTACAAATCTCTGTTCCCTTCTTAAAGTGGTAGACGTTCATTCGTCTGGGCATGGAGAGACTGACCACCACTACCAGACTGCTGGAGAACAACCGCTCCACTATATAAACATCTGGACACTCCACTGACAGAGACAATAAAATAGAATAAAGCAGTGGGTGATAATGTTTTTGCCTGTTTGTAGGCAAAATCCCTCTTAAACCAAACCAAGCATGGCTTTAACGCAGCCTATTTTTCAGAGGCTGAGTTATGAAGGTTTTGCAGAACCTCTCAGGGTGCTTGCAACATAAGCGGTACATGAAATCTATTCCTTCTAGGATTTCTAGACCTTTGATGACACTCAGATTTTATAATTCTGATTTAATTCCTCTTGTCTGTACGTTGGTTGACTGGTGTAAAAATGAGTGTGACCTTTCCACAATTGTTTTTGAACCGACACACTTCTTTAAGCCAAAAGAAAAATACAAACTTCGCATTATTCTCAGAATGACTTCAAAAGTGCTGCTGAAAATTACAAAACAGATAGTTTATTTGGTGATACTCAGTCTACACACAGAGGGTGAGTCTACTTATATATATTGTTAGTGAAAACCCTTAAGAGCAGCATCTGTCATACCTCCTTCATGGATACGGTCCAGTTTGTCCACAGATGTGACAGAAAAGAGCCGGTAGCCAGTCTTAGTGCCCACAGAGAGAGATCTACAATAAAAACACACACACAGCCATACTCTTATTATCACAGGTTAAAGGTTAAAAAGATGCTTTTTGTGATTACATTTACAGCTCAGATTCAGCTAGTGTACTAAAAAATACCCTAAGTTATGCAGTAAACATACTTTACATATAGTTCCTTTTATCGACATTTACCATGTAGTTTCTACAGAATTCCAGCTTTTGTATAAAAGAGGAAATGATTTGTTTTATGTTTTACTTCTTGTTCACACAAAAAATATTTTCATTTCCTTGAAAAAGTCTGCAGAGAGATGAGAAATGAGTGATTGGAACTTTTCTGCCATGCAGCTAAAGGAGGTACATGCTCTGGATCTGCCTGGTAGTGCATTGGGAACCCTGAAATGATCCCTACGCAGGAGAAAATATTTTGACAAGCATTTTACCTTAAAGCGACTCTTACAGTACTGTGCAAAAGTTTTAAGTAGGTGTGAAAAATGCTCCATTCAAAAATGGAAGTGTTAATCATTTAATTTCATCAATAAAAAAAAAGCTGTGAATAAACAAAAGTTACAAATGAAATCAATATTTGGTGTGAGCACCCTCTGCCTTCAAAGCAGAATCAGTGTTTCTAGGTACACATGAACACAAGTGTTGAAGGAACCGAGCTGGGTTGTTACAGACATCTTGGAGACACAACCACAGATCTACTGTAGATGTAGGCTTCCTCACATCCTTCTGTCTCTTTATGTGATCCCAGATGCTCCATGATGCTGAGGTCAGGGCTCTGTGGGGGCCCGACCATCACTTCCAGAACTTCTGGTTCTTCTTTATGCTGAAGACAGTTTGACTAGATGTATTAGGGATCACTCGCTTAGCATTTTGTAAATTGAAAATAATAATAATAATAAATAAACAATAATTTATGTTTTTGAAATCATTCTTTGTTTTCTGCATTTTTTCACATCTGACTAAAACTTATGCACAGTACTGTAAACGGTATGAGTAAATCAGAAATGACTTCTTCCATACTTTGTATTTTGCTGTGATTTACTACAACAAATGCAGTTATTTTGCCTGCTGATATGCAACAGGCCCTAGAGATTAACCCGATGGCCTAATTTTGTTCTAGATCATTTTTAAGTTTTACTTCTCCAGTCAGATGGTTGTGGTTTAATGCTCTAAAGCTCAGAGTTTCTGTACGAGTCGAAAACAAAAGCAGATTTGGTGTTTTTATATAAGAGTGAGAGTCGCCGGGCCCGGCCCCGGCCCGGAGGTCGCTTACGTGGTGTCCTGGTTAAACGAGGCGCAGATGAAGCTGCCTCGCTGCACTCCGGGTGCCTCCGACACGTCCTCGGACTCCATCCGAGCCGCCTAGATCGCCGTCCTCTCCTTGACCAAGGGTGGAGGCCTCTGACTCAGGTCGATCCCTGCCGGAGCCCGCTTCTCCTCCTCTAACCCCCCTCCCCTGACTCCTCCAAACGCCACGCTCGCACTCTTCAGGGAGGAGGAATGTCCGGGCAGGCAGGATCAGTCAACACACACCATCAGCTTGCGGGCGAGCTAACCGAACAAGACTAAACAAAAGTTAACCTCTCCTTAATGAGCTGTTTTACTTGCGTAAGTCGATAATATTGTTATTATCATGTTATAAACTTCCAACATTACACTGCAAAACAAAAACAGCTGATGGGAGGTTGCGTCATTCTGAGCGACATACCGATTGGCTAACGAAAATAAGTAGGACCCGCCTCTACTGCATTTCCACTGGGCAGTCTGTTCAAAGCCCGTCACCGATTGGATGAAATGACTAATATAAAACCAACCCCGCCTACATAAAAGAGATTGAGCGCTGATTGGTCAGTTGTACATTAGTCTTGTCACGAGGTATTGTTTTGGTTATTTCATTGGATCAAACATCGGGAGGCGTCAACTCTCTTGTTTCATTTGGATTTTTATTTTACTTGTAGAAACAAAAAACTAATATTTTAGCAGGCTAGCGTGAATTTATTTGTTTCCCCTTTGTCGCATTTAACGTCCAATCTATTTTTGTTTTAGCATTTATTGCATTTGTTATTTGATAAAGTTTAACTGTTTTTTGGCTAACACATTTGATTATGCCTTGATGCTACATTTTAAAGTCCTCATTAAACAAATTGCATGCTTCATATACTAGCGCTGGCAATACAGAAATTGATCTCACCACAAAATTAGCTTTACTTGACTCACTGGATGCATTCAACAATCTTTCAGCGTATACCGCAAGCTTCTTGTCTAAACTATCATATACATGACTGCTGATCATGTGCAGGTATCTAATATTTACATACCGTAGTTTGAAATGCTTTAAAAATAGGTTCTGCTGAAAAGATACATTTAACTATCCCTCTTCTTTCATCTGCGTAACCAGCAACAGATTTTTTCATTTCTTTGCTTCCATGTTTTTTTTTTTTCAAATAGATATGTTTAATTTTTTTTATTCAACTTGTTACCTATTTCCTTTACGTCATGATTTACCGCGCTGTCCCCTTTAAGGTTGCTACTGGTTACGGGCTCATATGTCAGAACGAGGAGAATTGACGTCAGTGTTGGATGTTGATTGGTTCTCAGCCGTATCCGGTGGGGCAGCGGTCCAGGGCTCGGAGAAAAAAAAATAAAAAAACGAAGCGAGGAGGAAGATCTGGTAACGGTCCGCTTTGTGAAATATCAAACGTCCCGAGTCTCCGTTGGAAGGCTCGGTAGGATTCCACAGTTTCCTGTGAGTACGTGTGTTGTTTCTGCTGGTGGAATTCACCAACTCCGTACGGGTGGAATTAGCTTCCTGCGTTTCTCGTTTGTTTATGATAGAACTCAAGATGGCGTCATTACAGAAGAGCTTTGCCTTTGCACTGAGCAGGCCAGCCAGGCATCAAGCTAAACGCAGCCTTTTGCGTAAAACGTAGACAAAAATAGTTAAGCTGCATTCAACAATCTTCAGTATTAGCTCGTTTGGGTCAAATGGGACAAAATGGAGAGTGTGTAAGCGTTAATCTGCCAGCTGTGAGTAACTCTAGCCGTATGCCTTTCATGAGATGCCTTCCTGACATAGACGGTGCTACAAACACGAGATTTCCCCATTACTTTCACTAAAGGCGGTTATTCAGTTTAACCATTTGTTGTTATTGTGATGTAGACTATCATCTAAGCTTTTGTGTGCAGTTCGTTTTAAGCAAGGTCATTGCCCATGACAGCTGTTTGTTTTAATTTTTAGTAGACGTGCATTGACAGAAGAGGACATTTTCTACAGCACACCAATCAAAAACACTTATTTCACGTGTAAATTTAAAACCTGACCAACTGGATTTGGTTCTTGAATAAGGTCTAGGTGCGCTGCTGGTAGGTGCTGCTTGTTTACACCAGTGTGAAAGCAGAGTCTCCTCAGCCATTCAGTAGTTTTAGTAGTAGGCAGGATTTAAACAAGCCTGCCAAGTTTGCGCTGTACGTCTAGATTGTTACATAAAGTCTTTCGCCAGGCTCGTCTTTGATAACATGACTGTTAATCTACCTTGGCTCTTGTCAGATTCGAAGTTATTCAAATCCTATTATGCTCTTGTACATGGTGCACATCAGAAGACCTGCAGGCCCAAAATGGATTGTTGTGTTTGTCCTGCAGGACTTGTTGTTCCCACATTCACTCTACTAAAATGCACACATTGATTCCCGTCAGAGTTTAAGGCCATTCCTGTTTTAGAACACACAGCTAGATTAAGCTCAATGCTAGACGAAGAGCCTTGTATCAGCGGTTCTGATCAGTTTATCTGTGATCTGTTAAGCGGTTTTGCTCAGAAACACTGTGTGGCGAATGATGAAAACTGTGTACACTTCCTTTTATGGCCTGTTTAACAGCTGATTGATTTACTGGCCCTCATTTCACAATTTGTCTATATTTGGGCTTTGGTGCACCAGCTAGGCTTCTGTAACAAAGAGTTTTATTGAGGAGAGCTTTAAAATGCAGTTTGGTTCAAGTAAACTCAGGACAGTGCATGTGTCTGTTTCAGTCTCGTTATTTTGGATCACATATGTGTGATCGCATCATCTGACCAGACTCCATAGTGACAAAACAGCACTCCATCGCTCTGCACCTTCTCACTCTGGTTTGAATTTTCTCACGTTCTCCTGCTTTCAGTTTGTCTATCTCTCACTGTGACAAACGTACACACTCACTATGTTATAATCTGGAGTTAACTCCCCCCAAAAATGTTCAGTCTTGATTTGACATCTAGCTCCTTCTCTTCTCCGGCACAAAGGTTAGAGGTCACACAGCAGCATTGTCACCATGGCATCTGGAAGTACGAGCAGCGAGGAGGAGCGGAGCCTGAGGGAGTGCGAGCAGTATGTGCAGAAACACAACATCCAGCAGCTGCTGAAGGACTGCATTGTCCAGCTGTGCACCTCCAGGCCAGACAGGCCCATGGCCTTCCTCAGAGAGTACTTCGAGAGGCTTGAGAAGGTTTGTGTGTACTATGGTTCTTAATATTGGTCACTGAATGCTAAACATTACACATTCTTACATCAGGTAATCACAGACAACTAACATTTCTGTACACTTGCTCTAATTTCCTTTGATGCTACACTCCAGTTTCCCTCCTTTTTCCGGAATTATGTTTGTTTTTTACATCTCCATAAAAGTGATAGTCTTACGCTTTTACTGTGATATAATGTAGGCAACACATCTGTTTTTGCTAAGCCAGCCCCATCCTCTAGAGCCCCATGCAAATTGAACTGAGCTCTGCTCAGCATTAGCCAATGGCGTTAGACATCTTCCTACTGACGGCAGTGACAGAACGCAAACATTTGAGATGTACCTAGACTGGTGTAATTGGTGACATTTCTCATGTACAAGTTAGTCTTAACACACGCACGCACGCACGCACGCACGCACGCACGCACGCACGCACGCACGCACGCACGCACACACACACACACACACACACACACACACACGAACGAGGGGCGTTGCTTCCATCCATATTCACATAAGTAAAGAGGGGGTCTTAAGGTGCTTCTTTTTGCTCTAGATCAGTGGTTCCCAAACTTATTTAGCCGCGCACCCCCTTCTATGTCTCTCTCTCTCTCTCTCTCTCTCTCTCTCTCGCTCTCGCTCTCGCTCTCGCTCTCGCTCTCTCTCGCTCTCTCTCTCTCTCTCTCTCTCTCTCTCTCTCTCTCTCTCTCTCTCTCTCTCATATATATATCAGATGTCAAGCTAAACAGACAGGGTTAAAAAAAAAATTCCCCATCACTTTCATTTTTTAAATAGTAATTAATAAACATTCGATACCATTTCAATTTCCTTTGATTTCATTTTAAATAAATATTTAGAGTGCCCAGGTAGCACATAAAAAATGCAATTGAACGGTTTTCTTAAAGTAGGAACGTTTAACCTGTGCGGCCAGAGCGCTCTCCTTCCTTCTGTTCTGCGTAAACCTGAGCTGATCACCTGCTTGTGCGTAATCAAATGTCAATAGGGGACAAGATATAGCCATGATGTTCACTTTTACCTCAGACCGACTTATTGCTGTTTTATGGTGTGGCTGAATCTGTGATCCGCTGCCACGCTGACTGGAATAACACATGCTGCAGTAACAGGAGTTGTGGTCAGGTTCATGAGGAGTCACTGGCTGTAGCGGACCCGACTCATCCCAGAAGCTAATATCTTAATTTGACCTTGAATGAAAAATAACCTCTTAAAAGTTTTTATCGTGGTGGAGGCAGCGTTCATTTCTGCCTTCAGTCTGACGGCGCGCCGGAGTTAAAGCAGCGTGCGCGCTTATTGAATCTGTGTGTGTGTGTGCGCGCACGCACGCGTGGCACAGCCGCTCAAGTCACCGCGTCTCGTTATTGTCGCTATTAAAACTTCTGCCCAGCCCAGATGTGCTCACATGTGCACCCGTGAGCCGTGACTGGAACGCGTCTGATCTCTGACAGACGCACTCTGAACTTCAGATCTTCAGCGCGCTGTTAATAGCCTGAATGGGAATCATTTCTTGTTATTTTGTTACATCCACAATGTTCTGTGTGTGAGGTTTACAATGTCAGAACACCTGCATGAGACAGGGTGTTAATTACAATCTGCCAGAATGACTCACCACCTTCAGATTCCTCCAACACCGTTAAAAATGATCAAATACGGAACATATCGGCGTGCGCAGGCCAGAGTGCTGAAGCTCGGTGCATTGTTATTATGAAGCTAGGGCACATGTGGAGGACACGCGCGCAAAAATATACTTGTTTTCAATTACATTTATTGGGCCCACTTACTTTTTCTTTGGCCCACCCACAAATGAGTTTCTACAATAATGGTGACATATGACAGACTTCTCTGAGCTCCGCAGCCATTACACTTTTCACCTCGCGCACCCCCTAGCGGCAGCTCGCGCACCCGCACCACACTTTGGGAATCCCTGCTCTAGATGGTGCTCTCCAAAAAAAAACAAACAAACAGATTTTTACTTAAACTAATAAAAAATATACAACCATATAAAATCAAATTGTCAGTTCAACCCATTTAACATTTTTATTTTGAATAAATTTAGGGATGTCCCGTTCTGATATCGAAAGTAATTCAATATTGACCCAAAAACATTGTATTGTGAATTATATCGGACGGCAACAAAAATCTCCGATATAAGCGGTCCGTTAAGGTTCACATTTTAGCAACCAATAGTTTTTCCCATTTTTCCATACTTACTGTTATTGGCTTTTGTTCTCCGATTGAGTAATGTCACTTGATCAGAAGTGAAAAAGTTGAATCGGGACATCACTAAATAAATGATCTGGTGTAGTATTTGTGATGTCATCAATACAAAACAGAAATGGCTGTAAATGTTAGGTTTAACAGAAAATGTCCTAACTCTAAAATCAGTAAACCACAGCTCTTCTATTCGTTTTTTTCTCCTACAGATGTGCATGCATACGGGTTTTTGTATTTTTTGGATGGTACGGCTCCCATTAACCTGAAAAGGCTTACCTCATGGCTCGGCCACTTTGGTCATCAGAGGATCATCGTCGGCTAGCAGAGCCTACACACTCAGGACAATCCAGACTCTTTTCATGTGTCGTTCCGCAGGTGTGGAAGGACATACCATGCACGACTAGAACAGGGGCTTCCTTGTCAACTTTCAAGAAACTCCAGCTCTTCAGAGAGCATCTTCTAGACTAGGACCCACCCTGCACCCATCCCCCACTCTACAGTTCACTCCTTGTTCACTTCCCTTTATGATTCATTATGCTGCCTCTCTGCCACCACGGGTGACTGATTAGTGTTTTGTTGTTAGCCTCAAGGGCAGCCTGCTGGCTTCATTATCACTTGTAAGTTGCTATGAACCAAAGCAGCTGCTAAATACATAAACATATTTAGAAATGATGTTTGAGTGACATCTGAACCCTTGGAGGTTTATTCCACATCGGTGGCTGATGGGGCTGCATCCTGGAACACTAGTCTTCTCTTTGACTCCTGCAGGAGGAGGCCAAGCAGATCCAGAGCCAGCAGAAAGCCAGCAGTTCCCGCTCAGACTCTCGCGATGAGGAGGTGTCTCCACCCATGAACCCCGTGGTAAAGGGTCGCCGACGAAGAGGAGCCTTCAGTGCAGAGGTGTACACAGAGGAAGATGCAGCCTCGTATGTCAGAAAGGTAGTTTAATCACTCCAGTGTGCGAACCGTATTGTAGTGATTCTGATGATATCTGATAGTAAAATCTCTTTCTTTAATTCTATAATTACAGGTCATTCCAAAAGACTACAAAACGATGGCTGCTTTGGCTAAAGCCATTGAAAAGAATGTGCTGTTCTCACACCTGGATGACAACGAGAGAAGGTACCGGGCCATAGATCGTGTTTATTTGAAGCTTTTTCAAGTGAAACGTGGATTTTAAGTTATTTGTGTTCATCGGATCAACTCACTGGTGTGTTTTATCCCCAGCGACATATTTGATGCAATGTTTCCAGTCACTTATATTGCCGGGGAAACTGTCATTCAGCAGGGTAGGAGCACATGTTTCATGTGTTATCTAAAATATTGACGATATTATGACCAGTGCGATACTAAATGTATTGTTCTATGTGTTCAGGTGATGAGGGTGACAACTTCTACGTCATCGACCAAGGAGAAATGGATGTGAGCATCTTTACTTGGTTTTCTAACATAAAGACCTTTGTTGATCCTTTTCTGAGGCATGGTTCGTACCTGTCTGATTCCACAGGTGTACGTGAACAACGAATGGGTGACCAGCATCGGCGAGGGGGGCAGCTTTGGAGAGCTGGCACTGATCTACGGCACCCCGAGGGCAGCCACCGTTAGAGCCAAGACCAATGTGAAGCTGTGGGGCATCGACAGAGACAGCTACAGGAGAATACTGATGGTGAGGGAACTTCTCGTCGACTCTGTGGATCATCTCACGGAGTTGGAGTAACACCCACCCTCTTTCTTTCAGGGAAGCACTTTGAGAAAGAGAAAGATGTACGAGGAGTTCCTCAGGAAAGTGTCCATTCTAGGTGGGTGTGTTTAGTTCTCATCAGCTGCTGTGTAGAAGTTTAAAAATAAACACGGAGTGGAGTTATTGGTGTTAGATCTGGAGTTTAAAATAACATGAAGGTGTATGTAAAAATATATCTAGACATAATCAGAGCGGGCTCAGCCTTTTGTGTTATCATGGTCTATCAGATCAACATCTGTGTTCTCCCTCCTCAGAGTCTCTTGATAAGTGGGAGCGCCTGACGGTGGCCGATGCCTTAGAACCCGTCCAGTTTGAGGATGGACAGAAGATCGTTGTGCAGGGAGAGCCAGGAGACGAGTTCTTCATAATCTTAGAGGTTCATGCACAACCCAATATACTCATGGCTGTCGGTGCATTAAAACGTTTTATTTGTGATTAATTACAATTTTTAAATGTATCATCACATGATATTTCTCATGTTTCCAATGTTTTTATAAGAAGTAGGAGCAGAGAAACCTACTTCCTTTTGGCGAACGATGACTAATGCTGTCTAGGACATTTTATAAAAAGGTTTTACGTCTAAAGGATACTGCACGCTCAAAATGCAAAAAGTTAATTCATAAGCAGCAAGTCCACCTCCCAGTGTAGCACAGGGGAACATTAGAGCTCCTCAGACTTCATCCTCCATGATGCTAATTAGCATGTAGCTTCCCTCTGTTGTGGCATCTGTTAGCTTGTCTTGCTTCTGTGGATGTCCAATATCATCGGTCTGCTGATATTATCAGATGATTTTTGCTTTAAAGGGTAATATCGGAAAATATTAGTATCGGTTTTTACCCCTTTAGTGATCCAACTTTTACACACCACGCACATATTACACATCAAACTCTTTGGCTTCATCTCCTCTCTCTCATAATGCCAAAATATGACAGATCTGATGATTAGTTTTGAGATATTTTGGTTTTATTTGGCAGAACTTGTGGATAATTAGGAATTTGCACCGTGTGGGGAGGATCTGCCGTCCTTAGAGCACGTAGCAGCTAGCAAACACCCAAACACAAGAATCTTATCCCCAAGGCTCGTGTTTCTTAAATGACGATCGTTATAAATGTTTTATCAACATAACTACAATCTACAGAAACCAAAAGAAATACATTACTGACTGACGCACACATCTTAGCTTAGCAACTAGCCTCGCATAGCATGTGTACGCTCACGCTGCTTACACTTTATCAGCTAGGTCACTTTAACACATGCCCAAACATTCCCTAAACAAATAGATACTTACAAAGACAAATGTTCTCCAAGGCGCCCACGTTAAGGCTAAATCAACGTGTTCTTGATGACCCGTTAATTCTCTAGTTTCTGCTTAAATGTAGGATGTAAACACACCGGCAGCTAAGGCACAGAGCACTCGCTCTGTCGTGTTTTGCTCAGACAGTTTAACAAAGATTGTTTGAAACAGTGATGTCTCACTTTGATCCATTTCCAAAACCTAAAACATTTGAATCTTTTTATCACCTACTAACCTAATCAACCTTTTTCCCATAATGAACTGGATAATTAATTGAGGCCTAAAGGCGTCACAGAGCGTTAGTCCAGATTATCTCAAGGAGAATGTCTTCAGCTGCTTCTTTTATCTATTACTAACATGCATTGAAGTTGTCTGCAATTTTGCATGGATAATGTTTAAAGCAGGGGTCGGCAACCTGTTCCCATCAAAGAGCCATTATTACCCGTTTCCCACAGTAAAGAAAACACTGGGAGCCACAGCAGCCGCGGCGTTGTGGGCGGGGCCTACCCTCAGACAGCAGAGAGCTGCTCACAACAGGTGACAGCAGCCGGTACCGGTCGCTCGTGTACGTCAAAGCTGTCTTTCATAAGAAGATTATCAATAAAACGATTTATATAAAATGGATCCAGAAGTTGTAGCCCGTCTCTGCCTACAGGATTTTGATATTTTTCACCCTGTTGGTGGTTTTACTGAGTTTCCACTTTTGTCATACATTTCTTTTTAAAACATGTTTAGACTGTTCAGAATACAAATCCAGGCTCTGGTTTGATTGTTGTAATTGAACTTTGTAGGTGGGGAAGGTCAGAAAAGGATCCGATCATTCTGTTTTTCCCTCATTTACAGCGACGGAGACAACGGCGCTGTGCGCCTGGCTCTGGTGTTAATCAAGTTAAATTATATCTCTTTGTAACAATTTTCACAAGAAAACAGAACAGTTAAAAGCAGGGCTTGTGTTGTGTTGACCGGATAGTTCCCGTATTTGGCCGTTTATTTTGACAGAGAAAGAATAGAAAGAATTACCCCGACGCATGCAGACGAACTGACTCTTTATTCGTTATGCACATCGCAGATGTAGCTAAATCACTCAAGAAAAGATTCCCATCTGAACATCTGAGCTGGACACCGCTCAGCGCAGCTCGCTGTCAGCGCGTACGCACGGTGCACAGCGAGCTGAAGATGTGGAGAGGGGCTTGGAGCGCGTCGCAGAACCAGAGCGCATGCGGGAAGATTCCTCCGTCTGAAGCGAGACTTGTCACTTAGAAAATGTTCCCTGATTATGAAACTTTGGCTGAATAGCGCTTGTTCCTGTCTCCAATGTGGCGACACATCCAGGAGCCGTCTGAGGAGAATCCCAGAATCTGACATCCTCTTCAGCTCAGAATGCGCCGATATGATTACGCACAAGCGTGACGTATCAACCCGGTCTCACAGTAAGACCGGGTTGGACCTGTTCAGGTTTACGCAGACAATCTTTACATTTAGAATTGGCATACAGATGTAAAATTAATGCAGTAAAATATAAAGCATTTTATTTAAATATCCATTCGTCATTTTACAAGCACAGAGAGCCGCATCAGATGGATGGAAGAGCCGCGGGTTGCCGACCCCTGGTTTAAAGCATGCATGATAACAAATTTTTAATTTTTTTTTTTATTAAGAGTGACCCCTGCGTATATCAGTGTCGGGAGCCAATATCGAGCATCACTACATGCTTCCATTTATCTACCATTCTCCTGCATGTTGTATCACATGTAGCCCGTTGAAGCCTCTGCTGTGTGTTTGCGGCGCTGATCTAAAGCCATCGATCGTGTTTTTGCATTTAGGTGATCATTTAAACTCCACTGACAGGAAAGTTCAGCATGGCAGCGTTCACAAATAAATTTAGTTTGATCAACTCTGGAAATATTAAATGGAAATGTTCTTGTGGAAGATCTGCGGCGTTCTCATGTTCCATTTAATTGCCCCACCCACAATGATGTCATTGGTGAAAACATCAGACTTTAACCTCAAACAATAGTGATGCAGATCTCGGCCCTGCTGTGACCCGGGGAACGTCTGGGTGCAGAGAGAAACAGACTTTAAAAATAAAAAGGACAAAAGTGTCTTGGTGCGTGATAAATAAACTGTCAGCATTAGGCGTTTCATTAGTTAACACTAATAATGTGTTAACATTTTCATCCCCGCTCCTTCCAAACCAGTATTTGCAGTGCATGAAGTGCAATATATTAGTTATATGTGGGTGTGTGTGTTCCAGGGCTGTGCAGCAGTTTTGCAGCGGCGCTCAGAGAACGAGGAGTTTGTTGAAGTTGGACGATTAGGACCATCAGACTACTTTGGTAAGAACTGTAGCAACATCGTGTTTTCTTTAATATGTTCAGATGAATCTGGTTAACTGTTGGCAACAAGAAAACACATAAGAAGTGACTTATGTGAGTGATCTTTAAAAATAATTTATTTAGTATTGGTTATAAATGTGTCAATATATCCTTTGTTGATCATAATCAGCCAATATTCAATATGGTGAGCCTAATAATTGGTTAAACATCTAATGGGCCATTCCCATCTGTACCGGGTCGGCCCGGGCCGGGTAGCGTAGGTTGTTTACATATCTGGGTGGCCTGGTATTTTTCCGGGCCAACCAAGGCTCATTCTCAGCCCTCTTCTCGAGGGGGTCTGCTTCAGGCCGACCAGGGCCAACACACCCACTGCTGACAGCAAATTCACACCTTCCATTAGAGCAAGCCTCTGATTGGTGGGTAGAATCAGCCCACATGGGCTTAAGACAAGGATGTGTGGAATCAACCGGGCCAGGCTGGGGCCGACTGGGGCTATCCGGCCCGGGCCGATCCGGTACAGATGGGAATGGCCCATTAATCTGACTTGCATCGATTCATCCATGCATTAACTAATAAACAGATCTGATTATTTGTAAAATGGTGATCTGTTATTGAATAGAGACTTGTTTGATACGGACAGGTCAGAGCTGTGTGTGTCCTCATCTGGACGTCCTGTTTCTTGTGTTTCCCAGGTGAGATCGCTCTGCTGATGAACCGTCCTCGTGCCGCCACGGTGGTCGCCCGTGGCCCCCTGAAGTGCGTTAAGCTGGACCGGCCCCGCTTCGAGCGCGTTCTGGGCCCGTGTTCAGACATACTTAAACGCAACATCCAGCAGTACAACAGCTTTGTGTCACTGTCTGTCTGAGGGGGCGTCGCTCCTCCTCTGGCCACACCCCCACCCTCCTCTTCTCTCAGACCCAGGGTCCACACATCCCATTAGCTTATTCTTATTCTTTTGTCACTTTGCTTTTGTTTCTTTTTGCTTTTTACTCCTGGTTTTGTTCCACCTGCACCAGTTCTTATGCTGTTACCACCGTGGTGGTGACTTTCAGCCACTCACCAGCGCTTTTACCAGCTGCTACCTTGTAGGCACAGTTACATCACAGGTTACTTATCTTCCATATATAAATATCTATATTTGCTGGTTACATTTTTGTTTTAGATTTGAACTCAAAGCAGGAGATCTGCTTTAGGGTCTCAGACTGGTGAGACAATCAGACCTTTAAAAAGAAATAAAGCGCTTTTGTTTTTACTAGATGGCGTGTTTTCTTTAGGTTAGCTGGTTTAGGTACACTTTTAAAACTGTAGAAGGCAGGGAGGATGTGATGTAATCGGTCAGCCTTTAGGTTTCTACATTCGTTTTAATCTGTTACGTGACGCTCCACTTGTTGTTTTTGTTACTTTTAGACGGACACGACGATGTGTCCTCGCCTACTTTGTGAGAGCTCACACAACTTAAGGGTTTTACTGTGCAGCTGCCAGGCTAGTGCCAAATGTTTGATTCTCGTCACACAGCGCAGAGATGCACACAGGCGTGGAACGTTCCTGGAGCTCCAACAAGTAGTCGTTACAACCCTTATCGTCCTCCGAAATCGACTGAACAACCACACAAGAACTGCCTTGAATACTCTGAGGGGAATACAAATACTAAAACACAAAAGAAGAAAAAGAGTATTACGTGAATTTCAGTATTCAGTTTATTTAGTACACACCAAATATCATGGTCGCTCTTCTGCTATGATTTACAAGCAAATGTTCTCCTAGTATAGTTCAAATAATCATCATTATTATTTTTGAGAATCATCTGGTTTGGAGTGATGGTGATCTTAAAATCTATATAAATATAGATGTTTAACTGTCTTTTGTAAACACTTATTTTTCCATAAATTCTATTTTAGGTGTCGAGTGCCACAAAGTAAATAATAAATGATTCTTCTTGTCAACTGACACAACAGTATCTACTTGTATTGTGTAAAAAAATGATTTTAAAATAGTGATGGGAGACTTTAACATCAGATGACAGGTTTATTAAGTGGTGTTGGTGGGTGGAGTGTTTCTGTAGGAGGTGGGCAGCGTGAGCTGGTGTTTGTTTATAGTCTCATTAGCTGACCGCTAATGAAGACGACCATTTCCATCGAACTAGCTGGTGGGACCCGCTCTGTTACGCTGGCTGGGCCCGACGTGCTGGGCCTCCGGTGGAAAAGGAAGTTTGTGTTAAAAGAAAAAGGAAAAGACACAATGCATCCTGCAGCTAGGTGCAGCAGCAGGAATTAGTCATTTATTTGATTTGTTACTCCCTGCTTAACAGCTTCATGACTAGATGGCTTTTTTAGAAATGACATTGATGAGACTGAGTTACCTTTTCATTCCTCTCTCTCAAGAAAAGACCTATAAATGTCTGTTAGTCTCACCGAGCGCTCATGGACGAGCTGCAGGTGTATGTTTGGTCTGGGTACTGTTAGCAGGTCGGTGAGAGGAGTTTTCTTACTGATCGTCTGTTCCCCCCGACCCTCAGGTTCTCCTTGTGGGTGTGGTGACATGTGGCTTTGTGTCCATTGACAGCACATCCCGTTTATCCCGATCTGCAGGAAAAGACCCCCGTTAGGGTGGAGGGGTTTGTTTGTTTTTCATGTAAATAGCTGCATCCTAGAGTTTAGTCCACACTGCAATCGTCCCGGTTTGCCTTAGCTTACCTGACCTGGACTCACGGTCGTAGTCAGTCACACTCGCTTAAGCCCAACCTTCAGAGCTCGGCGGGCTGCAGCCCCTCGGAGGACCATTCTTTTTCTATTCTACACTGTATCTAGTTTCACCTCCTGTATGTGCAAAGATGTTTATCCTCTTTTGGTATAGATTGTTCCAGATGGCAGTTTAAGCAATAAAAAAAGTAAAAAATGATTCAAAATTTGTCTCGGGCTTCATTGATTTGTGAACATTTCAGTATCTCCTCTCCTTTGATCGACTATCTGAAATAGAGACCAGCTGATTTGGTTTTTCTGTTGCCTTTAGTTAGATGTGACAGTCAGCCCATGGCCCACGTCTTCCTCTTCATGCTCAAGTGAACAGCAGTGGGCACAAGTTTGCTGAACCATATTTAATTTAAAACTAATTCAAAATCACACATTATCCTAAATTAGTCAAATCCATAAACTTATTTACCAAGTATTAAAAGCAGGCAAATAAAAAAAGGTTAATGTAAATGTCAGCAGCAGCACTGGGCTGCCCGCAGATGTGCCTGATATGAAATCGGCTCAGCTAAAGAGGATGTTGGCCGATATACAAAATAAGGGTGAGTGTGGACCCGATATGCTGTTGATGTTTTAGGTAAAGTGGGTTTTATTTGGAAGCTATAAAGAAATCTACGCTGAGAAAAGGACATCAGTTTTGCAAAGTTTCAAGTAGTTTTGTTTAAGCAGTAAAAAGGTATTTTTTACTGATTTATGTTGTTTGCTTCTTCCTCACCTAAATATTTCAGATGAGTAAACGTGACAAATTTTAGCATCAGACAAAAATGACCTACACATAAAACGCTGTTCTCAGTGATTCATCCAGGAGAAAGGCTGCCCAAACAAACCGGGATTTTAACGCAAAAACAATTATCCTCCTTGGCAAACGAAGTCGCTGATTAGCCACGTCATTTGGAAAGCTCAGTGTAGTTTCAGCAGCCAGGCCCGAGTGCTTCCAGACCGGTGGAAGTAATCACTGACACGGATAAAAGATGACCAACTAAAAGACATCATGTCACTATCTGATTACGTTTAATAACAAAGAACCCAGAAAACCGTCTACAGCCCGGTAGGCCTCCCTTGGTTCAGGTTAAGGTCAGAGGTCAGGGTTCAGCACGTTTGCCAAGAACATCAAAAAGATCTCAAAAACCTTTGTGAAACAATTCTGTGGACTGATGTGAGAAAATAGGAACTTCCTGTTTGAGCTGATGTAAAACTACAACAGTCTGGGGTTCCATCAGTGACCACTCGCGGTCACTGATGGAACCATGAAATCTCTCCATCACAACATCCTGACGGATAACGTCTGACCTCTGACCTTCATGCTGGAAAACCCTCCAACATGGCTGAATTAGAACAATTTTGTAAAGCAGAATGCAATGTGAGAGCCTCATTAGTCATCATAAACATTTATATATTATTCCATCATAATAAAATTTAAATTGTATTTTGTGTTTACTCTTGTTATCTTTGACAACATTTATGTGTTGGTTTGAAATATTTTACCACAACAGAAAAAGCAGAAAATGGTGGACATCTTTAGGAGGAACAACTTTTCTACAGCATTGCACTTGTGAAAGAAATAATCAGCAAAGCAAAGCGGCATGTTTATAACTTAGAATCTGTTTCAGTTTAGTTTAAAATGTGTTTTAAAGATGAGCACCGTACTGCTGAAACACTATTAGCATCAGGGCAGCAGAGGGCGCCATTCAGAGGTTTTATTAACACACACACACACACACACACACACACACACACACACACACACACACACACACACACACACACACACACACACACACACACACACACACACACACACACACACACACACACACACACACGTGTCAGCATTTGCAGGTTTCAGACCTCATAATTATCCCTCAGAAGTTCACACTTGTCATTTTGCAAAAAGAAAACAAACAACCTGCTTGAGCGAGACGGCAGCTCTCAGCCTGCTTCACCAAATCTAGGATCTCCTACATATTTGTGGTCGCACAATAATGTGATGAGTAGGTTGTTGAATGAGACGTGAGGAGTTAGCAAGGTCAAGTTCACAAAGGCAAAGTTCACAGGTTGCTTTATTTGATTCGGATATGTTCTGTTTGGACGACACAGGGCCTGATTGTGACTCTGCAGACAGGACCTGGTGTCATCAGGGCGTTTGCTCGCTGATGAAACAGGATTATAAGTCTGGAGAACAGGGTGGAGTGAGCCGTTAAACAGATTTTACCACGCACACTTCTCCTCCCACTCAAGCTTGTGGTAATAAAGAGCTTTAAAGCATTCGTCGTGATAGAAAATAGCTTTATTTTAGATAAAAAAAAATATTTTCACAATCACAACCAGGACATTTCTGATAAACAACAGTTCCAGTGCACGACCTCTGACCCTGCTGCTGGGTTTGGGTGGGGTTTATAGTAGCTTAAGTCCAATTTATGTATTTATGTATTTAGCAGACGCTTTGGTCCAAAGCGACTTACAAGTGATAATCGGCATGTTGCCCTTGAGGCTAACAACAACAATAACAACAACTTGACATCAATAATGAAGAGGAGGGAACAAAGGAGTGGACAGTAGGGGGGGGGGGGGGGTGCAGGGAGGGTGCTGGTTTAGAAGATGCTCTCTGAAGAGCAAGGTCTTCAGGAGTTTCTTGAAAATTGAAAAAGAAGAATTTAGGACATTCTTAGGTCTCGGGAAATCAAATTTAGACTTTAAATGAAAGGTCACGGCTCAACTAAAGATCCTCTGGCACCAGGAGAAAAAGTAAATTTGAATGCTGAAGTTAGTTTCTGTTTCCTGCTTCTAACGTGTCTAAAACCTTAATGTCTCTGAGACATTAGGAAGTCCTAATATGGACATCGTGTTTGCATCACCTGTATTTCTTTATTACTAGATTTATAGATTGATATTTGTGTTTGTTTCTCCGTCAAGTTCCTCAGATAAAGAGCTCTGATCCTTGATTCAGATTTCATCCTGAAGTCTCTACAAGCAGCTTTGGTGTCTACGGACGATGGCTTGATCTTCTGCTACCTCTCCTGTGTCATCACCATAGTAGTCTGAGGTCCTACTGTGGGTTTGATAAAGTCTGAAGTGATCACCTCCTCCTTGCCCAGCCTCCGGATGCAGTGCTGGACCACTCGGAGGACCTTCTTTAACCTGCGGTCCAGAGCCAAGAGGTGGGGTTCAGTCAGAACTGGCCTCAAAGGGTCTCCGTCTAGGGACTCCCTCATCACATCACTGAGCCTGAACTCTGACTGGGACAGGAGCTGCAGTCTGAGCAGCGTGGAGCGCTTCACTCTGAAAGATAACAGTGAGACGTTGTTTTGGTTTGATCATCCGTCTTGTCTCATCTTTTTCTGCCTATCGGATCCGGGTTGCGGAGGGCAGCATCCCAACTAGGGAGTTCCAGACTGTCCTCTCCCCGGCCACCTCCACCAGTTCATCCAGTAGGACCTCAAGGCGTTCCTGGGCCAGATCGGAGATGTACATTCTCCAACGTGTCCTGGGTCGACCAGAGGGCCTCCTGCCAGCAGGACATGCCTGAAACACTTCCCTGGGGAGGCCTCCAGGAGGAATCCTAACAAGATGCCCAAACCACCTCAACTGACTCCTCTCGATGTGGAGGAGCAGCGGCTCTACTCCGAGTCCCTCCCGAATGTCCGAGCTCCTCACTCTTAATCATCCATTCCCGCTCAAAAGGAAATCTGGAATACTCACATGCAGCACTGGGATAGTGGAGCTAGGATGGACATCTCATCATGAGAGGACTTCCCAAACCTGAGCAAAATAATAAAAACATGGAGCCAAACGTAGAAGAAAACTACAAAGAGGTGAATTCAGACATTTCCACTCTCACCCTCTGGCGTTGTCCAAGTGAAGAAGAAACCCTTCTTCTCCAAATTTAGTAAAAATCTCATAATGATGTCTGTCCATGTTACCTGGCCACGAATGAAAGACAGTTTGATAATAAATCCTCAGATTTGATATGATTATGTGACACAAAGTACCTGTTAGGAAGTCAAAAATGGACATGTCTATGATGTTGAGCAGCCTGTTGCCAGAGCTATATGGATGAGTTTGCTTTATTGAGTCACAGTAGAAAGGATTCACTTCCCACCTATGAAGACAAATAGAAGAAAAAGGAATCAAAATACAACAAATGATGTTATGTTGGAAACCTTTTAAGCCTCCAGGTGTTTAAATCTTACTCCTGGCGTTCTGTAAAGGTGTACGAGCGAGTCCAAGGGTTGGGGATGGAGAGGCGTGGAGCGATGCTGAGGCCCGGCAGGTATGCTGACAGCGAGCCCTCCAGCAGATCCGGGCTCCCACACACAGCGTACTCCGTTTTACACACGTAGAGGCACTTAGCAAAGAAACACGTGTTGTTCGCTGAGGGGGAAGATGAGCAGAAGAAGTTTAGTCAAAGCTTTTCTAAAGGAGACAGCTATCTGCTGTAGTCACTTCAGAAAAGATGATCTTTCTAACCATTTACAATAGAAGAATAGAAATCTACTCTAGTTAAGAACCAAACTCAACCTAAACAAAAATTATGTCAAAGAAAAAGTTATCTTTATCACTAAAAAAGCAGCAGTAACCCTAACCCCAGGAGCTGTTTTAGCTTCTGACCCTCAGCATGACAGAACTCCAAGATATTGGTGGTTAGATTTCATAAACATTGCTAAAAAGCAAATTTATTATCATATAATATGTAACAAATCCATTTTTAAAGAGATAATTTCCAGACCTCAAACATATTTTGCTTGACCCCCAGGCGGGTCCTGACCCTGACCTTGGGAACCATGTCATGAGCCGGGGGTGAGTACTCGTCTCTCTACATGAGATCTCTGAGTTGTGTCTTGCAGGAGAGGGAGCGGCAGCTGCACCTGATCAGCTAATCAGCGGGTTGGCGTCTTAAGGAGGAATGGGACACTACTCGACGTCGGATGATTGCTACTGATTGGTAGTTTCCAGCCCTCGTACCTGCCTCTTGGTTTTTTGTGAACATCATTACGTGTATCTTTACCTGGGACTTTTGTGACTTTACGTCTCTTGGATCTCTGACCTCAGGTTCTCCTCATCTCTGGATTATTCCCTCACCACGCTCAATAGGACTCTGCTCTGCTCACACGGCACGTCATCCATTCACCTCTGACCTACCCGCTCTCCAATGACTACCCGCTCCTTCTCCAGCTCTGGAACCGCTCACCTGGATACCCCCGGCTCGTTACCCATCCCCTCACTCGCTGAACTCATTTTACCCCAGTAAGTCCCCTCACTAATTGGACTTAAAGTTCACAGGAAGAAGAAGAAGAAGAAAATATCATTTCTATAGCGCCTCTCAAGATAAAAATCACGAGGCGCTTCACAAAAACAAAAAATATAAAAAAAATGTAAAAATATAAAAAAGCATTTAGAAAATGTTTAAAAATATATTTAAAATTAGCAAAAATAAGCAATTGCGATTTAAAAGAAAAAAAAATGTTAAGAAAGAGAGAGTGAATAGGAAAGAGGGAAATCAGTGGATCCTGAGGAAAGTGGAATAGGTGGGGAGAGCAGAATAAAGAGAGAGTGGTGAAGAAGGTCACACAAAAGCCACTTTGAACAAGTGAGTCTTCAGCTGCTTTTTAAAGGAGACCACTGAGTCCACTGATCTCAGTTTCAGGGGGAGAGTGTTCCAGAGTCTGGGGGCCACAGCAGCAAATGATCTGTCACCTTTGGTCTTTAGCCTGGTGCTGCACAACCAGTAGGCTTTGGTCACTGGACCTCAGGGACCTGCTGGGGGTGTAGGGACTAAGAAGATCACCAATATAAGATGGTGCTTGTCCATGTAAGGCCCTATAGACCAGAACCAGGATCTTGAAATGAACCCTGAAGTTGACTGGCAGCCAGTGAAGCTGGAGGAGAAGCGGGGTGATGTGGGTGTGTTTGGAGGACTTGGTCAGAAGCCGAGCACAGGCATTCTGAACCACCTGTAGATGTTTCAGGGAGGTTCTGCTCAGACACGTGAAAAGAGAGTTACAGTAGTCTAAGCGTGAGGAGATGAAGGTGTGGAGAACTGTCTCAAGTTCAGAGCGAGACAGAATGGGACTCAGCTTAGCAATGTTCCTGAGATGGAAGAAGGAAGAGCGAACAAGAGAACTGACATGAGAATCTAGGGTGAAAGCTGGGTCAAAGGTCACACCAAGATTCCTGACAGAAGGTTTGATGTGAGAAGCAAGGTGACCAAGAGAGTCTCTGACTTTGGGAACCAGCTTGTCTGGGGCACAGATGAGGATCTCAGTCTTATCTTCATTCAGCTGAAGAAAGCTCCCAGCCATCCAGGTTTTGATAGAGTCTAAGCAGGTGTGTAACAGCTGCAGCTTAGACATCTCATGGGGCTTAAAGGAGATGTACAGTTGGATGTCATCTGCATAAAGATGGTAGGAGATTCCTTTGAAGGAGCTCAGGATGTGCTGAAGAGGAAGCAGATAGAGGAGGAAGAGCAGAGGCCCCAGCACAGAACCTTGTGGGACACCATGGGTAAGAGAGGTGGTGGAGGACCTAAACTTGGAGACGGCGACAGAAAAGGACCGCTTAGAGAGATAATAGGAGAACCACTCCAGAGCAGATCCTGATAGGCCTACCCAGGTCCAGCAGGACCAGAACAGAACAGTCCCCTGCATCACTGTGAGTCAGAAGGTCATTAGAGACCCTAAGAAGAGCTGTTTCAGTAGAATGAGCTCTACGAAAACCTGACTGGAAACTATCATAGATGTTATGTTCATCAAAAGTAAGTTATTTTAATCAATGATATAAAAAACCTTAATTTGTACTCAAAAGACTCCCACAGGTACCTGGTGAGGTGAAGAACACTGCTCGAAGGTCTTCATTGTGGGTTGCTTGGAGAATGTCTCCGGTGACGTTCACCAGCCTGCCGGACACAGGTGGAACCCTTCGAAAGTCCAAGATCCTAAATATGAATGAGAGTTCCAAAAATAAATACAGATAATCATGATATAAATATGACAAGATGATGGATTTATTTTTTCCCCAGTAAAAATAAGCGACTCTTCTAATAAATGCATCTTCTGACAGCCATGCTCAAGATCTTCCCGGTCAGGTTTCACAAACCTGCAGTGGGCGCGTCGAGCTGAATTTGTGTTTCTAAAGTTGCTGACGCTCCCTAAGCCCTGATTGCTGGGGATAAAGATGAGTCAAGTCAGACACAACAGAGGCGACGCTCTGAAGCTGCCTCAGACTGAAAGCGTGACCCATCTGGGAAAGCAGAAACAGTAAAAGTTTTTTTTTATGTGAGCAGGTTCAAGTTGCTTCATCTGTTTTGTGCCTTGCGTGGCGAAGTGCTGACTGATCGCCATGTGGGTTCTTAATGACACCGTCTCGCTCAGAAGACTGTGTTTGAGAGTGAATCAGCTGGATAAAGACATTTTGAGTCTGTGTACAAACACTGTGGTTTACACTGATCAGCCAGTTGGGAAAGCAGAGCTGACTCAAATCTTTTGGAAGCGGAAGAAAATGTTCAGAATTGTCTTATCAGTCAACTTTTAGATCTTTAGGTTTTTGTAATAAATCTGCCTCAACTTTTCTGATTACTCGTTTCAAAACAAGAACAAAGTTTGATGTTCATGTAGTTTTGACCCTTGTGGGTAAGAGGGTGCATGTTGTGTAGTCTATCCCATCCCACAAGAGCCGTGGCTGTAACACGTCTGTAAAGTGTTGATGCTAACAGATGAGAGACGGTTGTTTGACAACTTTCTGTTTTCTTGGTGTTTCTTTTTTTCATGAAGAAAAACCATTTTAGGCACGTTTTTGTAAATGTGTCTAAAATGGAGAACCCTCGACATGAGAGGCAGCTGAGAAAATAAAAGCGTGCTGAGGCTGCGGGGATCTCTGAGCTAAACACAAACATTAACCAGCAGACAAAATGACCCTACAACAGGAAACGCAGCAAGAGCATGTTTTCAATGCTGGTGAGTTGGCCGATGGGTGACCTCCCCCAACCCTGTTCATGTTGACCAACAAAAGTTTAAACCTGACAGGAAACTGGTTTTCCAACTCGCCCAAGCAGCTAATGTTGTCACCTAATGTGTGTGATATACCAGATGGATGTAATTGTAAAGAGCATTTTATGAGGGAAAACTTAGACAAACACCCATCCATCCATTTTCAACATCTTTTCCAGGGTCAGATCACTGGGCCAGCAGCCTAAGCATGGAGGTCCAGACTTCCCTCTCCCCAGCCACTTAGGCCAGCTCCTCTGAGAGAATCCCAAGGCGTTCCCATGCCAGCCTTTAGACATAGTCCCTCCAACGTGTTCTGGGTCTTGGTTTAGGTCTTCTTCCGGTTGAACGTACCCAGAAAACCTCACCAGGGAGGCGTCCAGGAGGCATCCTGACCAGATGCCCGAGCCACCTCAACTGGCTCCTCTCAGTGTGGAGGAACAGCTGATCTACTCCAAGTTCCTTCCAGATGATCAAGCTTCTCACCCTATCTCTAAGGCAGAGCCCAACCATCCTGTGGAGAAAACTAATTTTGGCCGCTTGCATCTATGAACTCATTCTCTCGTTCACTACCCAAAGCTCGTGACAATAGGTGAGGGCATGGATGTAATTTGGGGGGGGACATGTCCCCCCCAACTTTTTCCAAAGTCAAGTTTTGACCCCTGCACTTTTTACCATCCAAAAACAATATTACTTTATATTAAATTGACATTGGTTGAGCTCTAGGACCAAGCAGAAAACAACCGTTTGTGTTGAAGCCTGTTTCCCATTAGAACATACGTAAAGATACCCCCCACCCCCCGTGTCCCCCCCACTTCTAAAGTGAAAATTACGTCCATGGGTGAGGGTAGGAACGTAGATCGACCGGTAAATCAAGAACTTTGCCTTCTAACTAAGCTCTCTCTTCACCACAACAGACTGGTACAACACCCACATCACTGCAGATGCAGCACAATCCGACCATCGATCTCACGCTCCATCTTTCCTTTACTTGTGAACAAGACCCCGAGATACTTTAATTTCTCCACTTGGGGCGTGACCAGTTTCTGAAGGAAATCATAGACAAACATGTGGCTCACAATGACGTTCTGTTCGTACCATTCATTTGCAGGCTGAAGGTGAAGGAGTGAGCATCTGCTGCTCTGAGTGTAGCTGAGAAGGAGCCTGTTGGGCTGCCTGTGACTGCTTTGGGACACGGTACGAAAAACATGAAGAACAGTCTATATATGTCTCCAAAATGACTAAGCAGATTTATTGCTGGTTATTTAAAAAAATAAAAAATAAAAACTCACTAAATATAGTCTTGTACGTTTATACAGCAGACGGTGAAAGTAGGAGGAGTGAAAGTAACTGCACCTGTCCAGGTGAAAGGCAGCAATTTCTGCGTTGTGTCTCTGGAAGTCAACAAAGTAGAAGACATCCTCTGGTGTCTCCTCCTCCCTCTGCTGCCTGAAACACACACACAGACACACACACACACGCACGCACGCACGCACGCACGCACGCACGCACACACACACACACACACACACACACACACACACACACACACACACACACACACATTAGACTGCAGTATGTAATCAGCAGGAGTAAAACTATCATTTTAACAGCCAGCTGGGTAATTTATCCAGACACAAGTAAAGCTGGAGCGTGACACGACAGACTTCTTACTCTAATATGATGATAGCTGATCTAAAGCATGAAATATAGCATTTATTGGATTTCATGGGCACCACGCAATCGTTAGAAACGGAATTATCTCACTCGATGAAGACGAGTCACTCCTCACCTCATTGGTTTAAACATTGCTTTGCCAAAGTTGTGCATTTTCAGAGCCAACTTCAGATGATGCCCGCTGGGTTTTACCACTGAAGGAAAAATGAAAACAACACAAAAGATGTTCAACACCACTTCTGGACAGAAAACACATTCATGAGTGAGAAGTGGAGTGTCTGGACTCTTGAGTGGTAGGGTAGCAGTGGGTCATACAGCTTCATGTTGTTTGGCTATAAAATAAAAGTCGATGGTGTCTAACCACACACTCGCCTTCCTCTGCTGCACTCTCTGAAACTCAAGGGTATAATTAGTTAACAATCATATCTTAAGCAGTTAACATTCTAAACACTTCTGGAAAAGATTCAAAGCAAACCCAGCTGCTCGAGGCAGCTGTTGTGGTTGACGGACTGTGTCACAGTTTGGAACTGAAAGAATGGGAAAAACAAAGTTTAAACAGGATGGACGGATGGTTTAGGTGGGTGTTTCTTCTTGGCAGTGAGGAATGTTTTTGTGGTCGCACATGTGACTGGTGAAGAACAAAAACACAGGTTGCAGATAGAAAAACAGCCATTTTGTAAGTTTGGAAATGCTTCTGCTGATTTTGACACACTATCTTGCAATTCTTATTGGTTGATAAAAATGATACATTGGTTGGCTGGTTTAACTCTTAGGTTGTTTACTTCTTATGTTGTGATAAATAATAGTGCATCCTCTGAGGCAACCCTGACACTTGTGGGGTTCCTCAGGGATGTGTTCTTAGGTCTGTTTATTTTTTTAATGTATGCTCCCCCTTAGCTACTTGATATAGAAAATCTATTGTTTGTTTTATCACTGATGTACCAATAATAGTTAATAATAATAATAGCTTCATTAACTATGATTTTCCTGTTTCAGATTCCACGTTAACTACTCTGGCATACGTCAACCTAGAAACTTCCTTCAAAGTTTATAGCAGTCACAGGTATTAAGCTACTTATGACTCGACTTCTAGATATCTTTTACATGTTTTGTATAATGACTCAGATACCAACCATGCGCAAACACAAGGATTATTAGTTCCGGCAAGAAAGAAAGAAAGAAAGAAAGTTACAGAAAACCAGGAACAGAACCACTCACTCACTCACTCACTCACTCACTCACTCACTCACTCACTCACTCACTCACTCACTCACTCACTCACTCACTCACTCACTTATTACTCACTTATTACTCACTGCTGTTAAGCATATGCTGCTAAAGTCACAGTTTAGCTAATTGTGACACTTCTACTAACAGATCAGCTGTTTAACCCTCCCACTGTCCTAATGGGTGACCCCGCGAGGAAAGTTGACCAATGAGCAGGACTGATGGTTTATCCCTTGAGGTCCAAGTGGCAGGGGTGAGGTGGTGCTCACTCCTCACCCCTGCCACATGGACCCAAGGGAAAAACCATCAACCCTGCTCAATGGTCAACTTTCCTCGCGGGGTCACCCATTAGGACAGTGGGAGGGTTAAACATTTCAGCTCGTTAGTGATTTTTGCTCCTACATCTTCAAATATGTTCAGCTCATTTTGACAAATTAGCTTAGTTTCAGCTTCACTTCAGCTCTTCAGCAGCTTCAGCTATCAGTTTCAGAATACAGCATATGATGCCAAATTCACAGTTCAGCTAATTGTGAAAATTTAAGTATTAAACAAACCCTACAAATACCAGCTGTTTAAACATAACAGCTGTCCAGTTTTTAAGCTATGTTCAGACATTTCAGTTTTCTGCCGTTAAGGATTATCTTCTCTTTTTTCTCTGGACTTTCTAACATTTGCTAGTAATTTTTGCTCCTACATCTTCAAATATATTCAGCTCATTTTGACAATTTAGCTTAGTTTCAGCTTTAGTTAAGCTATCCAACAGCTTCAGCTATCAGTTTCAGCATGCAGCATTCAAACAGCATTTCTGCAAGAAATGAAATTTATCTAGTTAGATTTACTTGTTTATCAAGCTTGATGTCTCTTAGGATATGATTGTTCTTTGTAATTGTTTGTGTGGCACTCAGTTTTCATTAGTTAAGTCAAAATATTTTCATGAAACATGTTGGTTTTTTGGTCCAATTTTTACCAAATATTGATGCTTTAAATAGCTTCAGTTTCTATATTTGATGTGCTTGTTTGCATTTATCTGTATTTGTAGTCTTTTTTTTATTTAAATCCCTTTTTAATTAAAACTTTTTAAAGTTTTTATGCAAATAAAAACGTACTTGCCTACTTTTTAGATGCAAAGTGGTAGCTGACATATTTGGAGGGGTTTTGAGGGTGTTCTCTAGCATGAAGACAGTAACTAGAAGTTCTGCCTTTAAACATAAACAAACACATGTGTATGGGAGACAAATCTGAATTCTTGTTGCTGAATAAAAAATCAAAGCCACAAAGAAAGTAGTGTGCCTGATGGTGCTGTCAAGCAGCAAAGAACAAGAGAAACAAAGAGCCTACAGTCAAATCAAACTGATAACATAAAATAAACAGATGCGCAGCAAAGGGGAAAATAAAAGTTAAAAACTTTTAAACGTCTTACAAAATAAAAGTGTCATTAAAGTTTGATGTACCTTGAGTGCAATCACATTCTCCTTTCAAAGCTTTCTCGTCCTGGGTGTAATCTGTAAGAGAAGAAGGCTTTCAGGTCATTGACTGCAGAAATTGCATGAAACAATCATTTACTGATAAAATAAGTTAGGTTGTTTCTTTGACCTCACCTGCATTCACTACTTTCATGTTCTGCATGTCTTTGAGGAGCTGGAGGATGGAGGAATCATCCTGGGAATACAGAGCGTAGCGGTTTATTCCCAAGTGGAACTTCAGCCAGCTGGCATCCGGGTCGTAGGTCATTTCCTGTTCCAGCCCAGAGAGGTTGGCCAAAGCCGCTGCCTCATTATATAGTTTCTTATGTCTGAGAACGACCCAGAACAGAGATGAATGAGACTTCTCTAGTTCTATCGTTATTATTGGACGCAGACATCAGACTTAGACCCTGTTATTAGAACAATTCTGGAAAACCTCCTTCACTGTGAAGGCAATAGTGATGGTGCTTTGTCACTGTTAATGGGAGCCAGCAGAGATCCTTTATTGAATGTATATAATTATATATTGGGTTCCCATAAACCTCACCAAGGGCCTGAAACAATCATTCATGTTTCTGATGAATATTCATGTTGCAGTGAGGTCATCATCCAGTGTGAAGGAGGACCAACTCATTAGTTTGGTATCAGCCAAGTCTTTTTTCTTGATTTGGGGAAACTTTTTATAGCTTTTGTCAGAAACGGTAATTTTCTACAGCCTCTCATTTTCAGATGGAGGAAGTCATCTGACACTGACAGAAATAAGCTTTGATGTTTGAGGCCCAGTGCAGGGTCAAAGCTGACAAACTCCATCACAGGCTGAATAACAAACTCAGATAATGGAGCAAAGGGCTAAAAATACAAGTTTGTTTGCCCATCGGCCTTCCTGTTCCGTCACCTGGCAACCTGAAGTGACAGATCGGGGTAATCGCGACTCTGAACAAGCGCTGGCTGCAAAGTGTTTAGAAAACATGGCTTTTACTGCTGGCTTGAGCAGCGCTGGAGTGTGTTTGGAGAACCGAGATGCTGCTGCTGCTGCAACACTTCCAGACTTTGAGCGTTTTGGGCCAGATCTACAAACGTTAGCGTGGGTCTTTTAAGCAGGCACTTCTTTTTTTAGATTTAACCAAAGCAGATCTAGCTTCAACTTAAGATAGTGTTAGTTCAAAACTCTAAGGACAGCAGCAATCCTTCAAAGTAAGCCTGACCTTTAAATGCCCATGTTTTCTCTCGTTCGGAATCCCAAGAGAGCAAAATCTGCATCCCTGATTGCTTGCCTAGGATGGCCAAAAAGATTAGAAGCTTTAGCCGCTCTCCGTCCTTGCTAACCAAACGAGAATGCTGTCATGATGACATCTTTGTGTCCCGGATCATGTTGACATGGACTTTTGTGCTGCATGCACATCCTGATTATTATCTCTTACCATGGACACGTTGCTTTTATGTCCCTGTGTTCCATAGCACCCTGGAGGGGGTTTGACTGCGGTGTCACTGACCCAGCCTTTCAACCACAGTGAGTCACAACACGTGTTTTCAGCTTTCACAATCAAGTGAAGCAACTTGTAAGTCAATTTGCAACTGACTCTGAGCTATTTTCAGCTGGAAAAAGAAGCAGAACTGACCTTTCCCAGTGAGAAACCTTCCTCCTGTAGTACTCTAGCAACTGCTCCACCTCAAGCAGCCTCTCCTCTGTCCTCAGAGCTGGAGTCTGAATGTTGTAGAGCGGATGGGCAAAGAGCCTCTCCAGCTTTGAGCCTCTATCCGTCTGATCAGATGGAGTGGTCCTGTATGGAAGTGTCCAGTTGGAGAGCTGTGGTGTAGCCAAACCCTCCAGGATTGGGAAGCTGTGATTGCTGATGTTGTTGGGCTCACATGGGCAACCATTTCCAGCTGTTTGTCTCAAGTTCTGCAGCTTTGGCAGAAGGATGAAGAAGAAATCAGCTGAGAAGATGACTGTGAGGGTTGCAGCGAGTACGAACCGGTCTCTCCTCATCGTTGAAGCAAAGGTGACCCAATAGAAGAATAACTACAGTTAAAAAAGGACAATGACAGTCCAGACTATGTGCTCCTCCAGAAACAGATAACAGATTCACACCAACACTGGTTTGTCTCTCAGTTTCTTTAGTCAGCTCCTCCTCCTCCTCCTCTTCCTCCGTTTGCCCCAGCAGTGACTCTGAGCTGAGCTGAGAGAGAGCATGTGTCAGCGGCAGTCACTGACAGCTCGGCTGCTTCCAGCCAGGGACCTGCTGCTCTGAGGAGGAGCGTGTCTGTCTGAGTGTTCGGTTTCACAACATCGTGTGTGTGTGTGTGTTTGTGTTTGAGAGGGGTGTGTGTGTGTGTGTGTGTGTGTGTGTGTACAAAAACATCAAATCACAGTGTACAGACTGAGTGCACTGAAACTACAGAGAAGATACTTTGTTTTCTTTTAAAAAAGCTAAAGCTGAGATAAAGATGTTTATTTAATAGATTTCAGCTCTTCCAGTCTATGTCTGGCTCTGAACATCGAATGTTTGTGGGTCTATTCTGGGGTTTTCACCTCATAGTATTTAAGGAGAAACTTGCCTCACATCCTTCTGTTTCCCTAAAGTTGCAGAGATCCTTCTTCCTTCTGTCATCTTCTTGTCTCCGCCCTTTTCTTTCTTTCTTTCTTTCTTTCTTTCTTTCTTTCTTTCTTTCTTTCTTTCTTTCTTTCTTTCTTTCTTTCTTTCTTTCTTTCTTTCTTTCTTCCTCTTTACTTCTACCACAGCTCCTATGTCTCTCTTGCTTCTGGCAAAAAAATCCCAGCTGCACGCTTCTTCCCGCTGCACATCCCACACATCTACCCGTCGGTTTTCTCCTCCTTTCACACTGCATGTAAAGCTAACCTTCACAAATGACAACATTTAATTGAAAAATAGGAGAAAAGTTAACCCCCCAACCGCGTGTGCGCGCACACACACACACACACACACACACACACACACACACACACACACACACACACACACACACACACACACACACACACACACACACACACACACACAACACAAGTTCACAGGTCACGTTTTCTTCACTAGAGTTCTGTTCCTTGTTGCTTGTGTCTTCTCTGGAATCTCATCGCTGCTCTTTGGTGAAGCAACAAAACTCTTGCAGGGCTTTTCATAGTCTTTCTCTGTTGTTATTGTGGTATTCTGGAACATCTGATGTGTGTGTGTGTGTGTGTGTGTTTATGTATCCATGGCTTGGAGGCTGTTTAATTCTCTGAGGACAAACCACACTGAGTGAAACTATTGTGATTGGGAAGGTGAGAGGAGATCTTTAACCTGCTGTTTAGTCTGATTTGTCCCCAACCCCCACAGGTGATTCGGGTCACTGCCACCAGAAACAGAAAAAACAAGGAACAGAAAGAGGAATATTGCTTCTAATTTAATATTTTAACTGGTTGCATTTGGCTAAAAAGCATTTCCCTTTGTTTCACCTGGCTGAGCTCTTGACAGAACCATCTATGGTCACTGAATTAGATGGACAAAAGGTTCAAGATTCTTTAATTGTCATTGGTATACAACAAAACAGTCCTTATGCACGCTTTCTCCTTCATGAGAAAAATCTCATGAAGGAGGTAATGATGGAAATATCACCTCTTCAGAAGGGCTGTGATCCCATGTGAAGAACAAGTTCAAGACATGTTTACACGTGGTACCTGGAACCGATGTGTGTTTCAGATGTGGTTTACAAAGGACGTGATATGTAAACATCCATAAGTTTCACACTTTATTACCATGAAAACATTCCAAACTGTCACAGAAACGTGTGCAAAACACAAGTGGTCACATGTTTTTTTTATGTTTTTAACATGTTCTTTCACGTTAAAGACCAAGTTCACTTGTTCAAGTTCAACTTTATTTACAAAGCGCTTTCACAAGCCCAAAAGGACAAAGTGCTGTACACCAATAAAAACACAGCAATAAAATCAGTCATGCATAAAACCATTAAAACACCATAAAAATTCCCAAGTACAGTTAAAGCAATCCAAACCAGTCCTGTTACCGCCATCAGATAAAATAAATAATCAGAGCGAAGCCGCACACCAAATCCCGGCCTCAATGTTCAAACACTAGTGAAACAGATGAGTTTTTAGTCGCCTCTTAAAGCTATCAAGCGATTGGGCCTGCATCACGTCGACCGGCAGCTCATTCCAGAGCCTTGGTTCCAGCACTGAGAAGTGCAGCTCTCACGAGATTTCAATATGTACCTGGGCACTGTTACTGGTCCCAGCTGACCTATAAGGGAACGCACCGGGACATACCGGTGGATGATATCTGACAAGTGCTGAGGTGTCCCCCTCATTTATCGCCTTGAACACAAACAGGATTACCTTAAACCTGATGAGATAAATAGGAGGCCGATGCAAGGCACCTAGGACTGGTGTAATATGTTCAGACCTCCTGGTGCCTGTCAACAGTCGAGCTGCAGAGTTCTGGACTGCCTGGAGGCATGCTAGGGAAGCTTGCCTAAGCTCTGCATAAAGCAAGTTACAGTAATCCAACCTCTAGGGAATAAAGGCATGAATTACGGTCTCCAAATGGCTACATGGCAGTGTTTGATTTTGAGGTTAAATACCGCCCTGGACCGGCAAACCAGAGTGGTCCAGGATGCTCTGGTTTGTGAGATACCTGTCACACAATGCACAATCAGTGAGCATTTCCTCTTAAACTAGTGGCTTTACTGTCCCAGAAGAATTACGTCAACAGTCAAGCCATTCTGGTCTAGTTGATAATACAGCCTTCTCTTCACATGCCATAGCCAACTTGCAGACCCTTCAGGCCACAGATCTACTTATTGGTGCTTTTCTTCAGTATTGAAAAAGAGAGACCCCCCTTCATGCAAGAACATAGTAGGGCACGCAAGGACAGTGGCTAAGAATATTAGCTAAAGATCGTGTCATGTATCGACAGATGCTGTGAACCACAAGCCTTACAGCTCCTGCTTTCCAAAGGCCTACTGGTCAAAGCATTAAACAGTCGGCATGATGACAATGGCCATCAAGGTATCAATCGAACCATGAGTCTGGTGAAACAAAGGTGCCATTGGTCATCAGTGGGACGCAATATCGAAAAACATTACTAAGAATGTCAGTGCTGCATTGTGGATAAGGCTGTTCCACCTAAAGTCTGCACCTTTAATGGAAGTTTGATGGCTTCAAAACCACTAAAAGTCATAGCCATAGATTTTATCTTACTGGATAAGGCATTGGATGGCAGGGAGAATGTTCTAGTGGTCACGGTTGTCTTCTCAAATATTGCCCAAGCCTATACCTCACACGTGACCAACGGGCGAGTGCAGTGACTAAAATCTTAAATAAAAATTGTTCCTACACCTATGGACTTCCCAAAACCATCAACATTCAAGGAAGAATTTTGAAGATTTGTTAAAACATCTGTGCAACTTGTATGGAACTGAGAAGAGTAGGCCAACACCTGACCACCCACAGGGAAATAGACAGCGTGAGAAGTACAACCAGACACTGCAAAACTTGATGCACATCCATCCCCTAGAACATCAATGGAAGCGGCCCTGATACCTGCCTGAGATTCTTTTTGCTTACAAACTACTGCTACACCAATAAAATGGCCTTTTGCTGTATTAACTATTTGGCCAGAGCTCATTGCAGGAAGATCCAACTGCTGGACGGATGCAGGACTGGGTGGAAGAACATTAGAAAACCCTGATTTCAGTCTTCAGACCAAAGATAAACCAGTAGGCCAATGGAAAATCAAAATCAAAATTACCATCCCAACATAACTACCATTCTTCCATCTGGCACAATGGAAAACAAAAAGAGCCATCCATTAGGCCGCTATTAGATACAGGATGTCTGGGACCCCACTGTGTAGGTGGTTGTTGAAAACCTTGATCCTGAAGGCAGAGTGTACCAAATCTGCCAGAGTTGTGTGATGAACCAGAACGCCATTCCGCCTCAAAGAAATAAAACGAGTGCTGAACACGTCTAGCGACAGACACGGAGCAGACTGAAGAATATCTCACGGAAAAAGTCCAGTGATATAAAGTTAATACACCCATGACTGAAGGAGTATAAAGATACACAGCAAACTTTTTATTCGTGTCAGAAAATTACAGGAAACACAAGTTTAGAGGTAGTGATTGGATGAAGAGGTGGTGGACAAATGTGTCCGTGTTAAAAAGTCTCTGAAATACATAAACACTAAATAAACACACTAGAGGAGTTGGTTACTCCAATAATGGTAGGATGTGCCAGAAAAGAGCTACGCCCTCTGCTGTCCTGGAGGAGAATTGCTTCACAACACTGACACACAAATGATGAAGTACAAAAGGTAAACCTCAATATACAGTATGTGCATGCAAAGTGGCTGACAGAGAAGTATAAACTAGCCTGAAGAGGTAAACAGGTACGTTGCTTTTTATAGTAACACCTTGTAGCACACACTAAATGTTTTACATTAAAATGTTGGCTCCCATTCCTTTGCAGCATGCTGAAACTTGTTTTGTTGCACTTTCACACATTTCTGTATCTTGAATATAGACGTCAGAATAACTGTTCCACCTTTGTTTTGGTTAATTTTCCACATGGAAACAACAACATATTTTTAGAAAAGGCGTATAAATTGCAAAAAAAGACCTTTTTGAAAACTTTATAGAAACTCTTGAAAAAAGTTTGAGTATGTTTGAGACTTCTGCTCCCAAAAAGTGATATGATCAGCCAACACTGATGAAAGCAGTAGCTGTTTTTACAGGACCATAGTGTGTGCAAAACGGGATTTGCCACGGCTCCCTGGGGAGGATAAAGGTCGTTTATAAGATCAGACCGTGGCGGTAATGTGGCGCAATCATGGCAATTTTATAAAAGATTAGATGATGGCGGCATAAAGGGGGTTTGGGGGCGGTCTCTGCGCTGCCGCAGACTTCCGTTTATCTTGGACATAACTTGCTTTTTATTGCGATTGAAGCCATGATCGTTACTTTTTTAAACAAGCAGCTCCTAAAGGTGTCTGTCCCCATCGGTCCCTGTGCAGTCTCTGGTGATCTGAGCTTCAGCTCAGAGAGGCTCATGGAGCGCTGTGGCGCTCCAGTTTGCCATCTCAGCTGATTTTGTTCAAAAAGTAAAACAGTAAACCTTATTGCCGGTGTTTACTTTCATTTTCAATAAATTTGCCAGCCGGAGCTCAGCAATAACTCTCCGCATCATCATGACATCTACCTCTGTTGCGTATTACTGCAATATTACTACCAAGCGACGTGGAACGATTGCTGCAAAATTCGTGAAACGCCATGCCGGCATGACGCGTTTATAGACATACCGTTGCGGTAATATTACGCCAATTTGCCTGCATAGTGTGTCTTGTAAAAAGGGCTAGTGAGATATTTAACACTAAACATCATTTTTATTTCTATAGATGTTTTCTTCTGAAAGCTGTCATTGTTGGGACGAAGGCAGAATTGGAGACCATCAATCTAACCAGACCCAAAAGCATCAGGTGCAAGTACACAACTTCATCTGGTAAAAAACGTTCATAGACAAGCAGTAATACTCTTAATATTACGCTGCCAGTTCTCCCTTTGGGTCAAAGTTAAACCCTTTCATGTGTGAAACATCAATAAGTTAAGACTCCACAAGTTTATTTCAAATGATGAGAATGTGATAGCATTGATCCCACAAGAGGAACATGCCATAGTTAGAAACAAGGACAAGGATTTTGAGTTAGCCTGCAAGCCGTCCTATACATGAATACATAGTCTGGCCACAACTCATAGACAGATGTCAGTCGCGAGACAGAATCTTGTCTTTCAAACTGTTTCCTCATGCTATTGGACGATGAACAAGTGATGTATACATCATTACGGATGTCAGTCAATAGGGCAGTCTACCATACGCTGGCCAAGAAGATGGTCTCTATGTGTGATTCGGTAGGTTACATAACATGCTTTGTCTTCTCTGGAAAGCAAATCCTCCAAAAATGGTACAAAGAAGAGTAGGGTTGGGCATCATTTGAATATTAACAATTCTGGATCTGATTCAAATTCCTTGCTTCAAATTAGGTTCCTAGAAACTCTCAATTCAGATTCTTTCAAGGCAGGTCAAAAAATGACATGTTTTAAAAGAGTCCGCGAACCACAAGTCTTAAAGAAATAGTGTGAACGTCTCCTTTAATTAGTGAAGCCACTAGGGATGGTCCAATCGGGTTCTCTGGTGCCGATCACCAATCATATAGGCCACATGATCTGGGAAAATAGAAAAAATAGCATTGCCTTAATTTAGGCAGAAACATGCTTTTACTTTAAGAGAAAATCAAAAAGACTTGCAGCACAATCAGTGTGTTTGTTTCTGACCACAACTGCTAAGCCTCCTACTCATGACCCAAGTTTTAGAACTGAAGAAGCCTCTTGGATGAGAAGCAAAATGTCTTAAAGTTAACCACAAAAGTCCAGTTGTCTTAAATGAAAACACTTAAGATGATCATGTCCCGGATGACTGAGAATCTACACCAACACGTTGCAGCGCAAAGCAGCAACGATTCAGTCAGAAGGAAAACTGAAACAAATAAAAGTAGCTACTCTCAGTGCATTTACAAGCACATCTAAGTCAGTCTAGGTCCGTCTATGGCAATAAGCTATCCTAGTTTACATGTACATTAGAAAAACAAACTCAAATGAATTTCGTTCCACTCCAGTATGATAGGTGGTGACATGCACCCTCTCACATTGGTAATCTTCCGGTTAGCCTATAGCAGCACAAATAGTAAACAAAGGCTGGCGGGACTGAAGCAGATGGAGTAAGATAAGCACAATGGCCGAAGGAAGGGACAACAACAACGCTGCGGCACAGCTTATTTAGTACATACTGTACTGTTTGATGGTGTTACACCCGTTACATTGAACGAAATGTTGAAGAAGAAACAATTTTTCTGTAGCACCTCTCAAGATAAAAATCATGAGACGCTTCACAAGAACAAAACAGATTAAGAAAATATCGTAATAAAACAAATAAAACAGGGGGAACATTTGAAATAAAAATATGAGAAGAAATGAAGAAAATTAACAAGAAAAGGTAATACAGGATCCCGGGAAAGACAGAATTAGTAAAAACAGCATGAAGAGAAGGTAGTGATGAAGAATCAGCAGAAGGTCACACCAAAGCCTGAAGAGATGAGTCTTCAGCTGCTTTTTAAAGGAAACCACTGAGTCCACTGATCTCAGGCTCAGGGGGAGAGAGTTCCAGAGTCTGGGGGCCACAGCAGCAAATGATCTTTGGTCTTTAGCCTGGTGCTGCACAACCAGTAGGCTTTGATCACTGGACCTCAGGGATCTGCTGGGGGTGTAGGGACTGAGAAGATCACCAATGTAAGATGGTGCTTGTCCATGTAAGGCCATAAAGAGCAGTGGTCTTATTTATCAAACATTGTGTAGAATCCTTACTAAAACCGTACTTAAGCTCAGCAAAAAATATATATACGTACTCCAAGTAGGTTTGTGACCTATCAAACATGGAGTACGCACAGCTGCACGCAATCTCCGCTTCATAAGTCAGAGACTAACAAGAATGTTTCTCAGCTGCATTTTAGTCACATCCCGCCCTCACCACGCCCACTTACTGCCATAAATAGTCAATGCAAAGTGCCTTGTGGATCTCATGCATATACATAAGCCGGCTGTTGCAGCGATCCTCCAATGATGATGGCGACCGTAGATCAAGGCAGATCAAGGAAGCACAATTTTACAGAAGCAGAAATTGAGGTACCTGTGGGTGAGGTGGAGAAATGAAAGGAAGTGCTTTTGCAAAACAAGTAAGAGAAAATCCACGGAGTGGCACAGCGTTGCTGAAGCCGTCAATGTTTGTGAATTCTTCAGAGAGATCTGTGGCGGATATAAAAAAATGGTCCAATCAGGATTCAAACCCCAGACTCCCAGGTGAAAGTCACGCACACTAACCAGTCAGCCAAATGAAGATCTCCCTTGTCCAAGTAGTCAGGGCACATGATCAATCGGGTCACAGTGACAGGACACACACTGTCACAGACGCATGACATTCTGTCTCAATCTGTCCCCCTGCTGATATTCTGCATTCCGTATGCTGCGCTTCAGGCTGTGTGTGTGTGTGTGTGTGTGTGTGTGTGTGGGGGGGGTCTTGTTCTATGTGACACGAAGCAGTACATGTGATAATGCTGCAGGATTTCATAATTGTATCCTTCTCAGCAGCAGCACTGCAGGTGCTCTCCATATCCAACATGTGAGTAAGCCAGGTCCTTAGTCAACTTAAAGTTGCGCACATTTTTCCGCTAAGTTTTCTTTCATAAATCCCAAAGTTTGTTTGGAAAGATGCTTATGCAGTTTTCCGACCCCGTTTTGTGCGTAAGCAAGCTTGATAAATGAGGCCCCTGAACCAGGATCTTGAAATGAACCCTGAAGTTGACCGGCAGCCAATGAAGCTGGAGGAGAAGCGGGGTGATGTGGGTGTGTTTGGAGGACTTGGTCAGAAGCCGAGCACAGGCATTCGGAACCACCTGTAGACGGTTCAGGGAAGTTTTTTTTTTCCAGACAAGTGAAAAGAGACTTGCAGTAGTCTAAGCGTGAGACAGAATGGGACTCAGCTTAACAATGTTCCTGAGATGGAAGAAGGAAGAGCGAACAAGTGAACTGACATGAGAATCCAGGGTGAGAGCTGGGTCAAAGGTCACACCAAGATTCCTGACAGAGGGTTTGGTGTGAGAAGAAAGCTGATCAAGAGAGTCTCTGACTTTGGGAACCAGCTTGTCTGGAGCACAGATGAGGATCTCGGTCTGTAACGTGTTGCTGTTTATTTCTTCATTTATTTTTCATTTGTAAGAAAGTGGGTTGAAAAGGAAGGTTGTTTTGTGTTTCCTGTACATGGACTTTTATTTTGAAAGGCTACATTTGAGCTGCTCTGCCAGCCACATCTTTAACGATGGATGCAAACCAGGTGTGTGAAGAACACACAACCTGGATGAAATGCTGGCAAGCAGACAGCTGAGAATGGACTGAAAACATTCAATCTATTGCTAAAGAACTAATAAAAGGACTGAAGACGTAAGACGTTGCTGCTTTGCACTGCAACGTGTTGGTGTAGATTCTCAGTCATCCTGGACATGATCATCTTAAGTGTTTTCATTTGACAACTGGCCTTTTGTGGTTATCTTAAGACATTTATTTGTCTTTTTTTTTGTTTGCACATTATTGAATTTGTTCTAACTGTAAAATTCTGTATATTCAGTTTCACGGTTTAAAGGAGGTCTAACAAAGAAGGACAGAAGAGGTCAGCAAAGGAAAGACATTCATTAAACCCGCTAAAGAAATCACTTGTGTCTGTGTTGCTCGGAGGGAGTCATACGGTCTTATCTTCATTCAGCTGTAGAAAGTTCCCCGCCATCCAGGTTAGTGCAGTCTCAGCAGGTGTGTAACAGCTGCAGCTTAGACATCTCATGGGGTTTAAAGGAGCTGTACAGTTTGATGTCATCAGTATAAAGATGGTAGGAGATTCCTTTAAAAGAGCTCAGGATGTACTGAATAGGAAGCAGATAGAGGAGGAAGAGTACAGGCCCCATCCTGGCCATGTCGACCCAACAGACTGCTCTATCCCACTACACACTCCTCTTGTCCTTGTCAGGCACATAGCTGATCTCCAGCAGGGATGAATTTAGGGCTGGCTATTAGGGCTCAAGCCTCGGATGTTTTCTGAAAAGCCCCGAATCTAATTTTGACTTTTGATGAGTAAAAAAAAAAAAAAAATTGCTTAGAAATAGCATGCAGTACCAAATTCCACCAGAGAGGGATGTGTAGTGTAGCCTGCTGGAGTCTGCCCAGAAGAAGCGCTTAAGCAGGCTGCATGCTTTGCTAGAGAGGGCTCGGGACGCTGAAACTTGGATGTTAGGAAGGATTTGTTTTGTTTTTTGGACTAAAAGAACCACAACAGATTGAAAGCAAAAGCTGGGATGATTCAGGTTTGTGCTTCTTATTTAAAACATGTCAGTAAAGTTGTTCTGGGAAGAAAATGAATGATAGCAGAATTATGTTATGTTGGAGGTCTTATGGGAATAATCCACACAAGCTGGGATAATTATCATAAAAATGAAATGAATGAACAACAGAGGAGCTGAGGCTCTCTGGATTTCTGAAAAGTGTAAAAAGAGTAAAGTTGAAGGTAGTACAAGAAATAAATCCAATAAAATGTATACGTTATTTAATTTTGTAAATTTAATTCATCAATTAAATTTGTTCTCAAGTTTTTTATACCCTCCCATTAAAGGAAAAAGAACAGCTGTCACTGACAGATGTTTATGTTGACAAAAGTAATAGTAGATATAAAATCATGACATGGCTTTCAAACTGTAGTTCAGCAGAAATATAAAAAAAAACAACCATGATCCATAAACTAATATTATTTTATACACTTGTAGGAGACCACTGCAGCCAAAGGATTTCTGAGACTCAGACGTCTGCACCTGTTGACAGTTTTAACCCTCAGCTCATTAGTGAAGACTGTTTTATTTAATTATTTTTTTAACAATTCAAAAGCAAAGTTTTATTTCAAGGCTCAAGAACAGTTACTTTCCCCAAGGGATCACCACCGAACGCACGCACCAAAAACTTTATATACAAAAACCTAGTTGTAATTATTTAACTTTCAGATGCCTGCAGTGTTTATGGTGCTTTTGTTTATCCTGTGATACTTTATTTTTGTACTTAATAGTAAATATTAGGACCAGGACCATTGCTGTTTCATTGTGCTGGCAGCACTTTCTGTGAATGAACGATGGCAGTAGAGCTTTCTAATTCTATTTTGCTTTATTATAATTTAGGTATTTTCTATTTGCTATACTTAGTTTCTAATTATTTCGTTGACTACATTAATGGAAGCATATAAATTAATGAGGATCATCACGCAAACATGGCTCAAATCTTAATGTAAAGTTCCAGAGAGGATTTGTTTTGGCTCCCAGTGACGAGCCGGCTACCGTCGTTCATTTCACAGTTTTGCTTCACAGACCGACACATCACTACCAGTAGCTCTCTACCCGCTATGCCGTTGAAACTTCATCGTACTCCTTTGGTCCCCTCCGCGACAAACACAAAGTTGATCTGTCTCCTGCAGCTCCTTGGTACATCTCTGCTTCACAGATGCATCACACCCTTCTCCACCAAGTCAGGATTTGACTTCTGGTTAACCAGCTATTAACCGTTAAGGGGTGTCAGTAGTTGGTTAAAGACTTGTTGGTAAACGTGCATCCCTAACAGTTAGCTTCTACTAGCCGAGATTCTCTGCTGTTTCCTGGATGCTAAACCAAAAACAGCCTTCAGGGTGGGTGAGTGTTAATTCATAGGGTGACGTAGATCTGTCAGGATTTTCTAATCCTAGAGTTTCACTGTCTTTATTCTATCAGAAGCTGATGCAGGAGACAGGGTAGGATAGAGAAAATTCAGTTTGGGGTTTCAATAAAGCATCACTTAAGATAAAATGTATATGTAAACACAGACTTAATGATTGTATCAGTGAAGCTCAACAATTTAAGAAGTCTATTTTAGAAAATATTGCAATAATCAAGTGTCAGAATATTGTAATAGTTGCAAATTCAAAAATACCTGAAAAGCATTTTTAAAATCTGAGTGTTATTTTATAAAAGATTATATACCCTTTTGTTGTTTAACATGTGAAAACTCAGCAGCTGACCTCTTGTTTTTTGTGTTTCACCCTGAAGCTCAAACTAGAATTTGTCATGATAGTAACAATAAACTGTCATAGCTGTGGGGAGTTTCCTGACCCAAGACACGCAGAATCACACTAGGAGACGTAGGTAAGCAGAAAATAAAGTTTTATTTATTCCTGGATGATCTTAAGGAAACTAAGGTGCACCGCCAGACGTGGCGGTGATACTGAGCACAGCTCCGGGGCTGGTTCTGTTGAGACAAATGCTGGTCAGGGTTTTGGACAGAGTGGGAAAGAACTAGGAGGACTCCGTTTCTCAGGATCTTACTGTGGAGCTGAAATCCAATAGCTTGGGAGGGTAGGCAGGACTGGGGTGAGCAACGTCTGTGGTGATCCGAAATCCAAGGGAGGTGAGCGGTGGGAGAGCGGGCCGGTCCAGGTGTGGAGGGAGATCCGGTTCGGAGGTGAAATCCAAGGTTATGGCAGAAGTGGTCAGAGGTGAGAGTTCCTGGTGGGACAAGGCGGAGTACATTCAAAACTGCTAGTAAGCACAAAAAACAAAGACTAAAGCTTTAGTAAGTTCTATAATGGCACAGCTACCCAAAGTGAGTAATCTTCCGGCGAGGTGAAGTGATCTCCAGCTCCTTATAAAGGCTGGCAGGTGATGGGAAAAGGCACAGCAGCTGGCCGCGCTCCGGAACCGCCCACCTGCAACGACTTGAGGCTGATTAACAGAAATGTGCAGACTCACCCCAGATCCTGACAAAAACTTGTGTTGTTGCATTTTCACAGATAAAATGCAAAATGACCAGAAACACAGGACAGCATCACACAATCCTGGACCTCAAAAACTTTGTCAACACAAAATTCCTGGTCCACCATTGTTCTGTTTATCCGCATTGTTTATCTACATATTGTTGAAGAAGCAAAGAAAAAGGCATACAAAACAGAAATGTATTTGCAAAAAGGGAATGTTTGGGAAACCTTTCCAGGACTTAAGTTTTGACACATATGCATCTATGAACTTGTGAGTTTGATAAAATGATCTCATTAATGTTAACAAAAGCCCAGCATGCTCTTATCAGAGCTTGCTGAGACAGCCACTAAGGTCTGACCAGTGCTTCTCTAAAAGCCCGCTCTGAACTGGTCTTCTTACATTTTTATCTGTGAAAATGCAGCAAAACACTCTGAGAACCTCCATTAGAGTCCAGCTTTTTGTGTGAAAGAATGTGCGACTCAAGGAGTGATGCACCACCATTAAAAGGGTGAGGTAGACACAGCTAGCGAGTGCAACGGAGAGGTCCTCCTGGTAAGAAAACAAAACTCTAAACCATTTTTCTTCTAAAGAAAAGGAGAATTTAATCAGTTTTAATAGAACTCACATTGAAAGATGTATTAATTGTGGAGGGAAAGTCTTTCAGGGTTTCACTGCTTTGTTTTGCAGTCGTGAGAACGGACATCTGACTTCTGCAATCATGATCAAACTGGTAAAAATTCTCATTTATTTTCTTTGGTCAAACGAAAAAATTCTAGAAAATTCAGAACTTTACACATCTCAACCTGATCATTTGAACCGTTTTAACAACTAAACTTTGGTTTACAGATGAGTCTTATTGTTGTTGCATTTTTGCTGCTTGGTGAGTTCATTTTCAGACAATTTTCAGTTTTAAAAGTGTTTCCCACCACACAAAACCACTAACTGGTGTTAATCTGCTCCTAATTTCAGCTGTGAAACCAAGTAAAGGACATTTATACATTTACTTACATTTTGTAACGATGTGTAGTGTCGTCCCTGTGTTGACATGTCTTTGTGTCTCTAACAGTTCCAGTACAGCCTTTATTCTGCTGGACCAGTTGGTATGATCGGAGTGATCCCACTGGTATGGGGGACTGGGAAGATCTTCCTGACCTGAGGAGGGAAAATCCAGGAGAAATTTGTCCCAGACCTTATGCTATTCAGGCTGTCACTGTTGATGGGAACATCCCAGCCACAAGCACGGGACAGCAATTCTATGCGTAAGTCACCTTTAAACATTAATCTAAATAAATGTTCTTGAACAGAAGCGAATGCAGAAGATAGGTGTAGGAGACTATCCTCATGTTCGGCCAGCAAGAAAAACTCAGAGTAACAGATTCTAATCAGAAATAATAAATAATGTTTTTCCAGTGACCCACACCTTTAAACAAGATATATTTTTTAAACATTCAGTGCATCATAATAAAACTTGCTTTCATTTTCTTGCTCTAACTTATCTTTTCAGCTACAACACCAAAATGGGCTTCATTTGTCGCAATGAGGATCAGAATCCCGGTCCGTGCTTGGACTACAAGGTTCGCTTCAGATGTCCGTGCTTTTCTCCACCTGAATGTAACCCAGAGTGCCCGTAACCCGAGAGAAAAATAATGATGTGATTTTTGCAGATTTTTAAAGATCGGTTATTTTTTCAGACTGAAACAAGTTTTTGTCACTTGTTACTGGGGCCTTTTATAGTGATTATGCTGAAGGTGGTCTCTTCGGTCAACTTTGGAGAAATTAATTACAAATAATAAAAATTGTCAGTGAAAGCTAACAGTTTTGGTCTTTTTTCCTGTGTAAGCCATCTATCATGAGGCATGCCACCAAAATGCGGCACAGTAACAAATTAAAACTGATCAAATCAACAACGGCAAGACATCTATTGATGTATCATTTAATGAAATAAATGCAGACACAGATGAATGAATCAAAACGCTGTTACAATACAGGGAGTCTGACTCAAGGGCTCTAGATGTGGATTTTAATGTTTTCAAGGAAATGAACTCAGTTTATTTAGTCTTCTTGCAACCTGTTTCACGAAGAAGGAGCAGAGTGAAGGAAAACCCTTTTCCCAGTTCCGTGAGGGCAACGGGAGCACAGAGCAACAACTGAATCATTTGCATAAAACTGTAAAACACTTCTCCATGAGTTTACACCACAGATGGAGCTTTTAGCTCAGGGGTGTGAAGTGTCAAAAGGGACACGGTCATGAAAACATTAAAGCAGACAATAAACAACTCCGATTCATGCTGAAGAGTTCTACATAAAAAGGTCAGTATTGTTTTATATTTAAGCAGAACTTCACTTTCCTTTCCATCTGCTGAGATCCACGTGGCAAGTCAGATTCAAAAACCAGAGGATTCAGAGTCTTTAAAGAGAACTTTATTAAAGTTACTTTCAGCCTGAGAGGAACTCTCATATGAACTTGATCTGCAGAACACAAAATAAATAAGCAAGAATGAGAAAATATAAGGAGACAAAGATTACAATTTATTTTTCTATTTTGCAGTTCAATTCAGTTTATTTAAATAGCGCCAAATCAGGACAAGAGTCGTCTCAAGGCACTTCACACAGTAAACATTCGTATACAGGTAAGTTAATTAAGCCAGAAAAACGTTTCCTATATAATGAACCCAGCAATCCTCATACTAAGCAAGCATGCAGCGACAGTGGAGAGGAAAACTCCCTTTTAACAGGAAGAAACCTCCAGAGAATCCTGGCTCAGTATCAGCAGCCATCCTCCACGACTCACTGGGGATCGAGAAGAACACACACACACAAACACACACGTAGTGTTTCTATGATTACATTGTGATTTCTTAGTAACTATTCTATTTGGTGAGAGATAAACTTTATTGTATTTATTCTAGTGAATCTATAATTAAACGGGTAAACTAGTAGTAGCACATTCAATGTCAAGGAAAGTAAAGTGTTATTATCAGGAGAGGGAGAATGTTTAAGTGGTTAGCAGCAGTGTGCTAGTCGATAGCCCCCTCCATGAGGCCACCACAGCTCAGCAGAACATCATTGTAGCTTCTTCTGGGCAGAAAAACACTTAAGAGTACAAATTGAGTTAACAGCTGAAAAAACAGGAAATAATACAGTTAAAGAGCAAATTGTAGAAGAACGTAGTCGAGTGTGGAAAGTGGTCAGTATGTCCTCCAGCAGTCTAAGTCTATAGCAGCATAACTACAGAGATAACTTTGGATAGGTAGGACAGGGAGCTCAAGGGGGAGTCGTCTTTACCGACTGTACACTCCACCTCCCTCTACTTCCCCACTTGTCCTGATTTAGGCTAACATCAGATTTTAACCATAGGCCCTATAAAATAAAAATGTTTTAAGCCTAGTCTTAAAAGTAGACAAGGTGTCTGCCTCATGGACTAAAGCTGGGAGCTGGTTTCACAGGAAAGGAGCCTGATAACTAAAAGATCTGCCTCCCATCCTAATTTGAGATATTCTGGGAACCACCAGTAAACCTGCAGTCTGAGAGTGAAGTGCTCGGTTAGGAACGTATGAACAATCAGGTCACTGATGTAAAATTGAGCTTGATTAAGAGTAGGGCTGGGCGATATGACGATTTTAGACCATTTTACGATCTACACATCTGACGGTCTGTCATTTTTGAGAGACCGTTTTATCACGATTCACAGCTCTGCTGTTGAATTTCTGCCTCTGAATGAAAATGGAACTTACCCCAGGCGAATGACACGCCTTTGTTTGACTCTTAACCAATCAGAGTGAGTCATAGTAATATATTAGTGCCCCGCTTGTTTTCACTTGTGTGTGAACAAACATGGCTTCGCCGCGGCTGAGCGACAACGAGGTTTTCGTTTCGAAGAGGAACGCAGGGTTTCCTTAGCGTGCGGCGCTAACAACTTAGTGATGTGACATGTCTCGGAGAAAGCGTAAAAACACGTTGGACGCTTCTTCTGAAGCAGGAAAATAACACCGCTTCTTAAGCAGAGCACGACGCCGCCTCGGCTCGTTCACCCTCTGCCGAGCCGGACTGAGCTCGGTCACTGGGTCGTTGGAGCTGCCCCGTGACTGCCTGATGGAAAACCAGCGGGTTTCATCAGACTCGTAGTTTCTTGTTTTTGCTGGGACCCCTGTATTTTACCGCTCCCTCCTGCAGTCTCCCCCTATTACAATTTAAAATGATTCTGTAAATCCGTGCATCAATAGAAACAATCTCTGCCTCTGCCAGCTGCAGTAAATGTAGTTTCCAAATAATAAGAGGTGCATTCATCCGTGTATCTCCTTTGATCCGCATTAGTGATATTTTCAGCACCAGAACAGTGAAGCAAAGAAAGAATCCTGAGTTTGTTAGTAATTTTATTTATTAGGTGCATCTAACCTGTGCTATTTTTCTCTGAAATGAGATCAAATCAGTGCTTCTATGGGTTGTCTCCACTCTGCACTAGAACATTTTACTTTAGAGACTTGTTGCAGAAAATATTCAGAATGCGCAGTTGTTTGCTACCACAAGCGATCTCTGGTCCAGCCGCACATCAGAGCCGTATTTGAGCTTAACTATCCACTACATGAGCAACTGGGAGCTACATAGTATTTTGAACAAGTTAATGTTTGCACAATACGTTTACAATTGACATGTTTGCACTTTAAATATGTTTACGATTTTAATTTATGTTAAGTTACTTGAAAAATGAGAAAAACTGATTTTTGTAACTGTTTCTCTCAGGGCTTTTATCATCTCTGGTGTGAGTTTAAAATATAAGTGTGTTAGCACTGTGCTGATTTTCCCTAATATGAATAAATGTTTATTTATTCAATGTTTCTCTTCTTTAATACGCAATTGAAGTTATGCTATTCATGGATAAAAAATCGTGATAAAATCGAAATCGTGATAAAATATTGGAAAAATCGTGATATTCTATTTTTGCCATATCGCCCAGCCCTAATTAAGAGCTTTATATGTGAGAAGAAGGATCTTAAAATCTATTCTGAATTTAACAGGTAGCCAATGTAGGGAAGCTAAGACAAGAGAGATATGATCTCTCTTTTTAATTCTCATCAGAACTCCAGCTGCAGCATTTTGGACAAGCTGAAGACTTTTAACTACAGCTTTTTGACAGCTTTGGCCTGGCTACTTCTCTAGACTTAAGATGTAGACTCTCTCTGTTATCAGACCTGATCAAGTCTTATATCTGTGCAGCTCAGTATTTTTCTGCTCACTGCTGCCGAGTGTTAGAACAGATTTATTGTTACAACATCCAAAGGAATCCAAAGTGTAAACAAGACAAGTCTGGAAACAGAAATGGGAAAAGAGGATAAAAGGTACATTTTCTCTTGTGAATAATCTCTTCTGTTAATTTTAAACATGCTGTTGTTAAAGTTTATTTCTTTGACTCAGTCAGTTTTCTTTTGGACCCATTTAAGTCTTCATGATTCAGGCAAAGAGACATGCCCTCTGCTGATGATGGATGTGGACGAGGGGGCTGAAGACAAATGAAGCTGTTTACGCCCATCGGCTGCTGATGGTGTGTTTTCAGGTTTCTGAAATCGCTGCTGGATGAGTCTGAGGTGGACAAAAGCAGACAAAGTGAGCAGATGTGTGCACATGTGTGCCTGCCAGCAGCAGCTGGAGAGAAAACCACAAGTCGCTCATTTTGATGAACAGTGTGAAAACGAGAGGAAATGTCTCAGACACAAACATTCAGACGATGTTCACTTTCAAAAATCTGGCACCCAGCCCTGAAGAGGCGAGCTTGCCCAAAGGTGAACTCCAGATTTCAGAGGATGATGATGTGAGGAATGCTCTTTAGGGAGGTTGAACTAGCTTTGGTTCAATTAGAACGCTGTTTTTCAGAGGAGAGAACATTTACTCTGAACCCTTACCTGTAGAACAGGAGAGGTCCTGAGAGGCAGGGTCAGAAACTTGTTCTTCTCACCCATCTCTGCAGGGTCCTCTATCAGTTTGTCATGCCTCCTCCTGCAGGATGCAGAATGTGTTTTAGAGGGAAATATGCTTGCACGATCACAAAGATGCATTTTATCAAAACAGGCTTCAAAACGTTGCGATTAGCTCCTAAAACTAAACAGATCTTTGCTCCATGACAGTTTTCCACAGTAGTTTTGTACTTATGGTTTCATTTGATTTTATCCAGAACCTTCACTCTTTTGCATCTGTGTTGCAGCTTGACTAAATGTATGGACACACATTAAAACGGCTTGATTATATAAATAAAACCTGTCATCGTTATTTTAAAACATATAGGACTCATCTCGCCAAAATCAGCTCCGTTACCTGCCTACAGATGAATGATGTTGTATAAATACACACAATTGAAGGGAACAAGTGTGGAAGTGCGAGTATTGGGTAAGGGCCGATGTCAGCTGGAGGAGAAAGTGGGTTCAGATGTCAGGATTTGGAGACTTCTTCCCTGATATTTGGATATTTTCCTCTAATTGCATAACAGCAATGCAACCACTGACTCTACTTTGCAATATTAATGTTTCATCTCCTGCAGAGTTCTGCTATGTGGTGGAGTTGCTATTGCTTTATTTTATTTTTTCAACCGTGTCCTGTCTGGCTGTGAAGCGAGCAGAATTGATGTCTGAATGCTGGTGACAAGCCTTACAGATTTATTCTCAGGTGGAGCATCAAAGCGTCTGCTTTTAATGTCACGCCTGATGCGTAGGAGACGGGGGGAGCTCCAAGTCCCAGAGATCCAGGCACTGCCCCAGAACACAGGAACCCCAAGGGCACTGCAACCAGAAAGGCCCCCCGCCTCCCTCGAGAGGCGCAGTGGATTGCCCCGGGGGGCCACAACCAGCAGCCAGCAGAGTCCGGGGAGATATCAGCGGCAAGCCCACAGGCCCGCCCGCCGCCTCCCACCCCCTAGCCGGCCGAGCCCGGGACCCAGCGACCCGGGACCCAGGGGCGATTACCCCCGCCGGGGACCCAGCAGAGCCCAGGGACCCAGACCCCACCAGGCAGCCACCGGGATTGATCAGGCAGATGCCAAAAATCTTAAACCCCCTGACCCGGGAGCCACGAACACTCAGGCAGACCAAGGCACCACACCCCACGTGGCAGGGGGAGGGGAGACGAAGATCTATATCATCAAAGGAGGTCCCAGGAGAGGGGAGGAGTCAAAGGCCCCACCTGACATATACAGTCATACACAAACACAGTCACACACTCCCTCCCTCATGCTCACACATACACACCCTATTAACTCTGGTCCCGGTACTGCTGCACATGGGGTACAACCATCACCGGTTACCAGAGTTTGACCCTTTTTGCTGGGGTGCTGATGAGCAGGCTCCCCCGCCCAACGCTGAGCACAGCAAACCACCACCCCAGACCCCAACCAGACAGCCAGATCTCCCTCCTAGTCTCCAGCCCCAGGAAGCCAAGCGACAACAGAGGTGTGCTAAGACCCCTAGTCTCCCTTCGCCTGCTCCATTATAGTGTTGTGTGTTGATGAGGTGTATTCCATGGCTGTGGTGAGCGGGCAGTGCAGGCATTGTCTGGCCTGTGCCAGCGGATGCCACCGCACCACCCCACTTGCACCCACAGCACTCGGTGTCTAAGTGCAGTTTAAAACCTCTGCGCTCCTCTGGCAGGCATCTCCTGGTCATCCCTAAAGTCAGGACACACACTCACGGCGAGGCGTCCTTCCAGTATTACGGCCCTCGCCTCTGGAACGAGCTGCCAGAGGACCTCAGGGCCGCAGAGAACGTTCATGTTTTTAAGTCCAGGCTCAAGACCCACCTATTTAGGTTAGCTTTTATCTAAATATTTACTATAGTTTATTTCTCATTTTACATGATTATATTTTATTGCTTGCTTTGCATGTTTTATATGATTATATTTTAGCATTGTTTCATTATTTAATATTATTTTACTGTCTATATGATTTTATTTATTACTTATTTTCTTACTTTAGTCATTTATATTAGCTCGTTTATTTTCATATTTTTACTCATTTTAATCCAGTGTTTTCTTTGTGGGGGCCCTCTGTCCCGGGGGCGGTGGTCGACTGTTGCTTCCTGGGCGCTCTATAGGTGGCGTTTTATGGGCCATTCCCATCTGTACCGGGTCGGCCCGGGCCGGGTAGCGTAGGTTGTTTACATATCTGGGTGGCCTGGTATTTTTCCGGGCCAACCAAGGCTCATTCTCAGCCCTCTTCTCGAGGGGGTCTGCTTCAGGCCGACCAGGGCCAACACACTCACTGCTGACAGCAAATTCACACCTTCCATTAGAGCAAGCCTCTGATTGGTGGGTAGAATCAGCCCACATGGGCTTAAGGCAAGGATGTGTGGAATCAACCGGGCCAGGCTGGGGCCGACCGGGGCTACCCGGCCCGGGCCGACCCGGTACAGATGGGAATGGCCCATAAGTGGAGGTGGGGGTCTATGCTCCCCCTCCTCTGAGTGCCCTGACTTAGTGTGGAAGAACTGATGCTGCTGGGGCAGACGGCTCTTCTGATGGCGTTTCCTTGCTTGGCCTCATTACCTTACTTGGCTCATCTGGACTCAGCGGAATATATTTTTTTTTACTCGTGTGTGTGTGTGTGTGTGTGTGTGTGTGTGTGTGTGTGTGTGTGTGTGTGTGTGTGTGTGTGTGTGTGTGTGTGTGTGTGTGTGTGTGTGTGTGTGTGTGTGTGTGTGTGTGTGTGTGTGTGTGTGTGTGTGTGTGTGTGTCTGTTAATGTTTTTAAACTGTCATGGGAATTTGGGGCCATTTTGTAAAGCACTTCGAGTAGCACTTTGTTTGAAAACCGCTTTATAAATAAAATCTGATTGATTGATTGATAGAGACAGAATTGGGTTTGTTTTGTGCCACGAGCCGCTTCTTGGAAACAAACATTTACACAGTTAGTATAGGGCTAGACAGGAAATCACATATGAGTTCCAGTTAAAAACCCCTGGTGATTTTCAAAATAAGACTATTGCAGCAATGCAATTTCATGTCTATGTAGAATACGTAGCTACAAGTGACATAATGGCATATTTACTCCCAGCATCATTCCAGAAGTGCAGCTGTGTGTTTTTAATGGCTTTATTCCTGGCAGTGGAGAGCAACAACTTCATTTATTACATCAAACAGTAATTTTAAAAAATGGGGTTTCCTTCTTTTTGGTTTAATGGCGGGCGGCATAAACTCGAGGGATTTTGTGATCTTGTGAGTCCAGCGAGGAGCACAGCAGAAAGGCCACTCCGTGACTGAGATACTCCCAGTGTCTACTGGACGTCAGCGAAAGTGGTGAGTAAACCCTTCTGCTGCTGTCCTGCTCCGCTGATGCTTCCAGTGTGAAGTAGTGGTTATTCAATCAGAGACAAAATGTCAAAATATCAGAAAATAGGAGTCTAAATCCTGTCATCTAAAGCCACTTCCCATGGTGCACCAGTGCTTTGTTTCCCCAGAGAACGACTTACAAAGCATTCATTCCTACGCAAGACCACTGCAAATGCATTGATGAAATGAGAGTTGGACACATTTAACTAAATAAGTAAACGCAGCTCTTTTTCCTTGCCTATGGTAAGTAGCTGGTCCAGTGATGCTCCAAGTCTCTAGTTGTCCGAAACAACCCACATGATCCCCATCCCGAGTCCAGAGTCCAGCTGAACCATCTGCAGATGCTGTGAGGAGGAACTCTCGGTCAGCGACATGGAGGACTTCCACACACACCAGTGGCCTTGAGTGAGCGCTCCAACGCTGCAGGAGTGGAGGCTGCTCACACGCTGACTGCACAGAAAGACATCAGTCTCTTTTGGGACTTAGACACATTTATGTCTTCTACAGTAAATCACCTGAGACTGGATGTCCACAGCGTATGAAGAAATGTCCCAGATCTGAAGGCAGCCCTTTGTATCGCCCGAGACCAGGATGCTGTTTTTAATCTGATCCGAGCTCATGATGAGCACACGTTCACCTGGCTGCTCCGGAGCATAAAAACAACCTGGGGTGAGAGTGAAATGTTAAAAGAAATTCATGCACACCTGTATGAGCCTGCACATGTGCACACAGCTGCACCAGCTCATCTGGAGAATCACAAACACACCCATGCAGTCTCCTACACACAAGCAGCATATGCAGCGGTCAAAGTATTTGAATCCCACACCACTAAACACAGATGGGCTCTGGAAACAGACATAGTTGTGGGCTGGCAGAAATGGGAGCGGCGGGAGGCCAAGTCGACAGCTCAGTCTGAGAGCTGGCGCTTACGCTGTACGCTAATTCATCTCAGAGGAGGAAGGTCGTCTCGACTGACAGCCAATTCTCCAACAGTTCTACAGTAGGAGCTTTGGCTCGGACTGATCTGGCTGCATGATCTCTGACGAAGCCGTGGTCCCTGTTCCTCTCACCGTGTTTCACTCCGGTGACGCTCCAGAAACACAGATAACCAGCCTGAGATGAAACCAGGACACCCCTGTCCCTTAACGTTATGGATTCAGGTCGATGCTGAAGGAACACGAGGCTGTCCACAGGAAGGGCCGCTCTGGAAACACAATCAAAGCATAAACTAATACTATAAATAGGATTTTACTCACAAAGAAGCCAGCCTTTCTGAACAAATCAGTGCCTCCAGGCTTCAGTTATGCTAAATTGTGCAATGTTTAGTTACCAGAATCAAACCAACATTGAAATCTGTTTCTCTGTGTAATAAAAGCACGCCCCACAGACCCCTAATTATAACATTACAGTGTATTGTTAGCTTTGTTGACACAATTTAGATTTCCTCCTGGGCTCTTGCACCATCACAAACTCATGCATTGTGAGAATCAAAATGGAAACTGGAAGAACATTTAAGGAGCACGAACTTCTTATAAACAAATGATCCATTTTGGTTTTGAACACCCTGATCAGACAAAACTTCTGCTGAGCAGAGCGGGGAAAGCCAAGTCACCATTTGGTGTTCCTAAAACATCTGCTTTCACCTCTGATTAATCATTTGTCCCAGGATCTCTGCGTATTCTGTTGTTTGGTCACTTTTTTAGAATTTCCCTTGTTTAGTTAGCATAAACATCATATTTTTGAGCACTCAGATAGTTTCTGTTTTTGCACTGAGCGCTTTCCCAAAACTGGCTGCATCAGATGCTACAAATGCCTTCTCCCCTCTGGAAAAAACGGTTTCTGCAGTCAACAAGCACCAGTTTTATTTACTTTCCTTTTGTTGATTACACAATGAAATACTGAAAATTCTGTCTGCCTTATTGACAATTCTGATTACTGCTTTAAGTGTCAGGCATGAAAGGATTCAATGCAAATGTTTTAATTAAGAATTACTTTCTGTGAATAAGAACAACAGGTCTGAAATAAGTTTTAAAGCAGAGGTTCACTGTGAAACCTACATTACTTGTTCTTTTTGAAATATGATAGGTCATACTGAGTTTTACATGCAGCCTACCCCTATTTCCTGTATTAACCCTTTGATGCATAATGGTCACTACAGTGGACAGGTACTCAAATTGTTATTTATTTATTTTTGCTATTAAGCACAGCTGTTGAAGACTTTATTGCATTTGAGCCCCTCCATTTGGACTTCAGTAAGCCAAGCCAACATATTTCATGCTCAGAATGCACGCTGTCCACTGAAATGGACATGTAATAAATTATGTGTAAAAAAATATGTAAATATGAAATTTGTTTCATTCACACCTAAAGGTGAATGAAAAAAATTGTTTAAAAAATCATGGTTGAAGATTTCATAATTCATGCATCAAAGGGTTAAGAAAATAGGCAAAAAAAACCTGTCAGGTCAGAAAAAGCCAGGCTCTATATCAGAGAGCGAGATTTACATTCATGGATTCACCCACCTCGGCTTGAGACTGTTGATTTACCACCCAGGAGAGAGCAGAGCGCGTCTCGGCTAGTAGAAGCTAACTCTTAGCATTAGCAACTCCACAACATGGCGGGACACATTCAGGCTTGAGTTATTTATAGAGATAACACATCAGCGTTACATTTTTTTTAACCCAAGACAGAAGAGCGAACGGAGGCAGCAGAAGGGTCCCATTGTTGTTGAGGTGTTTGCATATCATGAGTATGACTTAATCCCATCACTTCCTTACTCCTGACAAACTTTTACTTCCACAAACAGGAGCGCCAGAGTTTCTTTTGTCTCACAGAAAACAACTTACTGTGTACCCCTCTGGAGGTGGATGATTGGTCGCTGCGTGTCCAGCCTCCAGATGATCAGCTCTCCATCATGACTCGCTGTGGCTATGACCCCCAGGGGGGAGCACTGACGCACAGCCATGATATCCGATTTATGACCATCGCTGGACTTCCAAGACATGTCTGCTGTCACTTTCAGATCCTTCAAAGAGAGTTTATGAAGAAACATTAAGAATAAGAATTTTTTTTATTGTCATCATTCGTACGCATGATGACATTTCATTGGCAGCTTTCAGGCCACAGATACAAATACAGTAGAAAAAAAACAATAGTAATAATAGAAAATTGTACACATTAAAGTAAGTGCTATTAGAGAAAAAAAATTGATTTTGCACTATTGACCTACTAACTGGTAGTATTGCACTCCAGTTATTGCTCAGGGATTTTTTGGCACTGATATAAACAAGTTACAGAATTGTTTACTTGTATTGAGATATCATCATACGATCTGCTAAATCTACTCGTGAGTAAATTAGATTACTTTAAAGTGACAGTGTGTATTTTTCCTGGCGATAGGGGTCAGTAGATACCTAAATTGTTGTAAGCAAGCTGCATTTTTGTGTTGGAGGAAGACCATACCAATAGATCCCCAGTAGGGTCAAAAAGCCCTGGGGAGTGCAAACTTCAGTAAAATGACAAGCACATCAGACTCCCTTTCATCACTGGCAACGAGTAAAGAGGTAAATGTGTAAAACAACGTCTATGAAAGGTGAAAGTTTAACCATTTGTTACAAATCAGTAAATGCATTTTGTTCTCAATGACTCCCGTAGAAGGAAACACGGCATCCAATGTGGTGTCGCCCAGAGACTTAGACCCACTCCCATGTATTTTAGACCTGAATTCTATGGTTATATGTTAACTCATTCACTGCCAATGATGACTAAAGTCGTCATTTGCATATTTTTACTGTGTGGGCGTCAGAACGAGCCCCCGCACCGTGACAATAAACATCCCAGCTCTAAAGCCGATCTTCATCTGCGTACGTCACACGTCACGTGATCAGGAGGCAGAAAATCCATGTGTTAGGAGATCGTTTTGGGCCGCTGCTGTACAAAAGGTGAGGCACAAACCGGAAAAGCTTCTGCCGATCACAATTCGATAACGGATTATGAAAGAATGGATAACGCTCGGATTCTTCCTGATGTAAGAGGTGAGTCTACTCTTTGTTTTGTTAGTTTTGGCGTTGACATCATCATAGAGCGCAATGTTCTGTGACTCTTAAAAAAACTGGGAAAACGCTGAAAAATGCTAGCAGTGAACGAGTTAAGAAGTCGCCAATATGTTTCAACAACTGGGAATGATTTAATTATTTTTTAACAACATTTTGATGGAAATTTCCAGAGTTTGACGATAAAAACTACACATTGTCCCTTTGAGCCAGTCCATTTCAATTAGAAAAAAAAAACATGGTGTTTTTGTAGAAAACTAAAGACTCATTTAGGAAGGCTTGTGCTTTTTTCACAACATAAAATAAGATTATAAACCTTTAGACTGACTGAAGTAACAAGTCGAGAGGCAGGACAGCTACAAAAACTCTAATGTTTATAAGGAGCTGCAAGCCAGGGCATGTGTGTGTGTGTGTGTGTGTGTGTGTGTGTGTGTGTGTGTGTGTGTGTGTGTGTGTGTGTGTGTGTGTGTGTATGTGTATGTGTGTGTGTGTGTGTGTGTGTGTGTTCTAAATAAAGCAAAAGATTCAAATTTAGTGAACATGACGACTTTAGTCTGGAGTAACTGGGACAAAAATAGGTCCAAACTGTTGTTAACGTCCTCAAAGGAAACACGGAGTTGTAAATCATCACGGTGACAGCTGTTGATGACAAAATCATCAACCCACTCTCAGATTCTAGGAAAGACCGCGTAGAAGTGTTGAACTGAGGTTTAACATGACAGGATTATTTTAACAGAAGTCTGTGGTGATGTGTATCTAACATTAGCGTTGACCAGCAAACTTCTCAGATCGGATTATTGCTGCATTAACATGAATAGTTCTAATCTAAAGGAAACCGTGGCTTGTGTGGACATTATTAGTCGTGTCAAAAAGGTTCTAAATTTCACATAACACTATTGTTTACATATGATTGTGGTAATTTGATGGAGACTTTAGCAGCTGCAAGCTAAAAGTTAGTCACAGCAAGGCTCAGCAATATAGCCTCAACTCATATGAGGCCAAAATCTTTCCACTTTAAAAGATCTGAACTCTCCCTTTAATATGTGTCAAATCAGCCCAGGCTAAAGTAATTACATCCTTTGTTTTATTTGATATTCATAAAATTCAGTGGAAGTACATCATCCGTTCATTTTTGTACAACTTCATCCTCAGTCGGATCACGGCCTGGTGCCTATGTTCAGCGGCCATTGGGCAAGAGGCAGGGACATCCTGGAAAGGTCACCAGTCCATCACAGGTACACACAGAAACAATCATTCACACACTCCGACCTAATGATAATTTGGTCTCCATTTTTGGTTTGTGGGAAGAAACCCACACATGCATGGGAAGGATGTGCTAACTCCACACAGAAAGGCCACCGCTGGGATTCAAACTCTCCACCTTTTTGCTGCAAGGCAACAGTGCTTAGTTTAATTGCAGTGATTTTACCTTAACTTCTGATATGTTGTACTGAACGATGTGTCGGCTCCACCCCACAGCAAGCAGCTGGTTGCCATGGAGACAGGTCAGCCCAGTGACCTTTGAGTTGATGACAGGCTCCAACTTGTGCAAATTAAGACCGTTCAGTAAATTCCACACCTGCTTGGAAAAAGCGAAACAGAAGATTTATTTTTTAAGCTTTAACGGTTTGCCTCACAGGAAGTGAGCAGGGTGGTTTCTGCAGGCATTGATGGGAGGGGTTTCAGACCTTTATGGTGCCACTTGGAGCTCCGGTTATGAGTCTTCTGTGAGAAGAGTCCAGCTCCATGCAGGTAAGTCTCTCCTCTCCATGAGCGTTCAGAATACAAAGATTCCTCCTCCCGGTCTTTACGTCCCACAGAGAGACAGATGAGTCAACGTGACCGGTTACGACCTGTGTCAGGGTGGGGTTGTACAGAGCACAGGACAGAGGTGCGCTGCTTTCCAGTTCTGCCCCAAGCTCCCCTCCTTCACCTGTCCACCTGCCACCCACACCTCTTCTAGTTTCAGCCAGGCTCAGGTGTGCCAGGTAGTCTTTGCAGCCCACCAGTAAATGAGGCGGTGTCTCCTCAGGGAGCGGGGGCCTCAGCAGCAGGAAAGGGAAGTAGCCATGTTCTGGCATGCAGCCTTGTTGCATGCAGGGAAACTGAAGGCGGACAGTTTTCAGACAGTGATGACCGGAAATGTCCCACACCCTCAGTTCCTGGCAAAGTGAACCACCATCACATCATGGATTTGTTGCAACAACCTCTCAAAAGACACATTTGGCCTCTTGCAGATCAGAAAACAAATTTCTGTAGTAGAAACATAACCTGAGCAAAAACAGCTTGCAGTGTTCAAATGAAGGTTTCATGTATTGGGGGAAACTAAGTCATTTGAGCATCCTGGCCCTGTGTGAAAAAGTTATTAAATTCAATAACTGGTTGGAACCAACAGCTGATAACTAGTGATTAGTCTATGACACCACTGTGGAGGAATTCCATTCTAACCTTCTTTAAATAATTTGTAATGGATATAACCTGGGGCTTGGCTGAAAACTATCGCTGGAGTCTCTACTAGCACAAGGCTGCCGATCATCTGGCAGGGAGGCAGATCCTGAGCTTTGCTTAAAAAGGGGAGCGCACAGGTGCAGAAGGGAGACAATCAGCAGGGCTCAGGTGAACTGTGTGAAGCTGATTAGTAACAGGAGGACTGGCAGAAAGGCATGACAGGCATGGCTGAACAACGTGGAATCATTACATAATTGTTCTAAATAGGCTATTAGAGGGTGCATGGAGCAAGACTTATGCTTGGTTTTGAGGAGATTCTGATCCACCATCCGGCGCTTCGGGAGGGGAAAGCGGTGCACCATCAACACTGTTTATAGTGGTGAAGGTGTGCTGCTGACCTAGACTCAGGACGTTGTGGATCGGGGGGCAGAGTACTTCAAAGACCTCCTCAATCCCACTGGCACATCTTCCAGTGAGGAAGCAGAGTACAAGGACTTTGGGTTGGACTCTCCAATCTCTGGTTCTGAGGTCACCGAGGTGGTCAAAAAGCTCCTTGGTGGAAAAGCTCCAGGAGTGGATGAGATCTGCCCGGAGTTCCTTGAGGCTCTGGATGTTGTAGGGTTGTGTTGGTTGATGCGGCTCTACAGTGTCGCATGGACATCGAGGCAGTCCCACTGGACTGGCAGACCGGGGTGGTGGTCCCCTGGAGAGGAGGGTCCGTTGGATTGTTGAACGTCGGATTCAGGAGGAGCAATGTGGTTTTCGTCCTGGCCGTGGAACACTGGACTAGCTCTATACCCTTAGGGGGTCCTGGAGGGTGCGTGGGAATTTGCCCAACCAGTCTACATGTGTTTTGTGGATTCGGAGAAGACGTTTGACCGCGTCCCTCAGGGGGCCCTGTGGGGGGGTACTCCGGGAGTATGGGGTACCAGGCCCTCTGATATGGGCTGTTAGGTCCCTGTATGACCGGTGTCAGAGCTTGGTCCGCATTGTCGGCAGTAAGTCGGGCTCGTTCCCAGTGAGAGTTGGACTCCGCCAAGGCTCCTCTAAATCTGAGACCATGGTCTTGATTCAGAAAAGGGTAGAACGCCTTCTCCGGGTCAGGGATGAGGTCCTGCCTCAAGTGGAGGAGTTGAAGTATCTCGGGGTCTTGTTCACGAGTGAGGGAAAACTGGAGCGTGAGATCGATAGGCAGATTGGTGCTGCATCTGCAGTGATGAGGGCGTTGTACCGGTCTGTCGTGGTGAAGAGAGAGCTGAGTCAGAAGGCGAAGCTCTCGATTTACCTGTCGATCTACGTTCCTGCCCTCACCTATGGTCATGAGCCTTGTGTAGTGACCGAAAGAACGAGATTGAGGATACAAGCGGCCAAAATGAACTTTCTCTGCAGAGTGGCTGGGCTCTCCCTTAGAGATGAGGTGCAACACTCTGTCATTTGGGAGGGGCTCGGAGTAGACCCGCTGCTCCTCCACATCAAGAGGAGCCAGTTGAGGTGGCTCTGGCATCTGGTCAGGATGCCGCCTGGATGCCTCCTTTGTGAGGTTTTCCAGGCATGTCCAACTGGGAGAAGACCCAACGTAGACCGAGGACACACTGGAGAGACTATGTCTCTCATCTGGCTGACCTTTTTGAGATATTTTAACCTACATCACTGTTGTCAAACAAATTAGTTTGCTGATCTGAAACTAAAGAGTAAAAACAGGAGGAATCTGTAAGATTAACATCATGCATTCACACTCACAGAATCTCTGGAGTAGCTGAAGATCTGATCAGCAGCTTGGTAGATTGCAACATCTAACACAGCAGTGTGGTGACCCAGCAGCATCCCTACAGGGCTCAGGGTCACATACGAGGTCCACACTCTTAGCTTTCCATCACGGCCTCCTGTGACGAGCAGTTGCAAAGAAGAATCGTAGTCGAAGCATTTAGCTCCCTGAAAGGAGACAAGACCAAGAAGCAGCTCAGCAGACGGGACCAAGTCAGGATTTTGTATTAAGTTCCAAGTGTTATCCTCAAATCCTGAGTTAAGTCTCAAATCTGAAACATCAAATTTCAAGTCGTTTTTGTTTTAAAAACAATGTTGAACCTGCATCTTGTTCTTTCAGCTCTCCTTCTGGGTGGTGAGACCACGGCACACATGATTCTTGTGATTGACCAGCACAAATTGGACACCCCTGGATAAACTTTTATACTATGCAACACTTTAATATGTTCTTAAGTAAATAGCACCAAGTTCATTTCCAGATGCCCACTGTTGCTGCTGGAGACGATAATAAAAAGCCTGTTTACCGTCCACCTGAGTTAATTAGCTGCCTGTTATTCTGGGAAAACACGATTTTAAAAGGACAAAAACAGCATACATGCTAAAGCCAGACACAGTCAGTAACATAGCCTGGAGGACATGTGCTCATAAGGTGAAGATAGCTAGTTTGTTCTCGTAACAAAAAAGGACCATCTACCAAAGTTAGTTTTTCTACCTTCAGCTTTACATTTGCACTGAGTTTATTTTATTTTTTTTTTGTAGTGGACGTAACCAAAAGAAATAACTCTGGGGTGCATAAATATCGTTAGCAGATGCGTTAGGATGGCTTTTTCTGGCTGTGCTGCAGCTCTCACACACACATAGTCTACAGATAGACATCTCTTTTTGTTAATACAGAGGGTAGAAGCAGACCAATATGTTCAATTATTTCTATGTCAGCCATCGGCCAAAATTACTTTTAAAAGCCGATAAACAATAAATAAATCAGGCACCTGTTTGGCCAGCTGCCACCACTACCAGACCCCTACACACCGTTTTAAAAATGTTTAGAAGTTCATTAAATATTAAGAGATTTATTTACTTTTTAAATTCATTTTTCACACTCAATGTGCTGCTAAAACATATGTGTGTGTGTGTGTATGTCATGTGTGTGTATGTCAGCCTTCATAATTGGCTTTAGATATCGACCATCAGCAACAAAATTCTTTCAAAATCGGTATCGGCATCGGCCTTAAAAAACCATATTGGCCGGCCTCTAATGGAGGGAGTGACATGACTTAAGGAGGAGAACTTTGACATAATAGATGTTTCAAAGTTGATGTTTAGTAAAATGTCGACTTTTCAAAGGGACTTTACGGAGTTTTGAATTTTTATGCTCGCGATTGCCCTCTCAGGCCAAAAGCGTAACGGCAGCTTCAATAGTTGGCTCGTGCACGAGGCGCGCATGCTGTACGTGCACACTCCTTAACGAAAATAACAGCTGAGACAGTCCCTTGTGTGTGTGTGTGTGTGTGTGTGTGTGTGGCCCGGAGGACAGACAGGAGAACACACAGCTAATTAATTAAATAATTTGGTTCTGTACCTTTCTCTTCAGCACAGCCCACAAAGGTTTATGATGGGTCAGTCCTCCTGCATGCTCAGATCATGCCATTCCCTTGCTTGAAAAATTGTTCCAAAATGAAAGTTGAACCCACATCTTTTTTATCTGTGAATTCAATGCCATTCGGCGAGTCTCAAATAAAAATTTGGGCATCTTACTGTAAAAAATATACCATTAATGTAAAAAAGAAACTCTAGCAAACTATGTTCATACCCAAAATCAAACCCGGGTCTGCTGCACAAGAGTCCAACGTCTAACTAGATGAGCTAAAGCACCAATGATGTCTTGGGTATCTGTAATATGTATATCCTTGATTACAGCTAAAACAACGTTCAAAGAACGGTTCGGAGCAAAAATGGCTATTTTGTTGCTAATTTGCAGGAAATATCTAGAAGAAAGTAGCTAAGGGTCCTCAGAAATGTAGCTAGGTTCATCTCTAGGCGTTATGAACAGCGACAAAGTTGCTGAGTTGGCACAACCTCTCTCTCTGCTGCTAAAGCAACTGATAGCAAATGCTACGGGCTATGCCTGAGCGTGAACGCGCATGAAGCAGCCTGCTCGACCCGAGCAGCTCTCTTTTTCTGTGATTTTACAGAAAAAACAGGCAATCACAGTAAAAATGCCAGGGCTCATTCTACAGGACCAGCACATTACAGGAGAATGTATGAAGAAGACATTTATTATTTCTATACATGTTTTGGCTGTCAAGCTTCCATAATGCCCCTTTCAAGCCATAAAATTAATGACTTGTTTCTGACTCAAGTAGTCATGTGACTCGAGCCCACACCTCTGCTGCTCAGCTGTTTAAACTCTCTTCTCCATGAGAGTCACGATGTCCAGACAGTTTATTGGGTTATAAACTTTGCATATTTATTTAAATAGCCCTTGTGAGGAAAAGAAAACATCACCACCGTGTTAAATAATGTCTCCTCCATCTGTTAGCACACGCCGGCCTCACTCACACGCTGTAAATGTGTAACTCAGGTCACATTTGCTCTTCTAGATCGTTGTTCAACAGCTGCAAAAGCTTGTTTTCAACCTCAGCCCTCATTTTCAGGTCAGTGTCACCTAACCCACACTGACACTATACACTAGACAAGAGATAAGCAAGTTACCTGTGGGATTTTCCATGTATAAGGCTTTTGCCTTAGTGACACATTCATAAAGACTACTGATGTGTCGTCGCTTTCTGATGATGTCATGATGACATTAGAATCAAAAACCACTCTGTTGATTGGTTCCTGGTGGATGTGGGGAATGTAACGATGGGAGACCATGCTGCTGTGTTCACCGAGGTCCTTTTGAATAGAAAATCCAATGAATTTGATGGTTTGTAGGGGAAAAAGTAGAAGAAATGAATGAGTATCAGAGACAGCAGAGTTCAAATTGGCTTCCACAACAACCTGGCTCAGTTTACCTACTGGAAAAAAGATCCTTTGAGGGCCATTTTCTTTCCTGGGTGGACTCTTGAACAGACCTTTAAGTGGGTTCAGGAACCACAAGAGATGGACTCCTCCTTGTTCGTCTCCGAGCATCAGCAGTGGATGCTCCTCTGGATTCTTGGGAAGAAAAACTACTAATATTAAAATCGAGAATTAGTCGATTCCAGAGCTAATGGATCCAATTAGCTCCATTTTAATATATTGTATTTCTGGAAATTTTAAATATGTAAAATTTATAAATATTTACTATCATAACTGTTATTTATGAACAATGGTGGTGATCTACTTTATTCTTAGCCTTGCTGAGACTATCCATTAGCATATCAATCCGGTAGGATATAAATGCTGTTTTCTTTATGAGGATGAGAACCAAAGAAGATATTACTGAGAAAAAAAGTAAATTTTTTTTTACTTTTATACAGAAACACATCAAAATGACTAAAGAAACACTTTGATTACAGATACGATCCTACCTGAACGTTCTCAGAGTAACAAAGAGCAGTTGGTACGCAGAAAAACCCTAAACAGTAAAGAACCTTTTTAAAGCAACTTTCTTTGTTTAGTAATTTAAAAATTCTTATATTGAAGTGAAACTACCAAACAAGTGCACATCCTCAGACACGGTGGTTGAAGAGATGCTGAAAAAGTGCAAATCCCTGCGGTTGGTTGCTACGGCAACCATTTGGCAGCTACCCATATAAGCGGCATCAGTGGTCCAGCCTCTGAACCTCGTGGTGTTGGCGACCTCCTCTGTCGGGTCTCCTGTGAGCTGGTCCAGAGAGAAATGTGTGTGTGTGTGTGTGTGTGTGTGTGTGTGTGTGTGTGTGTGATTAGTTCATTTGGAACAAATTAAAAAAAGAGAGAAAACATACAATGAATTAGTACATACCCCTCAAGACAAGCTGCATTAATTAATCCTTACAACTGTTTACTAACATATAGGATGAAGTATGAACTTCTAAGACTCCTACCCCCGTAGCCATATTAGCAATAATTCACATCTTGTAAAAACAAGGCATCAAAGCAAAGCAACAAACATTAAACAAACCTTCATGTACTCAACTTCTCTTTTAGATATTGCACAATAATGCACACACTAACCATCTAATGTAGAAAACAAACAAAAATAAATAAAACAAATTAGGAGACAAAAAAAGTTCTACTTTCTGCACAAAACCAGAGCAGTTCTGTCAGATTTGCTCTTCAACTCATTCATTTTGAAAGATTTTTGTTTTAAATTGTTGTTTAAAAAAAACCTGGACTTCTTCATAAAACCTCTGACAGTAAAGTCCATTGCTTCACTCCCTGAATCAACACATAAGGGTTTTTTATAGTCGCCCTTGCCTTCCACGCCACGTTCTAAGGAACAACCTCAGTACGTTTCTTGGTAGCAGTTTCTGCCTTGCTTTACAGAACATCTGTTTGGTATTTTACGGCATTTAGAAATTAAACCTTTATTATGATCAAAAAATCCTGATTTATTATTCTTACTGACCTTTTTGTAATGAAATGTTTGGTTGTACAGAAGTTTTGTGTTACCCCGTACCTCTACACAGTAACTTAAATGGTAAAATGAATGCACAATACCAAGTGGTTTTTGATTTAATATGTTTATTATGAGGTTTTCAGCAGATTTCCATCAATTCTCACCCCAAGAAATGTAATATGAGGCACCCTTTCTACGTATTTGAGTGTTTTTAATATTTACTTTGAATTAGTCTTTCAATCTATTTCTATTAAGAATCATGTATTAGTTTAGCCTAAACTGAGTGATAATTTGTTCATTTTAAACCAAGTTTTAATTTTCTTGATTTCTTACATAAGCTGCTGCAGATAATCTCTCTCACAAATTTACTAGTGTCATCAGCAAATAAAATAAACCTCATTGAATGTGAGGATGTACTGATGTCATTTATGTATAAAACGAACAAATTAGGTCCCAGTACCGAGCCCTGGGGAACTCCAGGTAAAGTCTAAGCGTTCCGACTGGTTTTCACCCATCTTTACAAATTACTGCTTTTCACTTTAACTGTTTAACCAGTCCAGTGCCAGAGCTCTGATTCCATAATTCCAGCTTTCTGAGTACAACCTGATATTAATTGTGTCAAATGCTGTGTGTGTGTGTGTGTGTGTGTTTGTGTTTGTGTGTCACTCACTGTAAAAGTTTTGAGGATGTGTAGGCTGCGGCTCCAGACGCTGATCTGACCTCCTTTACTGACACTGACATAGCGGAGCGGAGGAGGATGGGAAACAGCAACAACACGAACCGTCGCCTCTCGCTGCACAACAACAAGACCATGCTCAGCAAAACATCTTACTGTAGCAATATGAAAATAACTCAGAGCCTGATGCTGAAAGGTGAAACAAGTCTATAACACTTCATTTCTCACCTAGCACAGAAGATAATGGTTTGAATTTCTCAGAGTAAGATCTGTGAGAGCTAACAGCAGTTAACCAGACGGGCAGCAAAACGCTTTCAAATGCTGCAAACTACTCTGGAATAAGAGTTTCCCTCCTTTAAAATGTGCTAGTGTCTTTGTATCCGTTTGAAGAGAATGAGACAAATAAGCAACAGGTTAGCACTCTCGGGGATTTCTGCTGAACAGACTTGAATCACAAAAATGTCTGAAAACATGTTTACAGTTTCAGCAATCACATTATAAAGCTGTTTACATGGATTTCTGTGTAAAATAAGCTGCGTTTCTAGCTAGCACTGCTGCCTCTGATATTTGTTTTTGCCAGAATAACCATGCATGTGAAACTTATTTTAAAAGTTATAACATTATTTACTTATAAAGGACATTTTTCTTTTTCTTTTAAGCCACTGTAATTGTGACTAACTGTTTGCAGAACTCATCTGGATTTATTTGAGCTGAGGTCATTTAAAATATCATCTGTAGGTGACTCCCTTAAAGTGTTTTTCTAAATGTTTTCATCACCAAGTTTTAAAATGTTAGTGATTTAAGTTCTAACAGCAGAACATGTTAATGTTCCTTTAATTGATACCTCCACATTTCCCTTAAACTTTACATCATTTCCCTCTGGCCTCCATTACCCAGCATGCATTTGTAATTAGAAGCTTTGTGCTTGATGCCATATGGACCTTGTTGTGAGAGCAGTGTCTGATCTGAGGCTGGGTGTCCAGCAGAGCTGCTGGGGGATTAAAGGCACGCTGCCTCTCTGTGAGTTCCAGAAACAAGTAGGAGGAGAGCTGCTGCCACTTCACCCGGCCGGTGCAGCAAACATCTACCTGGAGACGGAACAGAAATACAACTTCAGCCCATTTTCATGCCTTTGGTACTCATTTAGTGAAAAATGAACCGACTAGCATGGCTGTTTTTTCCTATGTGCTATCTATGCTGTTGCATAGGGCCCCCAAACCACTAGGGGGCCCCCAAAGCTGCAGTACTGAAACCCTTTAACTGCGGTTGTGCCGATGGTGAAATAAAATGGCTTTCATACTTTACCGTAACTCTTTGACAGTTTGTGCAATCAACAGATTCTGAAAGCTGAGATGGTACTTTCCAGTGGTATACAATACAATACAGTAATGTTACGCAAGTCCCTGCCCGAGAACCAGGAAATAAACAGTCTGCCATGTGCCGTGCTCATAGAGGAGCGAAGGAATTGTTTTGGATGCGTATTTTCAACTTCTGTCTATTCCACTGGTGTAAATAACAATAATTATTTTCAGTAAATTTCCTCCTTTATGTTTTTATTTGGTAATTTTAGATAAAATTTAGTCATATTCGACATTGCTTCGCCGTTTTTTGTACTCGTTCTGTCACCTGTAGTTTTGTCTTTTTTCAGCTGCATTTTTCACGGAGGCTTTTTATTATTTTATACGTTAGAATTGTTTTTGTAAATAAACCAGAAACCAGTAAACCTTCTCGAAAGAGGAAAGTTCCCTCAAAAGTTGTTGATGAGGAGCAAGATGTGCCCACTTTGTTTTTCCATCTGTGCACTAAACCCGTTCCAGTTTCTGTTGTCTAGTATTTCTGCTAATACTATTGCTATACTATTATGCTACTGCTGCTACTTTCAGGAAAACAAAAGATCCATGTATATCTGTGGTTGAGGATTCAGGTGTGGATGAAGATGATTTGCCATCACAGCTGCAGTGAGTTTATCTACAGTTCAAACATATTTCTAGCTGTAGCTCTGTATTTTCTTTTTTTAATAGTTTTCATTTTCTAGTATTTACCACTTGAGTATGTTTTATAAAATCTGATGTATTTATAATTTTAGATATTCTTCTGATGAAGAGCCATCCATCATCAGCAGCAAAAGACAATGTCTGTCATGATCCTGCCATGCCCTGACCTCCATGCACCATCATTCATTTCATCAGCCTTCATGCAGCACACCTGGTCCCCTCATCAAGCTCCAGCCAAGCCCTGTTTCCCCGGCAACCACAGTCAACTCACCATCAAGCTCATGCCACACACCTGCCTCACCAGCTATATATTCCTCAGTCAACCACCAGCACTCTGCCAGATTATTGAACGCTCACGCCAGTAAATTCTCCAGCACTCCAACCTCTGCCTGTATCATAACCTCCTGACCTCATTTCCACGCCTGACCCTTGCCAAGGACTCTGCCTGCCACCACGAACTTCGCCTATCCACGACCACGTCTTTAGCCTGCACCAGGTGCCTGCTTTGCCTCGATCTGGTTTTGACTAACGCCTGTCTTCGACTCTGCGCCTACCTGAATATCACTCTGGTAACACCTCCTCATAGCTCCTTGCTAAAAAAGACTGTTAAAGGGTCTCTCTGTGTTTGGTGTCATCACGGGTTCTCTAGTTCAGTTCATGACACAGAATAATATGGCCATACTTGGACTCGACGCCAACACAGGACTGGGAAAGCAGGAGTTGAGCCAACGTACTGCACAATCCGATCTGTCATGGATCCAGCGGGTGAGTTTCTCACACTCCTTGAGTTCATGGAGCTGGAGAAGGAACAGGAGTCACCTTCCTGGGGAACGCGCATGGCAATCAAGCCACCACCGCACAGAGGTTCCACCCCTTCGTCCAAACCTGCTACGGCAATCCTACACAGCGGGCTCCTTACAACACAATGGCGGCGGCCTTGGAGACCCTCTGCTAATTCATTGCCTTCTCAGATCCAAGGTTTAGCAGCTACGCTGCTCCAATCTCAAGCCCCTCCTGTCTTCATGCCGCTCAAGCCTCAAGCTCCTTCTGTCATCACGCCGCTCCCAGTGGCCGCACCGCATCCACGTCCAGTGGTGGTCCCAGGAGTCGCACCGCATCCACGTCCAACAGGGTCCCACCTCCACCTGTCCAAGAGGCCCCGCCTGTCCAGGTCCAGCGGTGGCCCCAGAGGCCACACCACATCCACGTCCAGCGGTGGTCCCAGAGGCTGCACCGCATCCACGTCCAGTGGTGGTCCCAGAGGCCACACCGCATCCACATCCAGCGGGGGTCCCACCTCCACCTGTCCAAGAGGCTCCGCATGTCCACGTCCAGCGGTGGTCCCAGGGATCACATCACATCCACGTCCAGCGGTGCCTCTAGCCAAGTCAACAGCACCTCCAATCAAGTCTGCGCCAGGTCTGGCGCCTCCCAGGGGTCGCACCGCCTCCCCGTCCAGCGGTGGTCCCAGGAGTCGCATCGCATCCATGTCCAGCGGTGCCTCCAGCCTAGTCAGCAGCACCTCCGGTCAAGTCTGCGCCAGGTCCAGCACCTCCGGTCAAGTCTGCGCCAAGTCCGGCGCCTCCGGTCAAGTCGGCGGACCCACCTCCAGGGATTCTGGTTCTGGCGGTCCCGCCCCCAGCCAACTCGCCGCCTCCAGCCAAGTCAGCGGACCCACCTCCAGGGATTCTGGTTCCGGCGGCCCCGCCTCCAGCCAAGTCAGCGGACTCACCTCCAGGGATTCTAGTTCCGGTTGCCCAGCTTCCAGCCAAGTCGGCACCTTCAGCCAAGTCGGCGGACCTGCCCCAGGCATTCTGGTTCCGGCGATCCTGCCTCAAGCCAAGTCCAGAGCCTCCCACCAAGTCAGAGTTCCCTCCTGCAGCGGCTCCACCTCCAGGCCAGTCGGCGCCTCCAGCCAAGTCGGTGCCTCCGCCTCCAGGGATTCTGGTTCTGGCGGTCCTGCCTCCAGTCAAGTCAGCACCACCTCCAGCGGTTCCACCTCCAGTCAAGTCAGCGGCAGCGCCGCAGCCTCCAGTCGAGTCAGCGCCATCGCCTTCAGCGCCAGCGCCTCCAGTCAAGTCAGCACCAGGTTCAGCACGTCAAGTCGGTGCCTCCAGTCTCTGTTGGCCCTGTCCTCACCCGTTGCCGCCACCCCCCCAGAGCCTCCTGATCCCTGCCTCATTGCCGCTGGCCCCCCAGAGTCTCCAGGTCCCTGGTTCATCACCGCCGACCCCCAAGGGTCCTCGGACCCCTGCCTCCTAAACTCGGCTTTGTTGGGCGCCCTTTACTGGGTCTGCCCTTATGTTCTGGTTTTCTTTCTGTTCTCGTTTCTGGCCCTCCTTCCTGGTCCCCCTCCTCTGGTTTCCTGTGGGCGTCTGGTATCCGCTCTTGTGGGGGGGAAGGGTCCTGTCATGATCCTGTCATGATCTTGCCATGCCCTGACCTCCATGCACCATCATTCACCTCATCAGCCTTCATGCAGCACACTTGGTCCCCTCATCAAGCTCCAGCCAAGCCCTGTTTCCCCGGCAACCACAGTCAACTCACCATCAAGCTCATGCCACACATCTGCCTCACCACCTATACATACACTGTCAACCATGGCTTCCTTTTTTCCACACTCTCTAGCATGGGCATCACAGAGAAAGCACACACCTGGTTGGAATCGTACCTCACAGGACGATCATTCAGTGTATCTTGGCTTGGACAATCTACCATGCACCATCTTGCCACAGGAGTCCCCCAGGGCTCTGTACTAGGACCTCTTCTCTTTGCCATTTACACCACCTCACTGGATGAGATCATTCGATCACATGGCTTCTCCTACCACTGCTATGAAGACAACACCCAGATCTATCTGTCATTTCCACCGGACGACCACACTATCTCTGCCCGAATATCAAACTGTCTCTCTGACATATCAAAATGGATGAAATCCCACCATCTCCAACCCAATCTCTCTAAAACTGAACTACTTGTCATCCCAGCAAAACCATCCATACAGCACAATATCTCAATCCAAAATGACTTCCTATCTCTGGCTCCTTCAAAGGCAGTTCGAAATCTGGGTGTTGTGATTGACGAACACCTGACCTTTAAAGATCATGTTGCCTCTGTTGCTCGTTCATGCCGCTTTGCGCTGTTTAACATACGAAAGATCAGACCATACCTAACACAACATGCCACCCAGCTCCTGGTGCAATCTACTGTCATCTCCCGTCTCGATTACTGCAATGCCCTTCTAACTGGTCTTCCAGGCAGTACTGTGAGACCTCTCCAAATGGTCCAGAACGCAGCGGCGTGTGTGGTCTTCAATCAGCCAAAAAGAGCACACGTCACCCCTCTGTTCATTGAGCTCCACTGGCTACCGCTGGCAGCACGCATCAAATTCAAATTTCTAACACTAGCATACAAAGTCCGAGATGGTACGGCTCCCATCTACCTGAATCCTCTTGCAAAGGCTTGCGTCTCGGCCCGGCCGCTCCGGTCATCACAGGATCGTCAGCTAGCAGTGCCTACACCACGCTCAGGAGAATCCAGACTCTTCTCATGCATCGTTCCACAAATGTGGAATGACCTACCAAGCACTACCAGAACAGGGGCTTCCTTTTCAATTTTCAAGAAACTCCTGAAGACCCTGCTCCTCAGAGAGCATCTTCTAAACTAGCACCCTCCCTGCACCCGTCCCCCTCTCTAATGTCCACTCCTTGTTCCCTCCTCCCCATGACTGATGTCAAGTTGTTGTTGTTATTGTTGTTGTTAGCCTCAAGGGCAACATGCCGATTATCACTTGTAAGTTGCTTTGGACAAAAGCGTCTGCTAAATACATAAACATAAACACATATTCCTCAGTCAGCCACCAGCACTCTGCCAGATTATTGAACACTCACGCCAGTAAATTCTCCAGCACTCCAACCTCTGCCTGTATCATAACCTCCTGACCTCGTTTCCACGCCTGACCCTTGCCAAGGACTCTGCCTGCCACAACGACCTTCGTCTGTCCACGACCACATCTCTAGCCTGCACCCTGTACCTGCTTTGCCTCGATCTGGTTTTGACCCATGCCTGTCTTCGACTCTGCGCCTACCTGAGTATCACTCTGGTAACACCTCCTCAAAGCTCCTGGCTAATAGTTAAAGGGTCTCTCTGTGTTTGGTGTCATCACGGGTCCTCTAGTTCAATTCATGACAATGTCAGAGACAGGATGCTGCTGGAGATGCTCCACATCTTCTGGACTCATGGACAACAAAGTCAGACCCAGGTGCGGCCAACCCATGACACCCAGATTTATCCCCAGAAGAACCCCTGACTATCAGCTGCCTCTCACCACCAGCTCCACAAAATAATCAGCAACAAGTAGCAGAAGGAGGCCATGAAACATCAACAATTTCAGGAGCAGCAGTGTGCACAGGATGAAAACCCTCCAGTGATCTCCACTCAAGGTCACATCCCTGTCCCCTGGATCAGTGAAGAAGGAATGGACAAAGCACAGAGGGCGAGTCAGGGGTGAGGCAGGTACACTCTGTGCAAAAAAAAAAAAAAACCTCCCTGGATGTGCAAAGAGTGCAAGAAAAAGTAAAGTCTGCAGGACAAGAACTGCTCTGCAGAATACCACAACAGCTAAAAACACAGGAACACTGAGAGACAATATCTATGGAAACTCAGACACTGAAAGTTGTACGAATAAATAAATCAATACAAGGTTGTAATACATGTTATGCATGATTTCTGCTATTTCGGATTGTTTTGTTCACTTACATTTTCTATTCAGAAATTTCTGAAGAAAAATAAAATGCTTTATATTTTACAGTTATAACTTACTGTTTTGGTTTAAAATCCCAATTCTAACCACACACCAGCTTTAAACGTTAATAGCCCAATAAAACTAGAGTTATGCTTAAAATAAATAAATCTCAGACCATCAGAAAGATTGTGATCTTGACCACTGTCTTGATACAGGAATCTTTAATCAGTTGTTGTCGTACTTGTTCACATGCAATTAGCCCCTTTATTATGGTGTGTGTAAGATGTGAACACCCCTCCCAGGGTGGAGGTCTGCACTCTGACTGCTTTCTAGTTTGTATTAGTCATATTTCTTGAGTGAGTGTTTAATTTTAATACTGTACCATGTTTTGCTTGCAATTTGTGACAATTCATGGTGTGTTTATAGATCATCAATTGCAGTTTGTCAAAAAAGGGGGGCCCAGAACAATTTCTTGCATAAGGCCCCCACAATGCTAGAAACGGCCCTGCCGACTAGAGACAAATCCCTGACTAATTAAGATAAATCTTTACCTCACTGAAGAATCTCTCAACCCAGGATTCATCAGCACTTGGACCAACCACAGACCTCAGCAGCTCCTGAAATTCACCCAACATTAATCCAGGTTCCTCATCTCTGTTCCCCCCCTCTGTCTTTGGATGCTGTGCTTGTGGTCTTGCTTTCGGACAGATGAAAGCATCTCTCAAGAGCTGCATGTGCTCTGGTCTCAGCTTGTCTGCAGCGCTGGAGCTATCAGCTGGATGCCTGCAGCCACAGGAGCAGAGATTTGCAGGAACATGTTACAGTTGTTAAAGTTAGTGGGAGGTGAGCAGCTTCCCATGCAGAGTTGATCTAACAGTGATTTCATCCTCCATAAGTAACCATGTGTCCATGAAGATCCAAAGACCACCAAACCCTATCAAAGTCATTCAATTGTGTGTTATTTAAAATGTTCTGGTCGTTTCATGAACTTGGTGTATAAAAGCTGCTTTTGGAGAGAAAGCAGCGCCTCTATGTGGCAGGAATGCTACAACACAACTCTGATTTTTACAGAGTAAGTATTTTAAACAAAAAAAGAAATAAATGAAATAAATCTGTTTTATGCATCTAAACCTGTTTTCTGATAAACTATAAGTTGTGTCTACATCCTGGCATTTAGCTGCTTTCACATATGCATTTTTGACTAATTTTGTCCTTAAAATAATAAATAACAATAAAATGAACAAATAATGTTTGTGGTTAAAAGGTTTTTAGTGAAGCCGAAGATCCCACACGTTTCTGGTAAATGACAACAAAAACCAGCAAATGATAAAGACCTCTATGCAGTTAGACCTGTAAAGCGGGTTGATGTTCTCCTCTGATAAAACCAATTAGATTAAGTAAGACCCACATTTGGAACTCACCGTATCCTGGTGTGAGGTACCTCGGTGTCATACAGCCTCCACAGATTCTGGTTGTTTCCGAGAGAGTCCATGGTGAATCAGAAACCCTAACTTTAGCTTCTCTGGGGGGAAGGCAGCAGCCTGAGCCAAGGCCGCTCTGAGATCATCTGAGCCGGAGCATCCAGATCTTTTGTTTCCTGCTCGTCCTTAAACAAAGCTCCTTGTCCTCAGACGGGAACGCTCACATTCAGCAGCCCCAATGAGATCCGTCTACACAGAGAAAGCAGAGTCAACACAGGGAGCTGAGAAGGAAACCATGGAGAAGTGAGTTCCTGTGCTGGGGGTAGCCCAGGCACAGGCGGGTGATTTATCACAGTTAATCATTTAAAAAGTAAACTTATTGAGGAACCGTGGAAAACATTTACAAGTTTGAGTCTTCTACTGAGTTTGACTGAGTTCACATGAGAAAAATACGCAACACCTAATCAGGACAGTATTCAGAAGTACAGTGGAGCCCAAAAGAGTTCAAATAAGAATAGTCTAAAAGGGTTTAATTTGATTTAATTATTGTCAGATGGTTTGCTTGTAGTGAAACTCATTTATTCAAGGTGGCCTCCTGCTAAGATGGAATTTCCTTTAGAACACCTAACACGTTTCAGGAGGCCCAAACGAACTTTGTACATAATGTTTTACAGTTTAACACTTGTTTTGGCTCATTGTTAGTCAAAAAGCTCAGATGGAACATGCAACATTTTTAACACTAATAAGACCATATGGGCTGCACAGTGGTGCAGCAAGAAGGTTCTGGGTTCTAACCCCAACCTGGGGACAGGGAGTTTGCATGTTCTCCTTGTGCATGTGTGGGTTCTCTGCGGGTGCTCTGGCTTCCTCACACAGTCCAAAAACATGACAGTTAGGTTGATTGGTCTCTCTAAATTGTCCTTAGGTGTGAGTGTATGTGCATGGTTGTTTGTCCTGTGTGTCTTTGTGTTGCCCTGCGATGGACTGGAAATCTGTCCAGGGTGTACCCCACCTGTATGCCCGGAGACAGCTGGAGATAGGCATTGATTTAACAGGACATCTTCAATTAGTTGTGCAACTTTATAAAATCTTGTTTTTGATTATTTTTGCATTGTGTAGTTAGAATTTAGATTTTGATTATTTGCATGTTAGTCACTAAATGTTTCTTAAAATGTATTAAAATACATTTTTAATTTAATGTAAACTACTTTTGTTTGATGAGATGTTGCGTTTCTACCAGTGGCGCCCCCAAGGGGTGGCCGGCCACACCAGAGAAGACCAACTCATGTTAATGTTCACACAAACTATAAATTCATAATATTTAATCAGACATAAATGTAAAACCCAATTTAAAAAATCTGAATATAAAAGTAAGGTTTAAATCTAGTTTTGTAGATGTTTTGTGAAAACAGCAACAGGTGAGTTTAATAACGTGTTCTCAAATTCTACAATAAAATTTAAAGTAAGATTCCAAATAACAGTTTGAAATGTCTTTGTAAAGAAATTATGTTCTTTAAATCTGAGGTAAGCGTGTGCATATTGTTTTTTTTTTTAATGAAAAAGAATAAAGGAGCATGCAAGGACACAGGCTAAACTCTCCCAGTCACCGCGGACCAATCTGGTGTGCCACCCCCCAATTTTTCTCTGGCCACCCCATGAAGATTATCTGGGGGGCGCCCCTGGTTTCTACTGATGTCCACCAGATGGTGCCAGAGAAGCGTGTTTAACCAGCACGTGCATCACAATCAGACCGTTTCTGTGTAATGAGATCCCTACAGTCTCCAATCTAACCCAGTTATTATCCGCGCTCACAGTGATCTTTTTGGGCGAACCAGACACCAACAGTTCCGCGGACTCCGCCCGTTTCGGCTCGGTCTCCTCATCCAGGTTCTTGTCTGGTCTGTCCGGACGGCTCCGCCCCCGAGGCCCGCCCTCCCCTCCCAGCGACTCCTCTTACTTCTGCCATCAGCTTTTCTGATCTCTGATGGAACAATGAAGATGTCTAACTTGAACCTCCAGTCTTTCACTTTTTTCATTTAAATCTGAGTGGCTGAAGTCTGGCACCATGCTGCGGGTTGTTGTAGAGTCGGCCAAGAGTCTGCCCAAGAAGAAACTTGGGAGTCCTGATCCAGTAGCATCAGTGATTTTTAAAGGTAGGTCCAGTTTAAAGTCACTTTTAAAATAAAGTTGGAGAAACAAATGTGGCTTCTTTTGGATCTTACATGTGGACGTTTTGATTATTCTTATTTCTATTAAAGGACATGTAATAAAAAATAAATTAACTGTAATAAAAAATAAATTAACTGTAATAAATAACAAATTAACTATCCGTTCGTGTTCCTCCCCAGTTGTCCATAAAATGTAAAAAAGTTCAGTATGGATCTAATCCATGAGCAATCAGAGCATTTTCCTGCATGTCCCAGCATTCCCAGAAGCAGTTTTAGCTGGGGAGTGGCTCTGTGACACACATGGGAGGTGAGGGAGGACAAAACAGGTTAGAAGTTGCAGAAGTAATAGATGCAGCTCTGTTTGAAGCACATATCCACATGATTTATTTTGTCCTGATGTCGTTGCAAACTGTTCCAAAGCTGTCTCTAAACCTGTCTCTAAAGTCTGCTACCCACCACTACTGCTGTACAAAGCATGAACACACAACATGCTCATCTTTTTCTCTTTTTCATAGCTAACATTTGTCTTTATATTGAGAAAATGTGTTGAGTTTTAAGAGAATGTTGTTTTAAAACACTGAATATGTTTTTCTCTTAGGGAAGATGCAAATAATACATGGTTCATTTTTTTTCTTTCAGAGGAGAAGAAGAAAACCAAAGCGATTGACAACGAGTTGAACCCTGTTTGGAATGAGGTAATCTGCTCACAAACTAGTGTTTATAGAAACTTACCAGCAGATTGCTCTTTGAACAGGCTCGGTGTTGGGCAGATTTGATCGATGAGCTAACGACTAGCCAAAGGAAGAACCAAGACTAGAGCGGATAGTTCACTGAAAGAGACGATGTGTAGTTTTTACTGTTAATCGCTGGAAACATTGTTGGATATTAGTAAAATGATGCCCAGAAGTTGAAAAATATTGGCGGCTTTATAACATATATCCATAAAAACCAGATCTATAGTACATAAAGCAAGGGTTGCGTCTTTGGGGGATGCCACATTTGAAGCCATGTTTCCTTCTGGCCGGCTCGGGGTCTTGCACCTGTCGATGATTGACGATGGGCTGGATGTACGACTACAACATTACCGCGTTCTAAAACATTTAGGCGTAAGAAATGTGAATTTAATAACAAAACTTCTAACCTCTTTCCAAAACCTATGTGAAATAACAGAATCAAAAAAAGAGATGCAATATAGTTTGGCCGAGTAGTATTGCCGTAGTATGATGACATCATCAGCAGGCGCAGGACCCTTAGCAGATCCAGAAACGACAGCGCCAGGAAACCACAATCAGCATTGCATTCTCTTAAAGAGACAATGTGTAGTTTTTACCATTCATTTCTGGAAATATCCATCAAAATGTTGTTGAAAAATGTTGGTGGCTTTGTAACATACAACCATAAAAATCAGGTCTAAATTACATGGGAGCAGGTCTAAGGCCCTGTCCACACGTAGCCGGGGATCTGCCAAAACGTAGATATTTTTCTACGTTTTGGCCTGTCATCCACACAAAAACGGAGTTTTTTTCACACGAAAACGGATCTTTTTAAAAACTCCGGCCAAAGTGAAGATCTGCATTTTCTCCGTTTTGGGTGTCTGCGTATGGACAGACAAAACCGGAGTTTTAAGGTCCGCAACGTCACTTTCCGCAACAAAAAAATGCTGACATCACGTGTGCGACCTGTGTTTACACTAGCCGGCATCATGGAAGCCCTCAGAGCTGCGCTCGCTTTATCAATTGTCCAAGCGCTTTTTGCTTGTTTGTTTTTGCAAGCGGAATTACTGCTCCTTGCGGAAGACCACAGACGAAGGACGAGGTTAAGAACAGGGGAAGTCTGGCATGTCCTTAACAACGTATTTATCCGGGTACGTGTGGACAGAGTTTTTTTTAAAACGAGGTGGTGTGGATGCAAGTTTTTGGAGGGGCGGATATTCGTTTAAAAAAAACCCGGCTATGTGTGGACTAGGCCTAAGTCTCTTGGCGACGGCATATTAGATGCCATGTTTCCTTCTATGGGAGCCCATGAGGACAAAATGCACTTACTGATTTGTATCAAACGGGTACAAAGCTTTCACCATTCTTAAATGTTGTTGTTTTACACATTTACCTCTTCACTTGTTGCCAGTGATGAAAGGGAGTCTGATGTGCTTGTTATTTGCTGAGGTTTGTACTCCCCAGGGCTTTTTGAGCCTAATGGGCATCCATTGGTAAAGTCTTACTCCAACACAAAAATACTGCTTACTTGCAACAATTTAGGAATCTACTGCCCCCTATTGCCAGGAAAAATACACACTGTTACTTTAACGTAATAAAATAAAGGCCCATCACAGTCTGAGGGGTCACGCCGAGGTCACAGGTAACATTTACCATAATGTTGTTTTAAACTAGCAACAGTCATGGCGATATGGTGTAACACTACCCTGAAATGTGTGCACTGCCCCCTAGCGCCAGGAAGCAACACACTGCCACTTTATGCACCACAGCATTTCGGAGGCTGTTGTTTAAATCTGCAAACAATTGTAATGTAGCGTAGCATTGTTATCGTCATTCGCACCAGAGCTAGCCAGTTGCAGCACTTAGGGGTGCCAATCACCACATGTTAGAAACTAAAGCAACTCGTTTATGAAATCAGCTCGGAACCAATCATGTTCCATATTTTTAGGCAACTCTGCAAATTCATTCATAGGCGATGATGCAATTTCTTTTGCTGCTGAATAGTTTGGGGTAGGCCTCTTAAAGCAGACACATGACACACAGAGGATGAAAATGTCTATCAGCATCTCAGTGACTTCCTGAGCACACCCTCTAACGACCGTAGCTCCATCAGCTTCCTCCTGACCTCGGCTGCTGGCAAAAGGAAATCTCCAGGTGAGACTGTGAAGTCAGCAAGTATAGAAGTCATTCAGAGCACTTGAGCAAACAGCATCCTTCCCTTTACCCTCTATGAATGTGGCCCCTGGTGACTATATCTAGGCCTCACTTCCTGATTGAACCAGGGATCCTGGTGATGATGGATGTTACCACACAGTGTAACAGATCCACACTGCCGTTATGCATAGCTGCTTCTCAGAACCGCCCTGAAGAGAAGGCATGGCTCATCTGAGCCACAAAGGGATGGGTTTTGGTGGGGACCTCTAGCAGCCTATGTGGATCAGCAGGTAAAATGTCCCATGTAACGTAAACTAGCCATTGGCTGGCATGTCTAGTCTAAGATAATCTCAATTTCTCCAAACCAATACTGATCAAAGAGCTATCTGATCGTTTATAACCTTTTTACTGAGCAGATTCAGACCTTATTCGAGTCTGAAGCAGGGCAGCAGTGATTGATTACGCCTTTAACTCAAAAATCATCACACATCTGTCTCTGTAAACACTAATTGGTTCAAGTTAATCATCATCTGTAGCTGCAAAGATCAAAAGCAACCCCCCTTTCTTTTCTGTTCCAGGTGCTTGAGTTTGACCTAAAAGGCACGCCGCTGGACACCAGCTCCCAACTAGAAGTGGTTGTGAAAGACTATGAGACGATTGGGAAAGACAAGTAAGCACTTAGATCCATGTTAGCTTTGTGCAACAAAGGCATTTCAGTGATGAAAACAAACGTTAATAATTCTCGCCTCAGTGACACACACCTGAAACCTGCTCCTGTCTGAATAGAGTTTCTAGGAAATGTGACCTTTCAGTTGTGCTGCAGTGTGTGTGTTTTTGTTGTCTTTAGCTGAAAGAATGATGTTTTAAATAAGAGTGCAACACAAACAACCATGGAGTCAGCTTGAACCTGGAGGTTTTCTGGAGAACGTCTAGCAGCCACATAGTCCCACAGCTGGGCGCCTCCTAGATCCCACAGCACACACGGTTTGCAATAATGGATACAAACGAGTGTTTAAGAGTTTTAAGTTATGTATCTGGCTTTCACCATCCCCTCACGCCCTGCTCGCCATGCTGAGACTTGCAGAGCTGTGTGGGACGACAGAATCTGATTGGGCAACAGTGGATGAATGGATCCCTGTTTGCCTTCTGTCTCGGTGTAGGATTTGTACACCGCAGTTTGACAGAACGTCAGAAATTCCCCCTGCAACTGTGGAAGTACTAGGGTGCACAAGCTGCCGTAGCAGCCTTGAAACCCAAAATGCTGTGCTTCTCCAGAGCCCCATAAATAACGTCATTGGATCCAGATGTAGGAACAATCCACACAAACAACAAGTGTTTTTTGTGTCACTAATTATCCGATCAATGATTTAGATTAGAAAAGTGCGTATGGTATCCTGAGTAGAAGTTTCCTTTGTGCTTGGGACAGTCATCAGAGGGAGGAGCTTTGTAAATGTGTGTTTTTAGCACGAGACCACGTTAACGTGAGTAAAGTTTTCCACTGGGCTGTCCTGTCTCACATTCCCTAAGGATCTGCGTGGTGGAGGCAGAGGAGGGCATTTCTTCCTAAGAACCTTCTCAGCAGCTGCAGCTCTGTTTCACCATGGCAACAAGGGAAACCGGTCTGTCATTGTGTTTAAGTGAGTTTTAGTAGAAAATATTGTTTCAAACAGTCTCTGAGGCTCTGATTTCTGCCCACGAGTTTGGAATGTAAATATCTCGTTTTACGACTTCCCGCAAAGAGAAGAAAAGTGGAGCTCACCACTATTGAAGTTCCACAGAAGAAGAAAGTATCATTTCTATAGCGCCTCTCAAGCTAAAAATCACGAGGCGCTTCAGAAAAACCAAAAATGTAAAATATAAAAAATAATTTAGAAAATGATTCAAAATATATTTAAAATGAGCAAAAAATAGACAATTGTGATTAAAACTGTTAAGAAAGAGAGAGAGTGAGTAGGAAAGAGGGAAATCGGTGGATTCTGAGGAAGGTGGAATAGGTGGGGAGAGCAGAACAAGGAGAGGGTGATGGTGAAGGTCACACCAAAGCTTGAACAAGTGAGTCTTCAGCTGCTTTTTAAAGGAGACCACTGAGTCCACTGATCTCAGGCTCAGGAGGAGAGAGTTCCAGAGTCTGGGGGCCACAGCAGCAGATGATCTGTCACCTTTGACCTTTAGCCTGGTGCTGCACAACCAGTAGGCTTTGATCACTGGACCTCAGGGACCTGCTGGGGGTGTAGGGACTAAGAAGATCACCAATGTAAGATGGTGCTTGTCCATGTAAGGCCCTATAGACCAGAACCAGGATCTTGAAATGAACCCTGAAGTTGACTGGCAGCCAGTGAAGCTGGAGGAGAAGCGGGGTGATGTGGGTGTGTTGGGAGGACTTGGCCAGAAGCCGAGCACAGGCATTCTGAACCACCTGTAGACGGTTCAGGGAGGTTCTGCTCAGACACGTGAAAGGAGAGTTACAGTAGTCTAGTCACAGCGCTTCAATAGGAGTGGAACATTTGAGTGATTGTTTGGAGCAGGAACATATTCACCTAAAAATATGTATCTATTTTCTTCCTTTGTTGTCTAACATGTATGCAAATTTATAAAACAGTTATAAAACAGTGCAAGATACTTCATTAGGTAAAGTTTGCATAGTGTGAGTTTGCGTTGGTAATTAGTTTAATTATGTATGTTATTGAATGCAGCTGCTGAACACATTCCACATGTGTTAGGGGCAGCAGCTCAGGAGGTTGAGCGGGTTGTCCAGTAATCTGAAGGTTGCAGGTGCCGCTGTTGTGTCCTTGGGCAAGACACTTAACCTACCTCGCCTGCTAGTGGTGGTCGGAGAAACGGGTGGCGCCTGTGCTTGTAAGCCTCACCTTTGTGAGTGCACCCCAGGGCAACTGTGGCTACAATATAGCTCATCACCAGGATGTGAATGTGTGTGTATGAATGCATGAATGAAACACTGTAGTTTAAAGCACTTTGGAGTCCTCTGACTCTGAAAGGCACTATATATTTATCACATGTTTACCACGTACATCATATTGCATCGCCTAGCGTTGTGTTGTGTTTCTATTGTCCATCCATTTCTGAACCCGCTTGTCCACGTAGAGTCGCTGGGGGGGGGGGGGGGGGGGGGGGGCTATCTCCAACGGTCAATGGGCAATCAGGCGGGGTACACCCTGGACAGAGAGCCAGTCCATTGCAGGTGTTTCAAATGTATCATACAATATCAGAGTGTTGTGTGTGTGTGTTGAGTCAAATACTGTACATCAAAGTATCTGTCATGCCCGTCATGTTTTTATGATTCCTCAGGCTTCGTAAGGTTAGTGTGTCAGTTATGTGTAAAGTCTTTTCTCTGTTGCGGGTCCTAAACTGTGGAACAAACTTCCAGTCACAGTTCGACTGGCATCCTCCTTGGCAGATTTTCAGTCTAGACTAAAGACACACTATTTTACCCTTGCGTTTAACAGTTAGCTGTTAGTTTGGCTTTTACTACTCTTATTTTATCATCCATTGTAAGGTTTTTACTGGTAATTTTTTATCGTCTTGTCTTTTTTTATTTGTTGGCTGTATTTTATAGTACTGTTATATGTTTTTTATCTCTATTATTGTGTGGCTGTTCAGCACTTTGGTCAGCCATATGACTGTGTTTTAAAATGCTATATAAATAAAGGTGGTATGGTATGGTGTATACATATTTATATATTTATATACCATAATGTTTAATAATATTTATCCTATGGAGGCATGCTTAACATAAACATCGTTTGTCCAAGCATGGAGCCCTGGAGAACTCCACAACTCGTTCTGGTGCGTGAGGAAGATTAATCTCTTACACGAACCAAGTTAATTCTACCAGATGTGACTTCAGCCAGCCTGGAGCAGCCATGTTGGACTCTCATGGAATGCTCGAGTTCCCTTTAGCCAGGAAGCTGTTCTGTTCGGAACTAAAACCCAGATAAGGAATGTGTTTAGAGCTTGGATGGTGAAAGACATAGATTAGCATTCATGTTTTTGTTCAGGAAATGAGAAAAGGGCATGAGCCACACTTATTTTTTTTATTGCCACAAACATCACGAGGGGAGATATCAGTGTGTTTTGGCCCCTTTGGTAATTGGAAACATAAAGGAGCTAAAATGATTACATTCCACAAAGACTCCCATCCTGGTCATATTCCCTCTGTGTGACTCACCAGAATTTAACAATAGTCTCAAAGCTTGTGAGCTTTAAAAGGAAATGGTCTGTGATCTCACTTGTTCCCTAAGCTGTTCCCAGCATGTATGACTTCCCCTAGCATGACACACACCGGTGTGTATTAGTCCTGGTTAGATACCAATCGATGTGCAGCTTCATCTCATGTAACATTTCAATGTTCTTATCAAAGGCAGTAAAAGTCAGACATACAGAGACGACTCTGAACTGCTTCAGGCTGCAGAGCTCGGGTTCCCCTCAACGTTTTAGCTGATTTTAACACTGAAAACTCTTTTTGATACAATCCTGGTCAAGTCATTCCTCAGATTCCATTTACATAGTTACATGATGTCTCCAGAACATTTTTCCTCCCAGTTTGAAGCTTTACTGGATGCATGGGATCACCAAACCTCTGGGGAGATCCCCGTGTCCTCCTCAGTCCTGCTGGAGTGTGAGTTACTGTTCTGCACACACTCCTCCTTTCAGGAGATCTGCCAAAACAAAGTTACTCATGCTGGCTAAAAGTGATACAGCGCACTCTAAACCAAACACTAGACTAGTTCTTTTGCTCCAGGACTTTTTCTGTCCCTCCAAACAGACTTTCAGGTTTATTTGAGTCTCTTTGGGTCAATGATCAGTAATTCTGACTAGAGACATCTGGTTCTGCACTCATTGCTAAAGAAACCTTTTTAGGATTGATAGCAGAAGTGTGGACTTGAGTCACGTGACTTGGACTCGAGTCATTATTTTAACCCTCTGGAGGCAGGCGTTGCAGATTTGCAACAGTTAAAACCTACCTACCTGGTTACTCCACACACGTAGTTCATGAGCATTGTTTAACTCAGAAGTCCCGCTGAAGGACTTAGTTGTTCGTCCTTTTATCAAAACTTATTTTGAGCCTGAGAGGGTTAATGACTTCTGACTTGGCTTGATAAAATCTATAAAGACTCACGACTTGACTCGGACCTGACATGCGACTTGAATTGACTTGCATCTGTTGACTTGATGATTATTGAGCATATTTGATATTTTAGCACAAAAGTGGCACGACATGGACAAAAATCATGAAACATTCTTGGTTCTGGGTTTGATCTTGTTCTGCTAAATGCAGCAGCTCTTTGTTTATGATCAGTAGCTTTAGTTCTGGAATTTAATTATCATCATTGTCATTAAAGTGAAGTTTGACAGATGACTTGATTATGACTTGAAAATTTAAAGTTAATGACTTGGACTTCCACATCATTGACTTTGGACTCGACTTGGACTTGGTTGTCTTTGACTTGGACTTGACTCGAGACTTGACTAGAAAGACTTGTGACTTACTTGTGACTTGCAAAGCAGTGACTTGGATTAATAGTAATAAAGACCAAGCTCTACTCAGTTTTGTGCGAATTATGTGGTGTACCGGAGCAGATATAATAATCCACACGCAATAAACTGCCAAAGGCTGGGAAGACTGAAGATGACTCAGTTGTGCCGGAAAAACTCCCTCCTGTCATCTAGGAACTCCCAAACAGTCAGACACAGCTGTGCATGGCAAGATTTAATCTTCATGCCTAAATAACTGAGGGAGTTTGCTGAGAATATCTCAGTATCAGCGTCCTAACAGAGACAAACGACTGTGCACACACCTAGAGCCCGTCCATTTCACATCTAGATGCAAGACGTCACCGAAGCAGACTCTGATGATGTGTGTGAGGTGCGTTCTGTTTATCTGAGCAGGCAGGGCTTGTTAGCTCTGGGTGGTTACCTGCTTTTGAATGTGAATTTATTTGTGCACACACTCAGCATCACATCTACATGTGAGCCTTTATCTGGTGACAGACCAGAGTCGTTTTACCTGATTTGATCAGGAGACCGCTCAATCATCCTACAGTCATGTGTATATGATACATACTTCAGTTATGTGCAATGATTTGCTGTTGTGTCTTTCAGATTTATTGGTTCTGTCAAAATCTCATTACGGGACCTTGCCTCGGGCCAAGCGAGATCTCTACCATCTAAAAATGTTCCGTTGATGGGTGAAAATGGGCAGAATATCGGAGTAAGTCTCAGTTCTAATAAAACTCTGTTTTACAGGCAATAGATCAGATCTCATAAAGAGTTATTCAGTGGAAAAGTTCTGAATAACCATGATACCTGTGGTGAGCTCTTGGAGTGGCTTTAGTTTGGAGAAACAGTGATAAGGTGTGTTGAGATTGACACGCTAATGGCTAGTTTCATATTGGATTTGTGCCAGCTCAAAATAACTTTATTCTCACAAACACACATTCATGCAGTTAGTCCTGAAGACGTTTTCTGAGATTTTGTTTCACTGCAAACCAGAGGTGCTACAGTTAGCTAGCTCTGTTGCTAAATCACAAATTACCATAAAGCGGTTTGTAAATGATTTATTAAAAGTTTAGGAAACAGTGTTTGTGGAAACTGCTAGAACACATTTCAGATTAAAGTTATTTTAGGGTGGACTTGGCCATCAGTCCAATCAGAACTGATCTCTAAGCTAAGTTATTGTTCATCATCCATATTTTTACTTTCCTTTTTTCCCTTTTATTGTCACTGTTTTTAACTTTCTAGTTTTTGTGTTAATTGTACTTGTCAACATTTAAAAAAAATATTTATTTAATTTTGTTTTGTTAACATTTTTAATGTGTTTTCTATTTAAACAATACATTCTGATCTCAGTTGCAAATAAAGAGTTAACGAGAGCACAAATGATCAAATATAAGGAAAATAACCAACCAGCTAATTTTCTCCCTCTAGGCAACAATCAGTTTTGTGGTTGGATACGACCCACCAGCTAACACCATACCAAACCCCAATGACCCTCAAGCTGGAAATGTTACAGTGGATGCTGGTATGTTTAAATCTGAGTCATGAACAAACACAGCGCTCTGATTGGATACCTTTGTTCGTATCATGTATGTTTCTGATCAGGAGGGGGTAGTGGTGGTGGTGGTGAGGAAGGAGGTGAGACGCTACCAGACGGAGTTCAGCCTGGCTCTGCAGGAAACTCCTCCTCCACCAATCTGCCTTCTAACCTCCGCCAGAAGCTAGCAAGGACACAGAGTCGCCACAGGCTGGCAAACAAACCTCAGGACTTCCAGGTCAGTCTTAGCCAGGGCTGAACGTGCTTTAACCCTCTCAGGCTCAAAATAAGTTTTGATAAAAGGATGAAAAACTAAGTCCTTCAGGGGTACTTCTGAGTTAAAAAATGCTCATGAAATACGTGTGTGGAGTAAGGTAGGTAAGTTTTAACTGTGGTAAATCTGCAACGCCTGCCTCCAGAGGGTTAACAGTAAACCACACACACCCGGCCCAATCACTTTTACAGGTTGGGATTTAAAATTATAATAACACGTTTTCAATTCTTCCACAACCCCACTTCTTTATTTACAAAGTCCTTGGAAATGTGCACATCTGTGTAGTTTCCAAATCATGAGAGTGGGAGTAGTTGTGCAGTTCAGGTGTTTGTAGATAAAATGATGGGGAGTAATCACCAGTAACATCATTCCTTCATGTGCAGCCATTCAAACACTGGCTTTTTCAATAGTTCAAGATTGACAGGATTTTCCCACCAGGAATACTTTTTATAATAAAATATTAAAGAAGAAAAAAGAATCAACCTCCTATACCAAAAGTTAGTTAATCATTTACATTTTACATGATAGACATGGTTTCAACAGGTAGCTTGTCAAACACAATAATATTATGTGGAGTAAGGTTGTTTTCTCTTTAACAGGCTGTCTTTTATCCACTGTAATCCTATAATAATATATATTTAGATTATTTAAAATAACTGATAACAAACAAGCAAATCCCTGCAATTTTTTAATGACTTTTAGGTTTTATCATCAGAGAGAGTGACTTTACTTTAGTCAGAATGCGACACAAACACATCATTTATGTTCCAGATCCGTGTTCGGGTCATCGAAGCCCGTCAGCTGCCCGGCAACAACATCAAACCTGTGGTGAAGGTTCATGTGGGTGGAGAGACCCACAGGACACGCATCAAAAGGGGAAACAATCCGTTCTTTGATGAGGTAGTTTCACTTTACAGACGACACAAAAATAAGACGGCTCCTTCTATTGAAGTATCAAGAGCCTCCTGTTGTTTTTCAGATGTTCTTCTACAATTTCCACATGCTTCCGACAGATTTGTTTGAGCAGAACATCAGTTTCCGGGTCAGTGTGAAACGTGTGTGTCAGTATAATTCATGTGTGTCAGTGTGATACGTGTGTGTCAGTGTGATATGTGTGTGTCAGTGTGATACATGTGTGTCAGTGTGATACGTGTGTGTCAGTGTGACACGTGTGTGTCAGTGTGATACATGTGTGTCAGTGTGATAAGTGTGTCATTGTGATGCGTGTATGTCAGTGTCATGCGTGTGTGTCAGTGTGATACATGTGTGTCAGTGTGATGCATGTGTGTCAGTGTGATACGTGTGTGTCAGTGTGATGCATGTGTGTCAGTGTGATGTGTGTGTGTCAGTATGATGCGTGTGTGTCAGTGTGATACATGTGTGTCAGTGTGATACATGTGTGTCAGTGTGATACGTGTGTGTCAGTGTGATACGTGTGTGTCAGTGTGATACGTGTGTGTCAGTGTGATACATGTGTGTCAGTGTGATACGTGTGTGTCAGTGTGATACGTGTGTGTCAGTGTGATACATGTGTGTCAGTGTGATACGTATGTGTCTATGTGATGCGTGTGTGTCAGTGTGATACGTGTGTGTCAGTGTGATACATGTGTGTCAGTGTGATACGTATGTGTCTATGTGATGCGTGTGTGTCAGTGTGATGTGTGTGTTAGTGTGATGCATGTGTGTCAGTGTGATGCGTGTGTGTCAGTGTGATGTGTGTGTGTCAGTATGATGCGTGTGTGTCAGTGTGATACGTGTGTCAGTGTGATAAGTGTGTTTCATTGTGATGCATGTATGTCAGTGTCATGCGTGTGTGTCAGTGTGATGTGTGTGTGTGTGTGTGATGTGTGTGTGTGTCAGTATGATGCATGTGTTTCTGTGTGATGCGTGTGTGTCAGTGTGATACGTGTGTGTCTGTGTGATGTGTGTGTGCTAGTGTGATACGTGTGATTCAGTGTGATGTGTGTGTTAGTGTGATGCGTGTCTGTCAGTGTGATGCATGTGTGTCTGTGTGATGTGTGTGTGTCTGTGTGATGTGTGTGTGTCAGTGTGATACCTGTGTGTTAGTGTGATACGTGTGTGTTAGTGTGATACGTGTGTGTCAGTGTGATACGTGTGTGTCAGTGTGATATGTGTGATTCAGTGTGATACGTGTGTGTCAGTGTGATGCGTGTGTGTCTGTGTGATGCGTGTGTGTCAGTGTGATGTGTGTGTTAGTGTGATGTGTGTGTTAGTGTGATGCATGTGTGTCAGTGTGATGCATGTGTGTCAGTGTGATACATGTGTGTTAGTGTGATACGTGTGTGTTAGTGTGATGCATGTGTGTCTGTGTGATGTGTGTGTGTTAGTGTGATACATGTGTGTCAGTGTGATACCTGTGTGTTAGTGTGATACGTGTGTGTTAGTGTGATACGTGTGTGTCAGTGTGATATGTGTGTGTCTGTGTGATATGTGTGTGTCAGTGTGATACATGTGTTTCAGTGTGATACCTGTGTGTTAGTGTGATACGTGTGTGTCAGTGTGATATGTGTGATTCAGTGTGATATGTGTCTGTCAGTGTGATGCGTATGTGTCTATGTGATGCGTGTGTGTCAGTGTGATGTGTGTGTTAGTGTGATGCATGTGTGTCAGTGTGATGCGTGTGTGTCAGTGTGATGTGTGTGTGTCAGTATGATGCGTGTGTGTCAGTGTGATAAGTGTGTTTCATTGTGATGCATGTATGTCAGTGTCATGCGTGTGTGTCAGTGTGATGTGTGTGTGTGTGTGTGATGTGTGTGTGTGTCAGTATGATGCATGTGTTTCTGTGTGATGCGTGTGTGTCAGTGTGATACGTGTGTGTCTGTGTGATGTGTGTGTGCTAGTGTGATACGTGTGATTCAGTGTGATGTGTGTGTTAGTGTGATGCGTGTCTGTCTGTGTGATGTGTGTGTGTCTGTGTGATGTGTGTGTGTCAGTGTGATACCTGTGTGTTAGTGTGATACGTGTGTGTTAGTGTGATACGTGTGTGTCAGTGTGATACGTGTGTGTCAGTGTGATATGTGTGATTCAGTGTGATACGTGTGTGTCAGTGTGATGCGTGTGTGTCTGTGTGATGCGTGTGTGTCAGTGTGATGTGTGTGTTAGTGTGATGCATGTGTGTCAGTGTGATGCGTGTGTGTCTGTGTGATGCATGTGTGTCAGTGTGATGTGTGTGTTAGTGTGATGTGTGTGTTAGTGTGATGCATGTGTGTCAGTGTGATACGTGTGTGTCAGTGTGATACATGTGTGTTAGTGTGATACGTGTGTGTTAGTGTGATGCATGTGTGTCTGTGTGATGTGTGTGTGTTAGTGTGATACATGTGTGTCAGTGTGATACCTGTGTGTTAGTGTGATACGTGTGTGTTAGTGTGATACGTGTGTGTCAGTGTGATATGTGTGTGTCTGTGTGATATGTGTGTGTCAGTGTGATACATGTGTGTCAGTGTGATACCTGTGTGTTAGTGTGATACGTGTGTGTTAGTGTGATACGTGTGTGTCAGTGTGATACGTGTGTGTCAGTGTGATATGTGTGATTCAGTGTGATATGTGTCTGTCAGTGTGATGCGTGTGTGTCTATGTGATGCGTGTGTGTCAGTGTGATGTGTGTGTTAGTGTGATGCATGTGTGTCAGTGTGATGCGTGTGTGTCAGTGTGATGTGTGTGTGTCTGTGTGATGCGTGTGTGTCAGTGTGATGTGTGTGTTAGTGTGATGTGTGTGTTAGTGTGATGCATGTGTGTCAGTGTGATACGTGTGTGTCAGTGTGATACGTGTGTGTTGGTGTGATACGTGTGTGTTAATGTGATGCATGTGTGTCAGTGTGATACATGTGTGTTAGTGTGATACGTGTGTGTCAGTGTGATACATGTTTGTTAGTGTGATGCATGTGTGTTAGTGTGATACGTGTGTGTCAGTGTGATACATGTGTGTTAGTGTGATACGTGTGTGTCTGTGTGAAACGTGTGTTTCATTGTGATACGTGTGTGTCAGTGTGATACGTGTGTGTTAGTGTGATACGTGTGTGTTAGTGTGATGCATGTGTGTCAGTGTGATACATGTGTGTTAGTGTGATACGTGTGTGTCAGTGTGATACATGTGTGTTAGTGTGATACGTGTGTGTCAGTGTGATACATGTGTGTTAGTGTGATACGTGTGTGTTAGTGTGATGCATGTGTGTCTGTGTGAAACGTGTGTTTCAGTGTGATGCGTGTGTGTTAGTGTGATACATGTGTGTTAGTGTGATACGTGTGTGTCAGTGTGATACATGTGTGTTAGTGTGATGCATGTGTGTCAGTGTGATACATGTGTGTTAGTGTGATACGTGTGTGTCAGTGTGATACATGTGTGTTAGTGTGATGCATGTGTGTCAGTGTGATACATGTGTGTTAGTGTGATACATGTGTGTTAGTGTGATACGTGTGTGTTAGTGTGATACATGTGTGTTAGTGTGATACATGTGTGTCAGTGTGATACATGTGTGTTAGTGTGATACATGTGTGTTAGTGTGATGCATGTGTGTCTGTGTGAAACGTGTGTTTCAGTGTGATGCGTGTGTGTTAGTGTGATACATGTGTGTTAGTGTGATACGTGTGTGTCAGTGTGATACATGTGTGTTAGTGTGATGCATGTGTGTCAGTGTGATACATGTGTGTTAGTGTGATACGTGTGTGTCAGTGTGATACATGTGTGTTAGTGTGATGCATGTGTGTCAGTGTGATACATGTGTGTCAGTGTGATACATGTGTGTTAGTGTGATGCATGTGTGTCAGTGTGATACGTGTGTGTCAGTGTGATACATGTGTGTTAGTGTGATGCATGTGTGTCAGTGTGATACATGTGTGTTAGTGTGATGCATGTGTGTCAGTGTGATACATGTGTGTTAGTGTGATACATGTGTGTCAGTGTGATACATGTGTGTTAGTGTGATACATGTGTGTTAGTGTGATACGTGTGTGTCAGTGTGATACATGTGTGTTAGTGTGATACGTGTGTGTCAGTGTGATACATGTGTGTTAGTGTGATTTGTGTGTGTTAGTGTGATGCATGTGTGTCTGTGTGAAACGTGTGTTTCAGTGTGATGCGTGTACATGTTTGGGTTTATGGACTTTTACCTGGTTTGACTCTGTTCTTAGGTGTATGATTCATACTCTTTGAGGGCTGACAGTCTTATGGGAGAATTTAAGGTGAGGGATCAACCTCCACATATAATGGCCTAAAGAAGAGTAATTAATGTTCACAAGAGCATGGCTGACTTTTTTTCTCTGTCACACAGCTGGATGTTGGTTATGTTTACGACGAACCAGGTAAGTATGCCACAGGTTTGTTTTTACTCGGTTCAGGAGGCTAGGCTAGTTAGCAAAGCCTCCCTGGAAGCGTTTGGACGTTTTAATAAAACTCAGAAAGTCTTTAACCCTCCCACTGTCCTAATCGGTGTGACCCCGCAAGGAAAGTTGACCACTGAGCAGGTTTGATGGTTTATCCCTTGGGGCCACGTGGACCTCCAGGGATAAACCATCACTCTTGCTCAGTGGTCAACTTTCCTCATGGGGTCACCCATAAAGACATTGGGAGGGTTGATGAATGAATCAGTAGACCAAGATGGCTGCCACACCAAAAGTAAAAGTGGTCTGAATACCAACAGGTCATGTGAGATCTTGTTATATCACTTGAGACATTGTTCTTGACTCGATCAAAAAAACTCAACATAGTTTTAGAGGTTGCTGTTTTTGTTTTCTTGTCTGATCCGTGTGCCAACACCTTATTTTGTGTCCCTTGGTTCTCCAATAGCTTGTCCACTGGGACTATTCCATTCTGGTCCTGGAGGACCACCACCTGCAGGTTTTCTTTGTTTACCTGCACCAAACCACACCTGGTTTGAATCAGTAGATGATGAACAGCCTTCTGTAGAACTTAAGGAGCTGTTGAAGAGATGATTCGATGACTGAATCAGGTGTGGGTGCAGAGAAACAGCTCAGACATGCAGGATAGTGGCCCTCCAGGACCAGGGTTGGTTTGCCAGTCCTCCCCAGTCCACTAGTAAGCTCCTCCTTTTTCTTGAAATGAGTCTCTTTTTGATTTTCTCTCCTGTTTCCTGCCTCCTTGGCCTGCCCTTGGGTCCTTTAACCACCAAAACATGATCTTAGGGAAAAACTCAGAAAAGCAGGCCTTAACTATCTGAAGTTCCTATTGCTTTAGCCCTTTAGAATTCATGTGTTATGTTTCCTTTTTCACCTTCCTCTGCAATTATTTTGTACATCTCTATTTTCAGTTATAAAAGCCATTACACAATATTATACAACATGGTAGCAAAACAAACTAGCTGCTAAAGACTTACAGCATTCCCTTAGAAATTGGTGGAGACTAAAAATTGGTCTGAACTTGAAAGTCAGACCAAAGACACCATCTTTCATTGTGCAAAGTTGAAGTCAAATGGGCCATTCCCATCTGTACCGGGTCAGCCCGGGTTGGGTAGCGTAGGTTGTTTACATATCTGGGTGGCCTGGTATTTTTCCGGGCCAACCAAGGCTCATTCTCAGCCCTCTTCTCGAGGGGGTCTGCTTCAGGCCGACCAGGGCCAACACACCCACTGCTGACAGCAAATTCACACCTTCCATTAGAGCAAGCCTCTGATTGGTGGGTAGAATCAGCCCACATGGGCTTAGAGGTAATTGTATGTTTACTTCGAAGCAGCAGCACTTAAAATCCTGCAGCCAAATTCCAAGTACGAACGGAATAAAAATAAAGCAGAAAGTAAAGTATCTGGTTATGTTTAAACAAGGAACCCAAAGTAGGATTCCCATTCAGAAAACACAAAAATCACAGCTAACAGGCCATGGCATCCCAGCTGTATAGCTTCATTCTGGAGAATTTAACATGCATTTATTTTGGGCTGTGTGTGTGTGTGTGTGCGTGCGTGCGTGCGTGTGTGCGTGCGTGCTAATTCAGTGCACAAGTAGAATCTTGTGACTGAGCACTAATCCTATCACAGTCCATAGATTTATGTCAAAACGAAACAGTTTTATGGGGCGACGGTGGCACAGGAGTTAAGTGCTCGCCCCGTAATCGGAAGATTGCAGGTTCGAGCCCTGCTCAGTCAGTCGCTATCATTGTGTCCTTGGGCAAGACACTTAACCCACGTTGCCTGCTGGTGGTGGTCGGAGGGACCGGTGGCGCCAGTGCTCGGCAGCCTCGCCTCTGTCACTGTACTCCAGGGCAGCTGTGGCTACATCGTAGCTCATCCCCACCAGTGTGTGAATGTGTGTGTGAATGGGTGAATGACTGATTGTGTTGTAAAGCGCCTTGAGGGGTTCCAGGACTCTAGCAGGCGCTATATCAAATACAGGCCATTTACCATTTATCATATTTCGGTTGATACTAGATGAAGATGTCTGTGTAAATGTTTGTTCCGGTTCAGCCCACAGTGTCCTGAGGAAGTGGCTCCTACTGAACGACCCAGATGACAACAGCTCTGGAGCTAAAGGCTATCTCAAAGTTAGCCTCTTCATAGTCGGAACAGGAGACGAGCCTCCGGTAAGACTTAACCGCTACGGATCTAAGCTCACTAACAGATGCTGGTTCTTTTTCTATTTAGCTGACCCTTTTTACAAGTGCAGGTGGAGAAAAGGGCGTCGAATGATGACCAGGATGACATAGAGAGCAACCTGTTGCTTCCAGCCGGTGTAACTCTGAGATGGGCAACGCTGTCGTTAAAGGTTTTCAGAGCTGAAGACATTCCCCAGAGTGAGAAGGCCATTTTTAATTCTCACATTATGATTGCTGTGCTCTAAAAACAAATCCTAATCATTCACTCTCTTCCTTTTTTAGTGGATGACGCATTCGTCCAGTCTTTGAAAGCAATGTTTGGAAGTGATGAAAACAAGAAAAACTTGGTGGATCCTTTTTTGGAGGCTGGATTTGCCGGGAAAAAGGTTTCATTTCAGCCAAAAGCAGTTAAGTGTTTTCATGTTGGTAAAGCTAATGTGTTGTTTTGGTCCTCTCAGTTGTGCACTCAGATTATTGAAAAGAACGCAAACCCAGAGTGGAACCAAGTTTTGAACCTTCAGGTGAAAGTAAGAAGTTCCACGCGTATGACGCTGCAGAGAAAAGTTTTTTTTTGTGACTTATTTCTTGTGTTTGTTAGTTTCCGTCCATGTGTGAGCGTGTCAAGCTGACAGTCTATGATTGGTAAGTTAGACAAGATTACTAATTTAATATATAAACAATTAAGCACACAGCATTTTCAGTCATTTTTAAAAACTGTCAGTGTTATATAAATATAAATATATAAAGGTATAATTATTAACCCTTTGATGCATGAATTATGAGATCTTCAACCATGATTTTTTAAACAATTTTTTTTTCATTCATTTTTAGGTGTGAATGAAACAAATTTCAACAAATATTTTTTGTAATATTTTGTTAATTTACAAATAATTTATTACATGTGTACCTCAGTGGACAGCGTGCATTCTGAACATGAAATATGTTGGCTTGGCTTACTGAAGTCCAAATAGAGAGGCTCAAATGCAATAAAGTCTTCAACAGCTGTTCTTAATAGCAAAAAATAAATAAATAACAATTTTGAATACCTGTCCACTGTAGTGACCATTATGCATCAAAGGGTTAAAAGGTTTGAATGTTTTACTTTCATTCAAAAATCCCCATTTTTAAATATTTATTTTAGTTTGGTTGTTAATTATTTTAGTTAAGTTCAGTGTACACACTGTGGAGCACAAATTTGGTTAGGGTTAGGGTGTGGGTTAGGCACAGTGGAGTCACTAAGATGAATGGAGGTCTACGGAGGTCCACACAAACATATGAATATAAGTGTGTGTGTGCGCATATATGTGTGTGTGTTCATGCATGTGTGCATATGTGTGCTTGCATGTATGTGTGTGCATGCTTATGTGTGTGTTTGCATGCATGTGCGTGTGTGTGTCCATGCATGTGTGATGCATGAGTGTGTGCATGTGTGTAAGCAGTATATTTATGTCGATGGTAAGCATGTGTGTGTGTGTGTGTGTGTGTGTGTGTGTGTGTATGTGCACGTATGTGTGTGCATGTGTGTGCGTGTCTGTGCATGTATGTGTGTGCATGCTTATGTGTGTGTTTGCATGCATGTGTGTGTGTGTCCATGCATGTGTGATGCATGAGTGTGTGCATGTGTGTAAGCAGTATATTTATGTCGATGGTAAGCATGTGTGTGTGTTTGTGTGTGTGTGTGTGTGTTCATATGTGTGTGTACATGTATGTGTATGTCTGTGCGTGTGTGTGTGTGTGTTCATATGTGTGTGTACATGTATGTGTGTGTGTGTGTGTGTGTGTGTTTTTCTGCCACTGATCCAACACCAACCACATGAGAATAATGCAGTGAGTGAGTCAGACTGTGGCGACCCTTCCCTTTTCCTCAGTAACATGTTGGAACTGTCGGCTATTTTTCATCACCGTGTGTTTCTGAGCAAACTAGATAGCTCAGGCTCAGGAAGGCCGGAGGGAAACGAGTGAAGGAGGGAATCATTAGAAATATGTTGACAGATAAATCTGGGGTCCTGTAGAATTCCTGTTCAAACAAAAGCAAAAAGTAGGCATTATATTTTTTATTACGCTCACTTCTGTTTGAAAATGAAACTTTACTTAGATTGGAATATTTGCATATCATGGAGGTTTATCATGACTGTAGGACTGTGTGTAGCTAAAGATAACGTGCACTTTCAGGGATCGCCTAACAGGAAATGATGTTGTTGGCACCACATACCTCAACCTGGCCAAGATAGCTTCCTCTGGTGGAGAAATAGAAGGTAAATTTCATCAGTGTCGACTGGAAACCAAAGATTTCCTATAAAACTATGAAGCAGAAGTCGACATCCTCTCATGTTTGTCTGATTCTTATAAATTGTTCTTGAATTGTTTTTTGTTTTCTTTTGGTGTAGAAGAACATGCAGGAAATATGGAAATATCTTCATATGAAGGTTTACCTGAACTCCTTTTCCTCTGTTTTGCATGGAGCATGCTAGCTGATTCCAGTTATTTTTGTGCATATTACTAAAACAAGCTATTAGGGATGTCCCGATCAAAACGTTTTTTCCTCATCCCCTACTGTATAGTAGAGTTTAGGAGCTACAAAAAGCTTAAAGGGGGAGCGTAAGTCCACGGACAAAGTTAGAGAATAAGAAAATAAAATGTGAGGGGAAAGACGTGAGGACAACTCTGTGCACGCTCAACCTATTTCATCTGACGGGATGCTTGGTGCGTGTCTACTCACGGCACGATCGGATCATTTCAGTTAGTGTTCATACAAACAGAGAGTTGGGATTTCCCATCAACAAAGGTTTGAATCAGAAAGGGGATATTTGGTGCATGTAAAAGTAGCTATTGTCGCAGAGTAAAATGAATCAGTGGTAGAGCCATGTTGCTGTTCGGCAATCAGAGGGAAGATGTTCAAATATCAGGAAATAAGATTCGAACAGGTGGGCGTGAGTGCATCAGTTGGACTAGATATATCTATAATTTCTGTAGTATCTTGGGTGCTTTTCAAAATCATAAACAAAAGTAGATATGGAAAAAAAAAAGTGACGATCTGATGCACTCCGAACATTCGGGAGGGACTCGGAGTAGAACCGCTGCTCCTCCGGATCGAAAGGAGCCAGTTGAGGTGGTTTGGGCATCTGGTCAGGATGCCTCCTGGACGCCTCCCCGGGGAGGTGTTTCGGGCATGTCCTGCCGGCAGAAGGCCCCCGGGTCGACCCAGGACACGTTGGAGAGGTTACATCTCCAATCTGGTCCGGGAACGCCTTGGGGTCCTGCCGGAGGAGCTGGTGGACAAGGCCGGGGAGAGGACGGCCTGGAGCTCCCTAGTTGGGATGCTGCCCCCGCGACCCGGACCCGGATAAGCGGAGGAAGACGAGACGAGACGAGACGAGATGATATAAGATCAGGAAATAAGACTCCAAATCTCTCTGTGTGAAGCTGCTTTCCCTGCCCACCTCAGGCTCCTGATGAAAGCGATTGTTTCTCACAGTTAACTAAAGAGAGGGTCTTATTTCATGGCACAGCTGACATGAAACCATAGAAAGTAAGTCAACATTGGAGATCAAGAGCTGAGAATCACAGCTGATGCATGACAAATGCATCAAACTTGATTGGATTGGATCGGGACATCCCTAACAACAGTGCCTTCGCCTGTTAGATGTGATTTATTTGTTTATCTCACACCACTTTCTCAGCTTAGTCACTGCCACCTGCTTTCCCAGCCTTCACCGTGTTCACAAAAACTCACCCTTTGTGACCTACTACCACTTTCCTCACATTTGTGGAGGTTAATCCTGCTGCCCTGTTCCCAGCTAACTCAGGAGAATCAGAAGTTGGGTTTCTGCCCGTGTTTGGGCCCTGCTATATCAACCTGTACGGCAGTCCCAGAGAGTTCACCGGCCTGCCAGACCCTTATGAGGATCTCAATTTGGGCGAGGTAGAGAAATCTGTGTGATAAATAAAAGCTTATTGAAGCCTTTTTGGCCTTTTTAGGAGGTCATATGGTTGTTTTGTTTGTGTCCAGGGAGAAGGAGTGGCCTACAGGGGCAGGATTCTGGTCGAGCTGTCCACCAAGTTGGAGGAGAAGGCAGACAAAGCAGTAGACAGTATTCCCAATGACGACATCCTGGTGGTACAGGTGACGTTTTCACCCAACACCAAGCACGCTGGTTCTGTTTAGTTTGAGGTTGAAATTCTTGAAAACACATGTTAGAGGCATTTCAAAGCTGTCTTCTTACCAGTCCTTTAAGTACATTGGTAGAGCAGGAATTATATCTTAAATTTTCATTTGTTGAGAAGCGATAAAAATAAAGCTGTTTTGGTCAAATCTTGATAAATATGAAACTCACGTGACTAAAACTTGCTGTCAATGCAGCCAAGAGAAAGCTGGTGTTTTCTAACTCAAGCAACCAGTGACTCCCTCAGTGACCTCAGTAACCCTCTGGAGGCAGGCGTTGCAGATTTGCAACGTTAAAGCCTACCTGCCTGGTTACTCCACATACTCAGAAGTACCCCTGAAGGACTTAGTTGTTTGTCCTTTTATCAAAACCTATTTTGAGCCTGAGAGGGTTAAAGAGGTCATATTACGCAAACCTCCTCTTTTTCATCCTTTTGCGTTGCCATGTGGATCTCCTCTGCCGCTATAAACACTTCTGTCAGTGTTTGGTTTTAGGATTTGTGTGCCTAGGACAACCCTTTTAAAAAAGTCCCTGTTTGTGATGTCACAAATGGAGAAATTAAAATAGACCCACCTTTCACATGTAAGAGAGAGCTGCTGCTAGACGAACAGCAGCTCTACTTCAAACCCCTCCCAGATATCAGAGCTTCTCAGCTTATAGCAGCGCGAGTGTGGGAATGGGAGGGTGCGGCCATATCCAGTTTGTTGTCTTAAAGTGACAGAGCCTTGAAATGACTCATTCTGCAAGATACTGAAAATATCAAATCGCTCTATGTGAGAGGGAGTTAGTGCGAAGAACTTGATGAACACGTTTGATATCGATTAGCTTATCTTGGACAGGTCTACCTTGCCAAAGATGTTTTTAATGTAATCAAGCCTTGAACAAAGCTTAAATGCAAATAAGAATAACATTTTGGGTGATCTGTTAGCCCTTAGAGAGTTTCTCTCTCTTTACCCCTTTTCTCTCCCTCATCAGAAGTACCAGAGGAGGAGGAAATATTGCCTGTGTGCAGTCTTCCACAGTGCCTCCATGATCCAGGAACCTGGTGAGCCAATCCAGTTTGAGGTCAGCATCGGTAACTATGGCAACAAACTGGACACCACCTGCAAACCCCTTGCCTCCACCACTCAATACAGCTGTGCTGTTTTTGATGGTAGGGGATGAAACCTGACATGAATCATAAATAATTGTGTATTTCATAATTTTAGATTCACAACTTTTATTTTACTTTTATTTTCTCCATCAGGCAACCATTACTACTATCTGCCCTGGGCAAACACAAAGCCGGTGGTTGTGGTAACGTCGTTCTGGGAGGACATCAGCCACCGCCTGGATTCTGTCAACATCATCCTCTTCATTAATCACCGTCTGGTAAAATGATCACACTCTAATCCCCTGAAACTTGGTTTAGTTTTCCTTCTAAAGCAGAATAATTTATTATTTATTACTTTTAAATTTGCTTCAGCGCTCCGGTTTTGGCTGATAATGTTTGCAGATGGACTTATTGTTCTGTTCGGTCTGTTTTTGTAGCAAACTAACCTGGAGGCGTTTAAAACCGCCATGTTGGCAAAAGTCTCCGACAACCAACTTTCAGAGGTGTGGCTGAAGTT